ACTCGTAGACTCTTAGGGACTTGTATGAGTTGTTCGTGCAACGTTGGTTTTGTAGCTTGTAAGCGAGTTTGCTGGCAGTTGTTGAGTGATGCCGTGCCTCCTGACTTCTACACTCCATGTTGTTGCGATTGTCCGTTTGTGGACGCATGACCTGCTGCTGTCTTGGGTGCTTTGGGCTGTATCTTCGCTTTTGTGCAACGGCAAGCTGCATGCGTAAGAGCAGACGTGCATGGCGTGTTTCATGAAGGCAAAGGTTGAGTCTATCGTGACGCTGTGCTCTGCGGCAAGCGATGTTGCGAAGGACTGGTGATAAGCGCCAAGTGGGGCATACGATTTGGCCTGGAGGAGGCTGACCGGCGACTAGTGGTTTCCTCTAGGGCTCAGGATTAACATGGAATCGCCCATCGATATGCAACACTTTTACCCTGCATTGATGTTTCCACGGCGCCGAAGGCAAAGGGGACGGTTGCGCGGTCAACGCAAGGCGATCTGTCGGCGGGCATGGAGGAAGTGGGGGGAGAGCCGCGGGTCAAGGTGTCGGCGACCAAGGAAGATACGAACATGTCGACCAGGAAGGAGCGATAGTATGGCAGATACAAGTATAGATGCGCAAAGCGCGGATGATTCCGTAGACTGGTGAGGTTAGTCAGAACAGCGTGTCTCAGTGTGTGGCAGTACTGTTGGACCGGGCGTGGTAGACCAAGGGCCAAATTCGGCGGCTTCCATTGTATCGTTGTAGCACGCAACATGGAGTGAGAGACGTTAGAGCTACTGCATATCGCGACGCCATTTAGGACTGGTAGACGTCAAACGCGGGCGGTGCATGAGTCGGCGGCCTGTAGACGTCGGCGGCGCAAGGACGTCTTTTTGAAACGGATCTTGGGGTGGAAATTGGACAAGTCCCCCCCAGTTAGCCCTGCGACGAGCATGGCGGAACGTTCTTACGGCCAGTGTCTGCTATCTGTGCTTCGGACTTCTGTATCTGTTTCTACCGTTAATTCTCTTTCCACGTCTCCAATCATTGCATCCAGCGCCATTCTCTCACCCTCCCGTTCTGGCTAGACGCGCCCGGCTAGGTGTATTTCCTGGTTCAGGTGTACTTGCAGCCTGCTTGAGGTGTGACGTTCGCTTCAAACCATTGGACACCAGCCCCCGAGCTGTGAGGGCAGCAGTATGGAGTCGTCGTCGTCGTCTAAGAGGTTGACGAAACGAGAGCGCAACGCGCCTCCAATAGCCTACTTGAATAAATCATCGACACTTAAGCGTGCGCCCAGGTAAGTCGAGGCTGTGTCTGAGGTCAGAACCACGCTGACTTCGCATCTTCACGTAAAGCGCAGCCAGTTACTTCAACCCGAATCTTGGCGGCACGAGTGCATCCTCCCTCTCGCCTGGAGGCTCGACTGCAATCCGCCGCAGCCCTTCGCTCAAGCCCACTCCGCACCACCCATATGTAGACTATCCCCAGTCGCAGGTTGCCCACCTTCCTCCCGCCTCCGTCGGCAGCCCGTTTAGTCTGAATGCAGTGCAAGAAGCTCTGAACGCATCCTCGAGCGCCTCACCCAACAGCAGCGGTCCACGTAGGCCCGCTGGCCCGCAGCACTCGTACACCGACCAGCCCTCGAACAACCGATATCTACGCCAGAGCCGCTCCTTCAACAACAAGATGGACACGACCACGACCCCGCCAACGACGCAGTCCAACAAGACGAACCGCTACAGCGACGGCAGCGGCGATGCGGCCAAGAAGCGCCTCTCGGGCGGCGCAAAGAAGAAGGGCACCTTTTCCAACTTCATGAGCAGCATGCTGGGCTCGCCGCGCCGCCCGACCATCTCGACGCCCACCAACCCCATGCACGTCACCCACGTTAGCATTGACAACCACACGGGCGAGTACACGGTAGGTCGACTATGTTTGCGCCTGCGTCTCACGTACTAATTGTCCTTAGGGCCTTCCCAAGGAATGGCAGCGCATGCTACAACAGAATGGCATCTCCCAGGAGGAGCAGAAGCAGCACCCCCAAGCTGTCATGGATGTGGTCAACTTTTACAAGGACAACGCTGAGAAGAATGAGGACGATGCCATCTGGGACAAGATGGGCCCTACGCAGCCTCAGGGATATGCGTACCAGGCCAACATTCCCCAGAACGCAAACTATGGCTCTGCGCAGCCCCCCCTCAGTCCCCCGCAGAGCCCGCGATTCCCACGGAACGACCTCTCTAGCTTCGAAAACCCCCGTGCGCCCCCTCCAATTCCTCGCAGTATGACCTCGCCCGTTGTTAACCCAGCTCCAGTCAATGTCGCAGCTATGGTTCCCAATCGACCGGCACCCAAGCCTCCGGTTGCTGCTGTTGCATCCACGGCCGCCATGCCTACCAGACCTGCCCCGGCAGCCCCGAGTCCGATCGTCACGCAGCATCAGCCCCCTCGCCAGGAGCATGACGTCCCCCAGCCTGCTTACGCCCACCCATCTCCTTCGGAAAGCCCCAATGGCAGTTCGTCCCGTACCCGATCGAATACCACGGGAGGAGGAACACCGCCACGTTTCGATTCCCCTGCCAGTTCTACCCCGATCTCTCCTGCCCAGCAATACCAGCAGCAACAGCAACAGGCTATGGCCATGGCAACCACAGTACAGCCAAAGGCTCCCCTCGGGAGGAGCGCTAGCCAAAGGGTCCCGCAACCAAACTACGCACCACCCGTCGTCCCTGCGCAATCACAACCGACGCCTCAACAGGTTTTCGCACAGCAATCGGATCCCCAGAACATTCCACTACCATCGCAACAAGCTCGTGTTGGCCCAGCGCCCCGGCCACGTCAAAGGCCTCGGCAGAGCCAGGGACCTGATATCGTGGCCAAGCTCAATGCTATCTGCACAAATGCCGATCCTAGGGAGAGATATCGTAACCTCAGCAAGATCGGTCAGGGCGCTTCTGGTGGTGTTTTCATGGCCTATGAAAATAGTACCAACAAATGCGTAGCCATCAAGCAGATGAACCTTGAGCAGCAGCCCAAGAAGGATCTGATCATAAACGAAATCCTGGTCATGAAAGACAGCAAGCACAAGAACATTGTTAACTTCATGGACAGCTTTTTGCTAAGAGGCGATCTCTGGGTAGTTATGGAGTACATGGAGGGTGGAAGTTTGACAGATGTCGTTACTTTCAACATTATGTCGGAAGGGCAAATAGCTGCCGTGTGCAGAGAAGTGAGTCCGCACGCCTCGCTCCAAGACCTTTACTAACCATTTCAGACACTACACGGCTTGCAACACCTGCACTCCAAGGGCGTTATCCACAGAGACATCAAGTCGGACAACATTTTGCTTTCCCAAGAAGGCAATATCAAGCTAAGTATGTTGAACACAGAATCATAATCATGAGACAAAACTAACGTATCGTACAGCCGATTTCGGGTTCTGCGCGCAAATCAACGAGAGCCACAATAAGCGCACAACCATGGTAGGTACCCCGTACTGGATGGCTCCCGAGGTTGTGACCCGCAAGGAGTACGGCCGAAAGGTTGACATCTGGTCATTGGGTATCATGTCCATTGAGATGATCGAGGGAGAGCCGCCATACCTGAATGAGAGTCCGTTGCGTGCACTCTGGCTGATCGCTACAAACGGAACACCGACAATCAAGGAAGAGCATGCCTTGTCGCCTGTATTCCGGGACTTTTTGGGCTTCTCGCTGAAGGTTGATCCTGACAAGCGAGCTAGTGCTCACGATCTTCTGGTGGTAAGTTTGCTCCAGCAATCCATTTATGATAGCCGCTAACATGAGACAGCATCCCTTTATCCAGACCGCTGAACCACTAGGCACATTAGCGCCACTGGTACAATCGGCGAGGAAAGCAAGGGCAGAAGAGAGACGGAAGAAGGGTGGTCTGTGATTTTCTTATTTCGTCATGAAAGTCTCTTAACACCGGAATTTAGGTACGGGCAATGCGCAAGCCAACGGCCACGATTCGTCAACTTCGAGTACGGATTCGTTTGCTGATTGGTATGGCAAGACGATGGAATTATAAGGTGATGGCACGGTGCAATTTACGAGTGCGCACATCCAAACCCAGTGGCGATTCTCCAAGCGACAAGCCTCTCATGGTCGTGTCGCGGCAGCACCACTAGCTCGGCAGTCGGTATGCAAAGGCCGAAGCCTCATACTGCTGTTATACACAACGAGCATTGTCGAACGAATTAGCAAGCGCGTCCCATCTTGTTCAACAGCTCACATCCGCGAGCATATCTTTCGTGCTGTTTCCAAAGGGCCCGAGTGTCGATGTTGGCGTACATGCCCGTCTCATGATCTGACAGTTTTCTTGGGTTACGGAAGGACGCTGATACCTCTTACATGACTGTCTACTATATATTATGTGCAATCTTTAGTGTCTATACTATTTTTGGGGATTTTCAAACTTGTCCGGTGGTGGCATTCCCGGCATACAGAAAAGTCAAATACAAATATGCTTCCTCTTTCAGTGCTCGAACAGAAAAAGTTTGAATTGAACAGGCTGCTTACACCTTACAATAAAGCTGCATCACAATATCAATGCTGGCTGTGATCATCTGCTGAGTTCGGTTTATTCCCAAAGGCAGATAGCCCTAATCTGTCTATTGAGTCGCTCAGCGTTGATCAGAGAATATTGCGATGAGCGTTGGCATAGGCTGCTTGGTGGTTGTAGTGCCCCAAGCTCTCAAGGGTTGCCCAGGTGTGGCTGAGAACTTCGTCATCCGCCCCGCTAGTCCAGTCGGGCGCAAGAGCTCAGCCTGCGCATATACGACACCGAGTTGCCTCTTGCTAGACTTTCACTCTTACCTATAACACGCCCCTCTCCCAAACCAACCGCATTCTCTTAGTACAAAGCTGAGTTCACTTCTGACTCTGCTACCACTCTTACGTTTTCGACTCGGTGCTCTCCCCTCTACTTTAAGGCACCTGCACCCCCGGAGAGCTTCCCCATACCTATCAAGCCACAAGACGCTGGGAAGCAGGCAGACGTCATGTTTCGCGCACAATCAAACATCTTCGACGATGTTGTCGTGAAAGCGACAGATGAAAATCTCACAAGTGAGAACTGGGAATACATACTGGTACGGTCAGCATTCGCAAGGTGTTGGGCGGCGACCTGGGCACATGTCGCAACCATTGCCCGGTCCACGATCATGCGCCCTTCCACTCCAGCATACGCAAACGTTGCTAACTCACTACGCAGGATGTATGCGACAAAGTCGGATCGTCCGACACGGGCGCCAAAGATGCCGTCGCCGCCATGATTAGGCGGTTAGCACACCGAAACGCGAACGTACAACTATATACCCTCGAGCTCGCCAACGCTCTTAGCCAGAACTGCGGAATTCAAATGCACAAGGAGCTTGCGTCGCGGAGCTTTACAGAGGCGCTGTTGAGACTTGCCAATGATCGGAACACACACCAGCAGGTCAAGGCGAAGATACTGGAGCGCATGGCCGAGTGGACCAACATGTTCGCTAGCGATCCCGACCTGGGAATCATGTCTGGCGCCTATCAGAAGCTCAAGTCACAAAGTACGTTGGAGGTGCATCGGCAATGCGCATGTTGCTAACAAGTCCCAGACCCCAACCTCCGAGCGCCCTCCAAGCCACAAAAGACGCAGATCTCCGACGTCGACCGCCAAAAGGAAGAAGAGGAGCTACAGATGGCGCTTGCAATGTCGATACGAGAGTCCAAAGGTGCCGCGCCGACGGCTGCCAAGTCCAATACCCCTCAGCAGGGCGGATCTGCTCCCAGCGCTCAGCCCGAACAGCCTTCTCAACCCCTACCGTCAGGCACAACTGCGGCAACCGTCTCACGTGTGCGAGCCCTCTTCGACTTTCAGCCGTCGGAGCCCGGTGAACTACAGTTTCGCAAGGGCGACATCATCGCGGTCCTCGAATCAGTGTACAAGGATTGGTGGAAGGGATCGCTACGTGGGCAGACAGGTATCTTCCCGCTCAACTACGTGGAGAAGCTGCAGGATCCGACACGTGAAGAGCTAGAGAGGGAAGCACAAAACGAGGCTGAGGTCTTTGCACAAATAAGGAACGTGGAGAAGTTGCTAGCACTCCTGAGCACTAGCTCACAGCCAGGTGGTGGTGATGCGCGAGACAACGAGGAGATCACAGAGCTATACCACTCGACGCTAGCTATCCGACCGAAACTGATTGAACTTATTGGAAAGTACTCGCAGAAGAAGGGTAAGTCCAATATCAGCAGAGTTGTGATGATCAGCGGCTGACTTTAGCAGATGACTTTACACAGTTGAACGAGAAGTTCATCAAGGCTCGCCGAGACTACGAAGCCATGCTGGAAGCATCCATGTCCCAACCCCAACAACCTGCATACGGTGGCCGTCCTGGATATGGCGCCTATAACGCACCACCTCCCTCGAACTACCAAGGATACCCACCTGTATCCTCTACACCGCAGCAAGATCCGAATCGCTTCGGCTATGGCGCACCCCAGCAACATGGACCCCCTTCGCAAGTTCCACCCCCAGGCTCAAGCCCTGCGTTCTTCATGGTTCCTCCTGGCGAACAGCGGACACAGCAGACTCCGAAGCCAGGACCACCATCGGATCCCTATACGCTACCACCAGGGAGAGTACCAGTAGGAGGGCGGCCGCAAAGCTACGCACCTCAAGAGCTAGCGACCAGCCAATACGACTCACCTGTAGACAACCGTCAATCTTTCCACGCTCCTAGTCAGCCACCTCAAGGCTACGAACAAGGCGGTTACCCACCACAGCAAGGACCTCCGCAGGGACCAGCACAAGGGCAGCAGAACCCGTACGAACAATTGTCCTCCCCGCCTCCACAACAAATCCCACAAGATCAACAGCCTCCGTCGGATCCATACTCGCAACAGCCGCCTCAACAAGGTTATGGTTACCCACCATCACAACCTGGATACGCACCACCTGCACCACCTGGTGCTGCCTCTAGCCCCGCGCCACCTGCCCAAGGTTATCTGGCATATCGCCCTGGAGGACAAGCTCCGAGCGCGCCACCCGTGGGAGGAGATGATGCTTCTGGTTTCTACCGATAGGACCGGTCTTGGAGGAAGATTGCGTGATGATATATCATGTAGTTGATATAGTTGCAGTGTAGCGTAATATCCGGTCTGGAAAGATCAGAATACTACCAATTTGTGACAAGTTTCGTCTGAATTATACATTGTGACGTCTACATGAACTGCATATTGTGACTATCCCGCAATCATCAACATCTCACAGTGAACCATTTCAGCATAAATCTTGTAGACGTCAAGCAAACATTGTTGTGTTCCGTCAAGTTCCGAGATTTAATTCTCGATCACACATTGCATCATTTCAAAGATCAAACATGTTAGCCTTCATCTCTGTAATTCTTCTACAGCTATAGCAATATCCCAATTTTGGGTTCGACCAAGATGAAGTCATAAATGCTCCTTCCCATGCTGAAATGAACATCATGTGCGCCCACAAGATCATTTAACCCCAAAATATGCTCCAAGCTTTTGGTAAACAGTAAGAGTCGTCACATCCCTATATATTCGTGAATCTGAAAAACTCCCTAAGCGCGCTCCCTACGGCCACCACCGTTACCACCCTTGGATACGATGTCGAGGATCATCTGGCGAGCCTCTTCGCAGCCGTCCTTGGTACCGACGATCTCGATAGCCTCATCCTTGGCTTGGTCGCGAGGAACCTGAATCTTGGTGCCTGTCTTCTTACGAAGGTCATTGATTGTGGCACCACCAGGTCCGACGACGAGCCTGTGAGATGTTAGTATCGCTGGATTACTGTATATACCAAAGGATTTAGCTTACCTGTAGCTTCGTGGGTCGGGCAGAATGAGGTAGCCAGTAGAGGAAGGCTTGGAAGCAGCCTTGATGGCATCCTCGAGCCTCTGGCGGGCCTTGGGAAGGCTCTCAGTGGGTCCACGCAGGATCCAGGGGATGGTGGCAGTAAGGTCGGCGCCCTTTTCCGGAGCGTTGTTGTCGACAATCTCCCACGAGTGTGAATCGGCACCAGCGCTTGCATCATCAGTAATCAAAGGCAGAGCGCCGTTGGCACCCTTCCTAGCCTTTCCGGCCTCGGCCTGAGCAGGCTTCGCGGGCACCTGTTCGCCGCCGTGGTCAACGGTAACCTTGTGCTGGTTTCTGAGTTGACGGAAGAACTGGCCGTTGTCTGAGATGGTGTGGTGAAGGTGGCGGGGGACCTGGATGGTCTCGCCTTCTTGACCCTTAACCAGCTCAAGAATGTGCTCCTTAGCCTTCTCGACGGCAGCAGGCTCACCAGTGATCTTCACCTGACTACGGGCAGCACCAGTGGTAGTCTGCTTAGGAATATCGAGTTGGATGTTGAGCTGCGATTCTAGGGAACGACGTGTCTCGCCACCACGACCAATAAGCAAACGGTGCTTGTCGGGAGAAACCTCGATGGTCTCAGTTGTTTGGTTCTCTAGCGAGGAGACTTGCGCCTTGAGGGCGGCAACAATCTTCTCAACAACATTCTTGGGACCTTCAACGCGAATAGCCGACTCGTCAGACTCTGCGCGAGGGAAGCGAACCATGCGAGCCAAGTCACGAGAGTTGTCAGGTCCACCAGCCGAGGTAACGATGGAGCGGATGTTGGCACCGCTGCCACCAATGAGGTTCCTGTGGTGCTTCCTGTCAACCTCCAGAGTCTCAACAATGGTATCGTCAAATTCGCGAGCACGCTCTTGTAGGACCTTCTTGGCTGCCTCAACCGCCTTCTTGGTACCCTTGAGCTTGATCTCTGCGCGACCAGATGGATCAGCGCCATCGCGCGCACCGGGAACGTCAATCTGGCAGCCAGTCTCGAGGCGGATGTTCTCCATCTCGCGACCACCTGATCCAATCAGACGAGGGATATTGCTCTGAGCGACTGAAACAGTGTCGCTGAAAGAGTTGTCCTTGATGTACTGGAGCAGACTGAGTACCTCGTCACGGGCCTCATCTGCACCCTTCCTGGGTCCTCGAACAATGACTTCGTCTTGGTTCTGACCAGACTTGACGTTCTTCTGTGACGATGCGTCTCCCGCCTCGTCATCGTTTTGTGCGCGTCTAGGGAAGTTGATGCGTACACCGTAGCGGTCCTGAAGACGCTCGACCTGCTTGCCACCGGCACCGATCAGGTCACGGTGGAACTGAGGCGCAACCTTCAAGATGTGGGTAGCCTCATCTTCGAGCTTCTTTGCCATGTCAAGAATGTCCTTCTTGCATTGCTGGGCCTTGGCTGAAGGTCCCTTCAGCTCGACCTTGCCGTCATTGATTTGAACATCAACGTCATACTTCTGGCGCAGACGTTGAATGTTCTCTCCGCCCTTTCCAACGAGATGACTCGCGTACTTCTGGGGGTAGTCGAAGGTAGTGACGTGGTTGCGCTCAAGCTCGTCCTTCTCAGCTTGCTCGATGAAAGCGAGAATCTTGGCATTGAGCTCGTCAACAGCATTTGATGGTCCACGAATAGCGAAGCTGTTGTTCGAGCGACTGTGAGGCTCCGGTCGTCGCTGGCCAAACAGCGCCTGAACGGGAACCTGGTCAGGGTTGAGGCCCTGCTGCTGTTCGTTGACAAATTGCTCGATCTTGCGGTGGAACTTGGGGTTAGATTCCAGTCCACGGGTATCGATTTGCGGTTGGTTCTTGGTCAACCCAAGGATGAAGCGCTGAGCATCTTGCAGACCTTGCTGGTATGCCTTGATCTCAGCTGGGGAGGGTCGGCCACGAGGAATGGCGTATTCATCGTACGGGGTCTGGCCTTCGTAGACGAGAATCAACTCTGGTGATTGCTCAGTCTCGTCAGGGAAGACAATGTGAACACCGTGATCCTGTCGGACCTTGGGTGCGTTTTGCTGTCGCAAGAATTGGTGGTAGAAAGGATCGACGTCCATGGTCGCAAAGCGGCTAGGTGGGTGCGACTGGAAGAGGCTCATGATGTCGCCACGGGCCTTCATGCTGTTCTTTCCGTCGCGAGCGTAGATCTCCCAGCCAGTTGGTGCGTCACGGTCAGTAGGTACAACAATGCTGGCCTCGTGCATGCGCTCAAGATCGGCCAGGGCCTTTCGTTGGCGCAGGTAGCGCGTCAGGTTGTGTGCGTGTGCCTGTGAGTTAGGGCCCTTGTGCTCACGAGCAGCGTCCGCAGTAGCCATGGTCATGCTAGCAGCAAGATCCTCGAGCTTGTTGATACCCTGCTCGATCTTGTTGGGCGGGCCGACGATGTAAACGGTCTCGCTGTCGTCCGAGCTTGGGGGCAGGACGATGCTGCAGCCAGTCTCCTCGAGGAAGTCATGGAGAGAGTTGCCCCGCTCGCCGACAATGAACTGGTGTCGGCCACGCTCAATGGACCGTTGCTCGATAGCCAATTGTTGGCGGAGTTGCTGAGCACGACGCTCAAGCTCGGCCTGAATCTGCTGCGCGGCGGCACGGTCACCAGAGACTTGGATGGGGAAGTTGGCCTGGGGCGCAAACTGAGCGGGCTGACCGCGAGTGGTCTGGGGAGGTGCCTGAGATTGCCAAGTGTGGTACTGGGGAATCTGGATGTTGACATCGCGGCCCTGGACAAGCCTTTCGGCGTGGACATTGTTGGGACCAGCAAGGAAGGGGTAGAACTCGGCAGGGATGTCCTTCAGACGCAGGTTCACGGTCGAGGTGCGTTCATTGACGATGGCGTCAATCTCACGACGAGCCATCTCAGCAGTCAGGGCATTGCCCTCAATGTGAACATTGACCACAGTATCCTCATCCTCGCCCGGCTCGGCCTTGGGGACCTGAATGCGGGCGCCGGTGCGCTTGCTGATTTCCTGGATCTTGGAACCTTGACGGCCGATGATGTGGGCACGAACGGAGGCAGGGACGGGGACATCGACGGATTGCTGGTAGTGGTTAGCTTTGGTTCCATTGAGATGCATAGGTGGCTTACCTTGGAGCCGACTTCATTGGCGACTTCCTTGAGAGCCTGCCTGACAGCTTCAACCGGACCGGTGGCCTCGAAGATGAGAGCTCCCTGGCCCTGCTTGTAGTCGAGCTTGGCCTTGGAGCGCCTGTTGATATCGCGGACAATCTCGTTGATGGGCTTCTTCAGCTCACCACGGGGAGCGACTTGGTGGGCGGCGAGCGAAATGCGCTCAGTGTGCTTGCCAGGGATATTCATGGACGGGAGGGCGGGGCCACGGGTAGGAGCGGACTGGGCGGTTGCGCTGCCATTGACACCGTTGGAGGTGACAGCGGCAGGCTTCTTGCCCCAGGTAGGGGCAACAGACGCCTGAGCGCGAGGCTTGACGGGACCGAGAGCCGGGAAGGCCTCCTCGGACTGGGTGTTCAAAGCAGGCTTCTTAGGGGCAGCAGGAGCGTCGTCGGCCTTTTGCTTGCCGGCGGCCTTCTCGCTGAGAGGTGCAGCGGTGTCGGAGGCAGGAGCATGGGCAAGTTCGTCCTCGTCGGGGACGTCCTCGACGGTGACATGGTGGTCAGCATGTTCCTGCATAAGCTTCTGCGCCGGGGTCAGGCCCTCGGTGGCAGAGCTAGCAACTGCTTCAGATGCCATGGTTGAGTATTAAACCGTTTCGACAGATACCAAAGGGCGTTCGCGTGGACGGTGAGAGGGGAAGCTTAGAAGCTCGGAGCCAGCTTGACGTGGTAGGAATGAGTATCGGAAAAAGATGTCGTCCTGTTGTACAAGATCGAGGTCAGCAGGTGGTTGAGAAACCAGTGGAGAAATATAAGGGTAGAGGTAGGGTCCAGTCGCTTGCTCACTGGAACTTTAGTGCGTTGGTTGGCTGTGCGTACCTGGGTACGAGGTAATGTCACCCGGAACTTGGCCCACGGAATTCGTTGCGCAGATTTGTGTGCTGTTGCTCAGCAGGCCATAACGTGGATGTACAGACGGTGAGAGTTCAATTGAATAAATATATCACTATTACAACGGCAGAGGCCCGACTCCGAGGATGCAATGTGGCCAGCCAGACCTCGAATGTCCCAGTAGCTTCGAGGACCGTGCCTGCTGCAGCTGCATCCCGGTCCGCGCTATTCTGAATCCCGCTACGGGTAAAGCGCGCTAGCCTCCACACCTCTTACAACCTCGATAATCCCAATCACCTTAGTTGTTGTTGTCGTCAAGTTTCCGCAGTGGGAGGTTGAGAACCAGGGAAACAGACAGTACCGAGTGCATGATTGGCTCCTTCTAACAACCACCGGTTTGCACACACGACAGAGCTCGAATTTGACGTGAAGAAGGGTTATTTGCAAAAGAAAATACAACTTTGACACCTCCATCTCAACCACCCTGTTTCACCCTATCCATCACCAGCCTCGGTCCACTCCTGCTTGTCCCCTCTTTGGTCGAGTTTCCCACGTTACCGTCGCCCAATACTTCGGGTTGAGCTTTTCGCTGTATTTGCCCCCCAGCATGAGGTGATCACGAATATCCCCTTTGTCGTTATCCCATTTACAGTAGACCTTTCTCATTCCCCCACCCTTCTCCTTGGTAAACCCCATAAACTTCTCCTTGCAAAGCTTGGCACTGGGGTAATAGCTCCACTTAAGCTGGCCGGTAGTCGGAAATCCACCAACGGGAGGAGCATTACCATTGTCGACTGCGATTCTGAAGACCCAATCTATTGGCTTGCCGTCGTGACCGTTTAGGGTGAGCGTCATAACGAGTGGTTTGTCCCAGTAAACCTTTTGCTCGCCATGATTGTCGCAGAATTGGCTCATTCCTCGTTCCCATTCTGAGAAACTAGGGAAGTGGTTCTTGTTTCCCGGGCATGCGTTAAGGTCGAGTCGACGAACAAGATGCGTCGAGGTGCTATTGGACCGTTCGTGGAGCGTTGCCCCGTATGTGGAGTAGCGAGGGGCCAGAGGGGTGGTCAGAACCATGGTCGCAAAGGTGACGAGCCATACGAGGCCTAGTATAGTGGGGTACATGAGTTCAAATCCTCTTGCTTTGTTCTGATCCAAGAGTGTGTGTATTCCTGGAAGCGAAGGTGAGTAGGAGCAGGAGACGATTCTATACTGTTCTATCAATTGTTACCTTCCTGGTACCTGGGTGGGTACGACCTACCCCATCACTCACCACTTGAAATCCGAAGCACAGTGAAGGATACAGATACGAGTGCGTGTCATAGACATCGTGAAGCGAAACCCGGCGTGTACTGTTATACTTCTCGCAAACGTTGATTTGGCCCACAGAGAGGGCAGACTTCATAAGGTGTGGTCACAAAGACAACAAAGAAGCAATCTGCATAGCCCTTCACATGTCAGTCTGAGCCCGAATAACGCGATGAAACACGCGAAATTGAAGTACTAACGATGGCTCTTCGCTAAGAGTAATGGGCGAATGTTAGTGATCTGGGTGATGTTGTAAATGGTATTGAGACTCGGTAGGGTAGTGGGTTATCGGGCATCTTTTCAGGCCATGGGGAGAGAGTGAGGTTGCGTTAGTCAGTGAGGATATACTGGATATGGAGGTGCGTAGGGTAGATGAAATGACGATGGCAAATCGGAGGGTGAATTGACATGCTATCTGGATAAGACCTGGATAGCAAGCAGACTGAGACCTTGGCAACAAATCGGTCATCTGTCAATGACCATGAAGTGTATATCGCGCTTAGGAGACATTCACAACAAACACCTTTGACGTATGAGCGGGGCACAAACGACCTTCTTTGTAAATCCGGAGAATAAAATAGACTAACAAAGACTTTGGTATGGCGCAGCATAGGGCAGTGCCATGTCAGGGAGGTCTAAAACATCAGACCATGAACGCTTTGGGAAGATCCGCACAGTGAACGCATGTAGCGTGACTGGCTTTTGCAAATTGTGAAAAAGTTCTTTAAGTCAACGACTATGCAAATTGCAAATTGCATAGAAACTATCGGACACTGATGATTGCGTAAGGGTATGTGTATTGGGTGTCTACTTCGCTTCCTTCTCTACCCTCCCTTTTGTCTTTCCATATGCACCACCAGCCAATTTCCGCATTTCTAGCGCCCTCTTGTACGGTGGCGCAGTAGGTGGTTGAACGGGATCCAGACTGACTCTGTCCTTGGGCAGATGATACGTTGCATCCGAATCATACGCCGATAGATCACCACAAGCCAGGAACGGTGCTATCCATCGCTGTCCGCCTTCCTCGATGTCGTTTTCATCTTCAGTCTCAGAACCCAGATCAATCTCAATAGCTCCATCCTCTCGAACACGTCGAGTGACCTTCTTCTCCTGTCTCTGTGTGTCCGAAGGTGCTGGGGTAGGTAATTGCGTCCCCGCGCCGAGCGGCTTGTCCAAACTAGCAGTGAAACCTTCTGGTGGACAAAAGCCCTCGCATACAACGAACGCCTCGATACTACTTGCGCGACTACTCCTAGGTTTTGCTACACGCACCCTTTCAAACACGATCTTCAACTGTGCGAACAGCAGATCGACATCCTTGCCTCTAAAAATCTTGGCTACGAACTTGCCTCCAGGTTTCAGGACGCAGAGAGCGAGGTTGAGCGCCGCCCACAAGAGCTGGCTTTGTACGTAAATGTCTAGATCATGCAGTCCAGTGACATCGGGCGCGCCGTCCGAGATGACAAGGTCAACAGGCGATGAGCCTTGAGGTGCAGCGGGATTGTACGTGTCTGGGTCCAGGGCTTTGAGCATCAGAGGAATGGTGGAGGGGTGAGTGATGTCTGCACGCATTGTTGTCACACCTTCGAGGGGGCTCATGGGCTGGAGATCGATGGCCACGATGCGCACGCCTTCTCTAGGCTTTGGTTTGTCTTCCGCTTTTACTTCTGATGGAGGGGTTGCCTGCGAAGTTGACTCTTTCTTGTCAAGACCCAGTACATAACTTCTTGCGGCAGCTTGCTTATCCTGCCAACCTGCTCGTCCAAACTTCTCTCCTTTGATGAGTACACGTGAGAGTACTTGACTCCAACTTCCTGGTGCGGCGCATAGATCGACAACTCGTGTGACTCCTTCGAATAGGTTAAATTCTTCGTCTAGTTGGAGAAGTTTGTAGGCTGATCTGGCTCGCCATCCTTCTTCTTTTGCCAGACGGTAGTAGGCGTCTCTCTTATCCTTGGATGATTTTCCCATATCTGTCTGATTCCGCTATCCCTGCCTCTTTCTGTTTTCCACTGTGATTTTGGTTCTCTACTCCCCGCGATGTGACCAAGTTTACTGCTGTGGGGGATTCGCAGCCACTCTTGACCAATATGTTCACCTAGTTTTGTCCTACTCTTTCTACTTCGTGCTGATCACACAGACAACGCAGATCAGAAAAACGCCGATCAACGAGTGCGAGTCATGCACGTGAAGTGTGGGAAAGTGCTGCTCAGGCTAGAGTGATGTGGGGCACCCCCGAGGCCCCGAACGCCGAAAGTTTTCCAAAAAGTTCGCGCGCGCACCTGTTGCACGACGAAACTCAATCGTCCGACATCCACGATGAAGCGTCCTAATACCGCCCCGCAGAAGCCGTCGCAAAAGGCGCACAAACGCCAAAAAGTCGAGCGTACAAAAGCAGCGCCCTTTCCGAAACCTTTCCCTTCGTCGACGAAAGCCAAGCGCCGGGTGCAACTCAACGAGCTAGGATGGAAGCCCGTGTCTATGCCCGATCGGTTGGACGATGTCGAAGGCTTCTATGGGCTCGAAGAGATTGACGATGTTGAGATCGTCAAAGACCCAGTTACTGGAAATCTCACCTTCGAGACTACTAAGACAGAAGAAGAGGTGGCACAAGATGTAGAGGAAGCATGGCAGCGGGAAGAAGACGAGGCAAAACGCTTGGAGGCGATAACTTTTGGGGATGGCGAGGCAGAGGAGAAAGAAGACACTACACAAGCAGACGCTGCACACGAACCAGCGCAGGAGGACAACGAAGAGGTTGCATGGGAGGGCTTCAGCGACGAAGAGGATGCGCAAACAGCGGCACCTGCGCAGGCGGCAGACGCAGATGTTACGGATGTCGCAGATGCAACTACCACCAATGGCGAGCCAGAAGCGAAGAAACTCACAAAGACGGAGAAAAAGAAGAGGGCCAAGGAAGCAAAGCTCAAGAAACAAGAAGAGGAAAAGGCCAAGGCAGGACTACAGACCACAGATGATGCCGAGGAGGATGAGGATGAGGACGAAGAGGTTGAAGAGGACGAAGTCGAAGATCGCGAAGATGGCGAAACCTTCGGACCCGGCGCATTCGATATTCTGGCGAACCAGCCCGACGACGACGATGACGAGACAGATGTGCGCGCATGGAACGAATTGGACCTTTCCGAAGAGATGCTAGGCGCTTTAGCAAAGCTCAAGTTCTCGAAACCCACCGGTATCCAAGCGTCTACGATACCCGAGATCATGGCAGGGAGAGATGTTATTGGCAAGGCCTCGACAGGTTCGGGTAAAACACTGGCTTTTGGTATCCCAGTCATAGAGTCGTGGCTGGCTGCTCGATCGACGGCCAGAGATCCTGAGGACAAAGCACCCATCGCACTGATCATTGCGCCAACACGAGAACTTGCGCATCAGATCAACGCTCACTTGATCGCTCTCTGCGCGAAGGGTGACTTCGACCCCCCGTACATCGCGTCAATCACGGGTGGTCTGTCCGTTCAGAAGCAGCGCAGGCAATTGGAAAAGGCAGACATCGTTGTCGGTACGCCAGGACGACTGTGGGAGGTCATTAGCGGTGGTCAAGGCCTGCTGCCTAAATTCAAACAGATCAAATTCCTGGTCGTTGATGAGGCTGATCGTTTGTTGAGCGAAGGGCACTTCAAAGAAATGGGAGAGATTCTCAAAGTCTTGGAGCCTGACGATGAGCCCAATGAGAATGGTGACGAGAAACCAGCGCCAGAAACCCAACGCCAAACTCTTGTGTTTTCAGCGACTTTCGGAAAGGACTTGCAAAGAAAGCTCGCTGGCAAGACTAAATATAGCGGAGATCTCATGAGCCAACAACAGTCTATGGAATATCTACTCAAGAAACTCCGGTTCCGCGAAGAGAAGCCGATGTTTGTTGACGCGAACCCGACCTCGCAGATGGCCAGCAAGCTGCAGGAGGGACTCATAGAATGTGCCGGGACTGAGAAGGATCTTTATCTCTATTCTCTACTAATGTTCTACACAAAGAAGCGCGCTCTAGTCTTCACCAACTCAATCTCTGCGGTCCGTCGCATAACACCGTTCCTAACAAACCTGGCTCTGCCAGCTTTACCACTACATTCGAACATGCCCCAGAAAGCTCGTTTACGATCGATCGAACGGTTCAAGGAGCGACCTGGATCCATCTTGGTTGCCACAGACGTTGCTGCCAGAGGTCTTGACATACCCAAGATTGACTTGGTCATACACTACCATCTGCCTCGTGCCGCCGATACATATGTCCATCGATCAGGACGTACCGCACGTGCAGATGCTTCAGGAGCCAGTATCTTAATCTGTGCTCCCGAGGAAGTCGCGGGTGTACGGAGGCTTATTGCTAAGGTTCATGCACGTGCCAGCGATGCTCCTAAATCCAAGAAGACAGCTTTCTTCATCCGTACCCTGGACATTGACCGCCGCATCGTCTCACGCTTGAAGCCTCGTGCTACCATCTCGAAAAAGCTATCTGACACCGTCATCGCAAAAGAGAAGAAGCATAGCGAGGACGATGTACTACGACGAGCTGCCGAAGATCTTGGTGTCGACTACGACAGTGAAGAGTTTGAAAAAGAAGCACCAGGCAAGAGAGGCCGTGGAAGTGGCCGCAAAAAGAAGGAAAAGGAAGCGGGCGAAATGACAAAAGCAGAGATGCAATCACTGCGGGCAGAGCTCAAGCATCTCCTGAGTCAGAGGATCAACACCGGTGTCAGTGCGAGATATCTGACAAGTGGCGGCATCGATGTTGATGCGCTTGTGGCTGGAGAGGGCAATATGGAGTTCTTGGGTAACCTGGATGGACTTGGATTTGACGAAGTTGCTGAATAGTTCTCGCTCCATTTGGACGATACCCACCAAGTTAGATATACGTTACCGCCTTATACTACGAAGTTTCAATCTGTAGACGATGTCAAAATTTCTGGGTCTTTCATGACTTTTTTGCTAGTATATTGTGGAAGGGCGGACGGCAATCTCAAGAACCCAATTTACAAACAACAGATTCTTATAACATTCTCGCTATTCTAACCCTTTTGTTGCTAATCACGTTTGCTCGACAAGCTCTAGGGGCGCTCTGGGTGCTTCTGATAACGTAGGGCTTCTCGTACGCCAGAAGCTAAGAAGAGTATGACGAGTTGTGTGTCTGACGGGCAGAGAGAAACTCAATGAAAGTAAGAAATGACGTAACATGTTCCATTAAACCTCCCGCTCGTATAGTGAGATCTGTTGCCTTAATCGGCTGTTCCCAAAGAAGCTGCACCCGATCTTAAATAGCTACAGGACAAAACACCCGTAAGCTCAGAGAAGAATATATGTCTAATCAACGCATGACACACGAGACCGCAGACATGAAGCCCAGAAACGACGGAGAAACGGCGCCTTCGGACGCGAAACGCGGCCCAGTACCTGAAAACAGCCATGCTGACACTGCAGACGAGCTCGACTCAATGTCGCGCGAAGTTGCTGATAGTCTCCAACATACTCGTGCCCTCTTCCTCCAGGACCTGGTAACGATACTCGTTGTTTATACAGCATCACTGTTTATAGGCCACCACTTCCTTGTTTCACTCTTCTTCATGCTACTTCTAGGACTTGTCGCCGAGATGAGACTGCAGAACATGAAACAGAACTTCGAGAAGGCAATCGCCGCTATACGCCTGGGTTACGACGCTACGATCGAGAACGGCAACGCAACCATGAAGGTCTGTTTCAAAGGCAATGAAGCGATCAAAGATCTGGCCCAGAGTTCGCTCGATATAATATTCAATTCGCAGAAAGCGTTGTACAAGAGTAGCGAAGCCTTCGCCCAGTTGAAGGCAATTCGCGAGAGAGACATCCTTATGTTGCGCAAACAAGAGAATGAGATGCGTCTGGGGTGCTTCCAGGTGTACTTGAGTATCTACGAAGGCCTTATCGATGTGATCGAGCAAATTGTCAAGAAGGTCAAAACTACCGCACCACCGAAAGTCAAGGGTACGAAAACCAACAGCAAGAATCATAACGAAGGCCTCCAGAACAACATCACAGACCCTCTAGAGGTCGTGGCTGCCAAGCTGAAGCAACGTCAGTGGACGACCAAGAAACAGATCGCTGTGGCGGAGAAGATCAAGGCTATACTTGAACGCGACGGCTTGCTCCCAGACGAGATTGATCGACTGGTCAAAGAGGTGGAGGGAGATATCCAGCACTCGCAGAACGCATCACTCCTTCAGCGACCAGTAGGCCCTCGTGCACCCAACACTGGGATTCCGCCATCGCCGCTCAACATGGATGTGGATGGAAAGCTGGAAAGGCATTGTGAAGATTTGGACAAGGGGTTCCAGGGCTTGCATGACCGACCTGTTGCAGAAGACGAGGGCTAAGGAGGGAGATGGTACGGGAGGTATCGCCACTCTATCCCATGATCATTTAGGTCGCATAGAATGTCTGCAGAGATCCCGAACTAGGAGTTATACACACCTGATTGCGACAATGTACTCTGCTATCCACTGTCATAGATAGAGCTTTGGTGAAGAGAAGGTCCAATGTCACATGCCGCGCGTCATTTTCAGGTTCCCTGACCGAAGGTTACATTCAAAAGTACAGGTGTTTGTGAAGGTTCATCTCCTGCAATAACCAAGGTTTCCACGATGCGATCCATCAGCTTCAGCGCGAAGACCAGAAGAAACCTAATCAGGATTCTGGCGTCTTGGCAAAAGGTGACGTGTGCATCATCTACACGTCGCTCGACGCGATGTAGACCCACGACTCTTTCTTGTTACCTAGGTAACATGCAAAGCCTGACATCGAAAGTGTAAGTGGTTAGACACCTATTTGAATATAAAAACGTGAGCATGAAAGTTATTTCTCAACGAAAACGACATGTATGTAGTCGTTTACTTCTAGTTTCGGGCTGATGCGCCATTTTCTGTCACCAGGAGCGGCTAACAAGGCTTTTTGTCTAGCTGAGCATTCTTACCTTATCTTCGAATAAGAATGTCTAAAACGCAGCATAGAGCCAGCGTTGCGAAAATCTTCAACATTGACTTCATGTATATCTCTACGGTGTGCGGCAAACAGGTAGCTCTCTACTTCGGTGGTAAAGTATCCAGGATCAGAAGGGGCTCAATCTATCCTAGCTTTTCTCAGCCTCATGCATGTTGCACGCTCGAGGATGTGCTGACATACAGCGTGATTCGTCAAGTACTCACCGGTCACCTCTTCATAACTTACAGTCGCGTTAATTCTAAGAATACCCAAGTCCTCAACCTCGGCCCCGGACGCCATCGCTTCGTATATTTAAGCCTAACTACCCGCTTGCAGCGTGTAATTACCAGCACACACTCAACGATAGCGGAGTTTTCACGATTGTTTTTTAATTTTGGGGGCATGGCGACGACAAATCGTATTCCATGGCGATATGATTACTGGAAGAGGGATCCCCAGAGATTGGCAGCGTACGACGAACATACTCTAGTATCGGTACATGAAGACAGCGCAAGTCATAGTGTCTAGTATCAATGTACTGGACCTAACTGCTAGCAGACAGGAGTGGTGTTTCAACAACGAGTTATCCACGACGAAGACATTCCCAAGCTATGTGAGCGCACGGCATCACTACAGTCAGAGATAAAGTGGTCATATAATCTGTGCGTGCAAAGCCAAATTTGAACAGTATGATCTACTAATCTAGTGAGAGGCTCGTAACACGCCAGAAGGATAGCGATGGTCAAATACGTCCTATCCCTTATTCTTTGGGTGCTATCGAAGCCATCCACTCTTACTGGAATGTACCGTACAACCACATTCCTAGCTTCAAGTCTATAGAAAGCTGTAACATTACCTTCTCTCCCATAATAGGCAATGAGTCTTGGAAAGGTACGTTCGCTCCTACGCTGCTTTAGTCAGAAGAGCACAACGTCATCCACACAGAACCCAAGGGTCAGATCCGCTGCTCATAACTGATGGAAGTAGGCCTCGTCATCGAAATGAGTACCGCTACGTCGCTAGTCACTTATGATAGCGCTAATCATCGAACATTCGGCCTCTGCCTTCTAAGATTTGAGGAGGATGGGGAACGCCTTGTGCGACGTATCGAACGCCTCCCTAATTTTGCTGCCAACCCACTGTTCGCACCATTTCTCATTGCTGAAATCGCAGTACACGGTACAGAATATCAGATTGACAAAGACTATGGGGCAAGTCTGCGCATGGAGGAAGCGCTGGGCTATTGGTCACAAGACTCAGACGAGCGTGTGGAGAAAGACTTGAACTTTGCAAATATGATACAGTCTTTGAACACACTCTCGATTGCAGTTGCTAACACAGAGTACATCCAAACTAGAATGATATCTGCTATAGAGCTTCTGAACGACCAGGTTCCAGTATGGCCCAAAGAACCTGGGGCTCTTGTTGGTATTGAGTTACAGGAGCAAGCCAGATTGCTACAGCAGTTTACTCTGAATTGGAGGGCTGTATCCAGACGAACAAAGGACAGCGTTCAGTCAATGACACAAACTGTATGTTCCTGAGCCGAGACCCCTAATACTGGCTATGTCTAACAGTAATAGATATACGCAACTCTTCAGCAAAGAGACAACCAGCTCAACCATCGCTACGGTGCCGACATGAGATTGATTACCGCGATCACTCTCATCTTCCTTCCTGGAACCTTCATCGCAACGTTCTTCAGTACGACATTCTGGGATTTCTCTCCTGGTAATAGAGGAGCGAAAGTAACCTACTGGGTATATTTGTACTTTGCAGTTACAATAGGGCTGACGCTCTTGGTGCTCGTAGTATGGAGGAGCTTCAGTGTGTTCAAACGACTGACTACAAGTATGGTGCAAGTAATGCACCGAATACCTTTGCTGGGAAGACTGATAAAGAAGAAACGAGTGGATGATGAAGAGCTGGGGAAGAAGGGCGATTGAGACACTCTTGATGGCTGTATCGTACTCATGGCGAGGCTCTCCTTCCAACTGTAGCCTAACCAGAAACTCCTCAGTCATTACGGCAGTATAAATTTGGTGTGGCGTATGAGGTAAGTCTCGAAAAATCCCGCGATTCGTAGTCCTTAATACACCCGCTTCTACTTTCCGGCCCTAGAACTCCCATCTTGTCCAAGCCGTATGGAGTTCAAGCCCGCCCTGTCATCTGACATCTCATCTCCACTCACCGATTCAATCATAGTTTCCTCATCTCTGGATGTCACTCTCATCCGCCAGCTTCTGAACTTTTTTCCACAATTTTTCCACGCCCTGTGACATGAGCGCAATTATGAAGTCAACGTACATATTTCGTTCGTTCTCGTCCAACATGACGAATGAGAGGATATATACGTATGTGGATATGAAGAACAACTCGACCACAACGAGAGCTGCGGGGCGGTAGGGTGAGCGTGCCACTCGTTCTTGGAGAGTCCAGCTAGTGCATGCACCACTTGATTGTAGTTGATGAAGACCTGGCTGCTTCTCGGCGGAGGTTGCGTGTTGCTGGAATGATTTCTCTGACGGAGATGACATCTTGGAAAGTTGAGGACCCCGACTATTCAGTGATGTTGAACACTAAAAAGGTGGAGTCAGACGGGGCTGGATTTCGAGGAAGGAGCTTGTGTCGGTTTTGTAAGTGAGTAGGTGGGCTTATGTCCTTGTGCTTTACGGCACGGCAAAGAGCAAGGTATCTGTTGGTAAGACCGCCTTGCTGTGCCGCATGGATCACTCTTCCTGCGGTGATATAATCTTCACAGCACGTATAGCATTGGAAAGAAGGGTACTTTGCTGAGTTGGGTACGGGATAAAATTGATGAACGAGTCTACGTAAAAGCAAAAGACTCAACATACAAAGACCTGAAACAAGAGCTCTTGGCTGTGATGGAAACAGCGGCTGTTGAAACGATGCTGACTTTGTGACAAGATGAGTCGCTAGTGCGCTGAATGGATGTGGTGCAATGCGGTGCGGGATCGCTGACTTTCCTTGATCCTCATCTTCTCCAGCTCTACTGGGGAAAGATGTGCGAATCGTACAAAAAGGTTGATGTCATGCAATTGAAATGGTAGAGTAAGATGACGTTGCCTCATGTGATCAATGTTTCAAAGTCCTACTGCGCCGCAGCAACCATGGGACTATGCATGCACCGTGCCACAAGAGGCCTCCCAGTCTCCAGTCTCAACACATTTCCTGTTGCTTCCCTAATGACAGGCTTTCATCCACCCTTAGCTCTACCCCGTACAAATTCATCCCATCCTCAAGCTCCTCATCTTCGTACATCGACCCAATGTCCACCTCATCATCTCTGATCGCTCTACTGTGCCTACGGTGCCTGTATTTCTCCCACTGAACAGCACATATGCTCGCCACGGGTGGGAGGAAGAGAATAGAAGATAGGTCGTACATATCCCAGTATATGATGCTGGAGATTTCTAAGGCGAATAGGACAGCGAAGGCGATGGTGACGGGTCTATTGGCGATTTTGAAAAAGTTGATCGGTTCGTCGTGACGATGCGGAGTATACCGAGGCCTGTACTCTGCTTCGGTAGATGTTGTGGAAGGAGTACCGGCGCGTGAAGGTAGTGCAGATGGAAATGAATCCAAGCTTGGGGATCTTGGTGGAGATGGTTGCTTTGGTAGCGTTGTGTGAAGCTCATTCTTGTAGCTGACGAGTCCAGCCATTGCAATAGACGCGGAAGACACTTCCTGGTTAGTCTGTATGGAGAAGAAGCGCAGAAAGAGGACCCACAAACGTTTAATACACTGGGTGGCTGCTGTGCCTCACTCATCCAAATCGCAGGCGGTGTGACAGATCATGAAATCTGCCTTGCTGTGCCGTAAGAGACATTGGGGGTCACCCTTGTCAGCCATTCGAAACGAGAAAGATGTAACTACGCCATACAGTCTAGGCTGAGAGTCCAATGAGGGCGAAGGAGCGGTATCATAAGGCATCCTTATCACCAATCACCCATTTCGGTTTGCATGCTGCGCGAGATACGCCTTCTTCCACCTCTCATAGCCTTCACTGACACTGGTTCTCTCGTATTCATCTTGATCCTCATCATCACTTTCATTTTCCTCCACATGTACTTCCCACCCGCTCTTCTCCCCTCTTGCGACCACCCTCTTAACCCACATCCTCACCAGCCACCTGCTAATGACCAAACTCAATCCACCTACTCCAATAATAAAGGGGATTAATTGTCCGACACTGCTCCATAGTCCGCTGAGTCCGCTTACATGATTCCAACGTAAAGTCAATTCAAGTTGCAGAATGACGATGACGTGTATCAGAAGATCGAGGATGACGTAGTACCAACCAAGCCAGATCTTCTTTGGCGTTGCAGGGCTGGTGAGGAGAAGAGAAGAAGCCAGCGATACCGAGGTCCATGAAGGTAAGTGTTTCGGGTGAGGTGATGCTGCTGAATAGGCAAGAGCAGCGTATGTTTGGAAAGGTCCGTTGAGAGGGTCGAGGAGGCGGGATTGACGAAGGTGTGAATAGAGGACCAAAGCTTGTGGCGGGAAGCGACATGTCAGAAATGCTATGTAGCTATGTAATTGGCAGTGAAACCACGACGGTGGAGACGGCTCTGCGCCGGCTGGCGTACGGTACTGTCTGGGGAAGAGAATCGATCGTGCGATCACTGGGAAGGTGAGAGGTTTGCCATCGGTGCTCATCTGGTATGGACTTGCTGTAACACAGTGTTGAATATATAGCTCACTCTCATAGACTTCGTGAATGATGCAGAGATCTGGACTGTCTTGTAAGGTATTGGAACCGGTATGAGAAGATGATGCCGAGGTTGGTGATGGCGAAGATGAGATCTCTTGAACAGTGATGCGAGAGGACCGTTTGGAGCTTTCCTGGGAAGCGATACGAGGAGAGTATTCCCATTCTGCTGTTCGTCGCGCCAGGGGATCTGAGCGCGTGCGAACTAGGCTGAGTGGACGAACATGCCCGAAGCTTGATCCTGCCGGTAAGCAACGAGTGCAGAAAGCTCGAGGGCTTTCATGATGCAATCGTGTTTCCACAGAAGCATCATGCAGTGAACTACCTTCGCCTTCAGTCGCATCCTTCTCTTCTATCATCTCTTCATCTATGCTCCGTTGCTGAGATTCCTCCCACATCCTGATTGCGTCCACGAACTCTCTCCTCTTCTCTCTTACCTTCCACGCAGTCCACGGCCTCAAGAACTCCACTACCACCCAATAGATCGTGCAGAGTAACACGAAGAGACTCATAGCCATCATGACCTTCCTCGCCCAGCCAAGAAGACTTGTTTTGACAACATACATCATCAACCATGTGCCGCATGGCGTTGTCTTCATGTCATCCACCCCTGCCCACCAGAACCACACATGCAGACAGATGTTCATAAGGTTGACGACCTCGCACACGACCCGCCTCAAAAAGCTGCCGCGAGAGAAGGTAGCCTTTCTGTACGAGGACTTGGCTCGCACGCCCATCATACAACTCCATGCCAGTATCTGTAGCAACACGAATGCCTCTACGGCGTATACATCGGATGGATTCGAGGCAAAAATCAACGCGACGATAAGGATTGCGACGCTAAATATGCTGACGGAATCGCGCAGTACTTGGACTTCAGATAGGAGGAAGTAGTTTGCGAACCAGACAGCGAGGATTTGTGCGTAGATACCGATACGAATTCCGATACCGTAGATGTCGTTGTTGCCTTCGAAGCCACACGTTGGGTCGAGCGTTGTATGGCTGAGGATGTTGGGGAGCGATGGAAACGAAGTGTGGTGGTACATCAACGCTACGTAGGAAACGGTAACCGAGAGTAATCGTGACGGAACCTGGGAACATGTAACAAGCCAGGAACGAGATACTACATGTTAGCAACTTCTAATAGGCATCAATATCGTGTTGCTGCGCCGCACGCAGTCTATTATTTCTAAGCGCCCAGGTTCAGGCGTAGCGAAAGCCTGAGGCAAGCCATTCGCCACAGGCACAAGATGCTGAAACGGCGCGACACGGTCCATCAGCCGCGCGATAAAAGTGCAAGGTGTTGTAGGCCGCGGACAGCAAGAGCTTTGCATGCTCACACGCGATGTGCAGAACGTTTGGCGGAAGAAAGAGGCGCAGAATGAAAGATCTAAACGTCCTATTATCATGAGTAGTTATCAACAAGCTTACGAGCTATTGCTCTATTCCCAAACTCCAGAAAGATCCTCCGCTGTGGTATGCTCGCTCAAAATGTCCCCAAACACCTTATCCTGATCCTTGTTCCCTTATCGATCGCATGGTGCGCCATGCGTAGTATGTCTCCGCTTTCGCAAACGCATGCGCTGCCATCGATGGGACTCATATGCCGCCGTATGTGGTGTTTCTACTGTCGTGTTTACATGACAGTGCAAGGAATGCAGCAGCAACTGCAGTCGTCTGTGCTGATGCAGCTGCACTTGCCACCCTGAGGCTTGACAATAGAGCCAGCGGCCGAGGAGACGGAGTTTGTGGAGGCAGGCATCTTGGTGTATGAGTTTGCGCGGATCGCGTGGGGTTTGGAGTGTGATGAGTGGGTTGTAGACGGTCGAGTTGTACTTGTTGAGTCGCGAGATGACGGAGTTGCGCTGTGATGATGTCAGTAGTGTCCGCGGTCACAGAGTCGAGTGTGAACATACAGGTTGAGCGATGGAGAGAAAGAGAAAGCTAGGTCTGCGCGAGATGCTGAACAGTTGTGTTTGAGGAGGCAAAGGGGAGATTAATACGGTCGCAGAGGGCATCCAACCCTGCTTCAATGCTGCGCTGCGCATGGCGCTAGGCCAATGACACGCCCACGCTAAAGAAACATGACGTCTCCCCTTGTGGCAGTGAACGTGGCTAACGCCGCGCGTTCGGACATAGGCTCTCGACACATGTATCCATGTAAAATAAGACAAACACAAGGGAGGTATTTATGTAAACGTGCATTGAATCTATCAAACATCTAGACGGTAAAACTATACGAAAGGGTATTGCTGAATATGAGATGAGGAAAGCCCAATACCGTGTCTCGCCGTGAACATGCAGGTCTTGTTCGCGTCTGGCACTTGATATCTCAGACGTCTCTCCAAGTCGGCTGGCTCTTCTCAGCGAATGGAGTTTTGACAGCTGTGCTGAGTTAGCTAGCTTCACGAGGAATGTACGCAGCAGTCTTACCGTTGCTGTCTCCGAACGGGTCATCCTCATCCTCCTCTGGCTCACTGTCTGGCTCGACACGCTGAGGAGGCATAGGAATGCTCGTTGGCCGGGGTGGCTTTGGAGGAGCCGACTCGTTCATGTTCATGCTGGCCATAGCAGCAGATACGTTGCCCTCTTCATTGTCGCTGTCACTGTCGTCATCGATGCTCTTGTCCATGATTTCGAATGCCATGAGACCCTTGACTAGCTCGTCGTTGGCATTAAGAAGACCGCCAATGTACTGCTCTGACTCAACCAAGTGGATATAACGCAAGATTTGGCGACGAAGCTGCTTGCACGTCTCGAAACGTCGCATCACTTCTGGGTTGTCGCTGACTCGCTCTTGCTCACGGTTGATGAGCTGCAGCCCATTGAGCAAGTTTGTGCTAGCGACGTTTGCCGATGCCATCGTCTCGAGCATTTGTCCTTTCTCCCTCTCCAGATTGAATGGCTGGCCTTTGGTCTTCTTCTTGTCTTTCTTGTTCCTACTGAAGAGCGAGGTGGTTGGAAGAGGAGTACCAGCGCCGAGTACAACAGGTGTATTGGTTCTTGAGGATGACGCCTGTTGTGGCTCCGGCCGCCTGTTTCGAGGAGGAGAGGGCGAGTTATCCTCGCGCTCACGTGCGGCCTCGGCATCTTGCTGTCGCACAATTCGAGATTGCTGTGGTTGGGGACGCTTGGTACGAGGGAGTTCTTTGTGTAGTGCTGCTATTCGCTCAAGTCCAGGCGTTCCCTTGTATGCAACAGCCCATCCTCGAAACAGAACGTTGGCCTTCTGCCTAACATCCGCATCAACCGTGTCGTCCCTGGCCAGAATACGAAGTCGCTCGAGGAGGGGCTCGTCTGCAAAAGCTTTCTGGAACCTCGTACCAGCATTCTGGATTAAAGCGTCTAGGATGACCAGGGCGCGGATCTGCCGATGTACGTTGCCGTACTTGCTGATGAAGTGTTTAGAGCATGTCGTATGCACGTAGGGATTTGTCTTACAGCTTCTTTCGCAAAGCTCGTGCTGCTTCCGTAGGACCAGATGCCTGGATGCGAATGACTTCGATGAGATCGACAATGCCACCGACATCCTGCAACGATTAGCTTTGATATGAGATTTGCACGGGCCAACTTACATTCTCCTCGTATTGCTCGCTCGTCAATCGATCTATTTGGACCGTGACAGCCGAGAAAGCGTGTTTCTGCGATGTATCCATTGTCTTAGCGCCTTGTGACAGTGTCCAAAGAAACACAGCGGGCAAGGGTTCTCGAAAATTGGAAGCTCTGTATATGCTTTGGGATCCTTGTGGTGGTGAAGCGTTTTGCGAGAGGACTCTGTTGACGACGAAATTGACGGAGAAATTGACACGGACGGAGCTCTGTGATACAAGGGAAGTGCTTCGAGATCGGAACAGGCACTGCTACAGGAAGATCTCCTACGAAGCGACTCTCTGTTGAGGAGCGGTTCACCGTCATACCAAGAGGCGTGGGAAATCATGATTGTAATGAGAAGAGGTGTACAAAGGACAAATTGAAGTGAGACGATGTAATTGAAAGCATGGTGTGTAGGAACTCTTAAAGAGAAACCAATCTGAAGAACGACTTACAGGCATCGTAAGTTGGTCGCTTGATTTGACCCTTCAGGGTAAGCACCTGCTAAATCTGGAGGCGAAAAAAGCAATGCACTCCCGAACAGGATGTTTGCTTGCTTGTCAGAACGAATTTGGACACAATCAGGGCCTGGTGTTTTCAATAAGGTCTGAAAGCCGTCGGAGGGTCCGTCTGAAGGTTGAGATCCGGTGTTACAGATAAGAATAGACGACCCGGGCTTCCACGAACATGAGTTGACGAGTCGTGCAAAGTCCACAGGGTGAGGTGAGCGGCGATGGAAGAGGCTTGAAGCGAAAGTCTATGTAGTAGTGGCTGCCTATGTGCACGCGGTAGGTGAATGAGCTTCCTTGATCGGGCTGAAGCTACCTACCTTACTCAGCCCCCACTTGCGGGGTGCAACCACACGTCGCGCGACCTCCCCCATCAGGTTTCTTCACTTTACCTCTTGCACACCCCTCGCATATCGTATCGCTGCGCTAGAACCACAATGAACATGGCAAACGCGCTGCATCACGGTTGGAGTGCGGAAGTGACGGGTGCAGGAAATGGCGATGGCGCGTGAGAGGCCCGAAGCGCGTTCACTCACCTTTTCCCACCACACGTTGCTTTTGTCTCGCATCGTCTTAACTAACCTGAGGTATGCAGATATACTCAAATTTCTTTTTCTCCAACCTCTAGTTTCACAGCCATCAATCAGCCCTCGACGCAGTTCCCGACGCCCCAATCACCAATAGCAGCACCCATCCAGCAAAACCAAGCGCGGCGAAGAGCGACCGTTCATGGACGACGGCGACATAACCCTGCTGTTGCCCAGTATCTTGGACTCGGTACTGCAAGCGAGCCTACACATCTCGAGATATATGCTTCTTTGCCGGCAACGCCAGCCAGCCCACCGCTGAAACCTACACGCAACCGAACAAAGTTGACTGCGTTGGCTGCCCATGGAAACACATTGGATGAAAGACACACGAATGCGGAAGCGAGGGCAACGGTCAATCAACGGCGTGTGTCAGAGAGCTTCCGGGTAACGAAACCTGTACGCAAGTCTGCGGCATCCGCATCCAAAGCTCCACCATCTAGGACTACACAATCAGCATTCATTGACGATGTGCGACCACAGAAGCCAGCAGCAGATGATGAAGGAACAACTTTGTCAGATCATGTTCCTACCACTCAAGCCTATGATGTGATGCATCATCGTTTCGCAAGCTCTGAGACTGTTCAGAATGTCAGCCAAGACACCGTGGCCATACGGCCTGTGCAATATTCGGTTGACGTTGGCTTGTTCATTCTCGAAGACGATGATTGTGATGCTACTGAAGCTGGACACGTTGATCTCGACCTGGCTCTGCAGCAACATGAAACTCTGAAATCCGCGGAAGATGATTTCGACTTCGACATCGATGATGATGAACTGCTCGCATTGATACCTGAAGATGGTGGTACATGTTCTGACCTTGCAAAGCCTACTTCGAAGTCCCACGCGCAATCCTACAACACGGACAACGACAGATTATGCCCCACTCCAGGCTCATGCACCGACATTCCTATGATGCTTGAAGAAGTCACCACCAAGACGACTTCACAGCAATTATCAAAAAAGTTTACATCTCCAGTCACTCCGACAACGCGCTTATATGGCAACTCAGGTTCCGCGGAGATTAGGACACCAATCGTCAGGCCGCCGTTCCCTGAATCTGTTCGCGATCGCTCGCCTATTATCGGTCTCTCGTCAAACTCGTTGCTCAGGACGTGTTTTCGCATCGGTGAGGTGATCAATCAGAGTTGTCAAGCATCTAAGTCTGGGAAGCGCATTATGATTGAAATGTACGCTAGAATCCTTGCTTCGGAGCGAACTGGCACAGAGCAACAATTCACATTCTGCGACCTCTTCCATGCCAGGCCGCCTTATATCAAAGGAACATACAGTGCTGCGATCTGGAAGTCGGTGCCCCTGTTCGAGTACGACTGCAGTAGGCTTTTACAACAAGGGCGGATATGTCGGTGCATTGGCACCATGAAGCGAGAGGGAAAAGTGTGGACTATGACCGTGCTTAACATTTGGGAAGCTACCTGGGAAGATATTGAGTGGGTAGAGGCCATTGTGACCTTGTAGCAGCGTCGTGGGAAGTACTCAGGGGTGCTCAAAACAGGGATGATCTATGGGTGATCTAAGCGTCATAATCGACATCATAGCGGCAGCCGTGAGAGAGAGAGAGAGAGAGCTCGATATGCAACGGAACAATGTATTCACTGCATGTCAGAAGATAGTCCAGGAACGTGTTCTGAGTTCTATGCATTTAAAGACGCTGTTTCGTTTTGACAGGCTCAGAGCATGGTTCACCCTTGGTAGGGGCTTGCTTCCACGTGATGATAGGCCATGATTAACCGCCCCGCCAACGTACGGGCCATTGCTGTTCCACCAATTTGACTTCTGCTCACAGCACGTTGCTGAGAGAATGAATTATAAGGGTCGTCCTGCCAGATTCACCCTACGACGCAATGTTGACGGCGGCCATGACGCCAGCCATCGGTAGCGAAGGCGAAACCACCGACTCTCGCAGTGCAGCCATGATGGAGCCTCAACCTCAACTGGAGACAACGCCGCCAAAGACGAATTCGCCCAAAGCACGGTCTCTCTCGGACAGCACGCCCCGTCTTGAGCCCTCTCCGAAGTTCCGCGAACCCGCACGCATGTCCAAAGATGACCAAACTATCGTCGCCAGCCCCAGTACACCGCGTAGGCCAGACTTCCTCTCGCGAGGCCTGTCTCTGCAAATGCCCCCTCGAGAGTCGCCTATGCCCAGTCCCGCGCACTTCGCCGCCCGTGTGCCCCTCTCTCCACAGCTAGATTCGCGTAACACCTACGCGTCGCCTGCTTCTGTCCTGCCCCGACGGTCCCGCGGCGCTGAGTTCTCAAGAGCCTGCACCAACCTCCACCACTCGACGCTCCCCGACCAGTCTTCGCCCGATTCTTCGCCGACCATTACGCAGAAAGGTATCAAGATACCGCCGCGGAAGCCTCGCTCCAACTCAATGCTGCTTGACTCGCCCAATGTGAGCCTACAGGGTGGATGGAGTCATGGCGATAGAACCGCCCCTTCGAGTTCGGTCGGCAGCATCAACATGATGGGCTCAGAGGACTCGAGTAGTTCTTCGGATGAGGTGGATCCACTGGACCCTGAGGACAACGACGACCCTATGATCATGACTCCGCAAGCGAAGACCAACACACTATTCCCAGGGCTCAACGCTGGCAATAACGGTGTCTTTTCCAACCTGTTCTCACCCGGTGGACAGCCCAACTTTGCAAGCATGCATCGAGCGAGATTGCGCAAGGGTAGAAGCCGAAAGAGCTCGAGCTCAGCCAGTGGACACAGCTCCATGGCAAGCCCCGGGCCGGCATCACCGCCAAATGGCAAAGACACGGGATATTTTGCGCGAGAAGCGGCGATGCGTAAAGCGGGTTCGCGACGAGAGAGCCTTTCCCTTTTTGCCAACGACCTCCACATCTCATCTGGAAACGATAGCGGTGACGAGGGCGGTAACATGCCCCAAACTCCGGGTGTAGTAAGACGGGTAGTTTCACGGAGGGGCAATCTACTGGTGAGTACATGAATCCGTACGACGGTACAAGTTGCTAACTTTACTAGCCAAAGTCAAGACAATTCGGTCGCATCAGAGCGGAGCTGTTCGAAGAAGCTGCTCCCGTTGACAGCGAATTTCGCCGCGAAGCCGAGATCATTCGACAAGTGAGAGAAAGCGATACAGATCTAGAACGACCTTCGGGAACCGCGCAATCGTCACCCAACTTGCTGCCAACAGTTCCAGGTCTGGACGGACCCCTTGAGGGTGTGCCAGAGGAAGGTAGCGAAAGCAACATGAGTCTAGATGGATCGACGTCTAAGGGACTTTTCGGTGCCTTTGGCAGTCTACACAGCGGTCGCAATTCGGTCAGCAACGGCTTCTGGGGTTCACGCGCTGCACACACTCCTCCACCGTCCTTTCCTCGTGCAGAATCATCCGCGATGAGCGAGGACATGAACATGGACTCCCCAACTATAGGCGGTGGGGCATCTAGAGCGTCTACGCCAGGGGCAATGCAGCCTCCCACAGCAGCCGAAGCTTTGAAGAAGTCGAACAAACGCCGGCGAGATGACGATTTCGATGAAGCTTCAATCAAACGTCGTGCAGTCTCACCAGGTGTCAGCGTTCACGGCAGCCCAGTCATCTCGCAGTCTCCTGCACAAAGGGACAACAGTCTTTGGGGTACAAATACCAAGGCCAGCCGGGAAACGTCAATAAGTGGTCAATCACATGGTGAACGCTCAAACAGTGGAGGCAGCATGAGCATGACGCCAACATTGGGCCCAAAACGGATAGGTCTACAGGGTATGACCGACACCAACGATGGGCTGATGAAGATGAGCATCGAGTGATTGCCAGGCGTGACCTTGTGTAGAATATTTGTGGCATTGATCATGACTTAGCGCGGCGTTTCCGGGTCTACGAGATCAACAAGGGTCGCTCAAGGTGTATAGATACCCATTGTTAAGATTTAGTTTCGACATGAAGTTCAAAAAAGCGGATAGCTCCAAGTACACTATGATGTTCTGATGCTCTCCCCCCTCCACATTTGTGGTCCCTGCACTTCCCGAACCCCACTAAGCGCTCCTGTCCACCCGCAGCTTCGACAACGCGCCAAACAATTGAGGTCGCAACACGAACCTGATCTCCAACTTCCGCATAGCGACACATCGCAGCCATGTCACGCACAGCAGCTCTCTCCTCTTTCGTCGACAGCGCGCCGCCTGGTGAGGTATGCTCTCCAAATCCACGTGTAGCTCCCGCCAGCACATGTACTGACAACAACCCAGCTTGTCGAAGTTACCAAGGCAATCAAGTCAATCCTCGGCGATGAATCAGTCCAGAACGAACTCTCGCCCGCCTTCCAAAAGTACAACGAGGAGCAGTACACCACAACGAAGCTTCCGGGTGGCAGCACCGAAGTTCTGGTCAGCGAATACAACTCGTTAGGAGACGGCAGATACTACGACATCGATACACAGAGCTCCTTCGACTTTGACCATGCGACTGGCAAGGCAAGCGCAGTCCAGAGCTACGTTGTCGAGAGCGCGCATGACGATCTTCTGTACGTTTCACCTCACAGAGACACCCTCTGGCCATACCGCACCTTGTTTGTGCGAGCTTAGTACTAACACACACCACAGCAAGAGCCTCAACAAGTCTCTCAGCACCCACGCCTCAGAACACTACCCCAAATCCTCCCACGGCGTCTTCCCCGTTCCTTCGTCCCCCTCTTCCCTCGCCATCATCACCGTCGCAAATAAGTACTCCCCCACAAACTACTGGAACGGCCGCTGGCGCAGCTCCTACATCTACGACACCTCCTCCGGCTCCATCTCCGGCAGCATAAAAGTTGACGTGCACTACTACGAAGACGGAAACGTGCGTCTGCTCACCACCAAGGAGGTCAGCCTGAGTGCTGGCGGAAGTGCAAATGGAAGCGACATCATGAGGAAGATTGCTGCCGAGGAGAAGAAGTACCAGGAGGATCTCAACAAGGCGTTTGGTAGTCTGAGTGAGGGCGCTTTCAAGGCTCTGAGGAGGCAATTGCCCATTACGAGGCAGAAGATCGAGTGGGAGAAGATCAGTGGATATAGATTGGGCCAGGACATTGGTGGTGGAAGAAGGTGAGAGCGTTGTCCGATCGATTGATTAGCATAGCGGCTGCTCGAATGCTTGAATGATGAGCAAGAAGAGCGGTATCTTTGAGGAATAGAGGTTACTGAATACGATGCATCCAACAATTCCCATGTCCATTACTGGTGGTCGCTTCGCCCCTCTCTACTGAAGGTAAGAGTTGCTATTATCGAGGTCGGCTCCATCAACAACGAGTCTTATTCTTTGATCATCACTTTTCAGCCTCCACTTCACAGAGACCGCCCGTCTACGCAACAGAGCTTTTGGGATCCCTGAATTCCACGAATATCAACGGACAGAAACAGCAGTCATGATACACATACTTTGAAGAACGACTATGCTTCCTCGAAGAGAGTAGATAGGACGGCTGCTCCTATCGAAACAACACTTCCATGGTATGGCTTCGGCTGCCGGAGCAAAGAAGAGAGAAATGTGGTACAAATCTATATAGTATACTCAACTTGACTATGCAACCTGGACGAATGGAGGAGGAACGGCCCGGTAGATGCTGGTCATTTGCGCAATGGGGTGCTACTTCGAGTGTCTACTCTTCTTCTTGTGCCATCGTAGGCTCCATTATTAATGCGTCCCTGGCCAATTGGTTGACTTGATAGGAATGCACTAGTCTGTCGTAAGGGACGAGCTTCGAAGACCATGGTGTTGTATGACTATACCCGCAGAATCGCTGCTATTACTTTCCAAGAGGTTCTTCATGGTAGGTGTTGTTGACGTTTTGAGTGGCTTATCTGCTCTGCATTGTCACGATACCCGTGATTGAAATGAACGATACTCAGACATAGCATTGCACGTCACTGACACATGTCAACAGGGAGAAGACATACTATGCGCTGCGCATCTTCGTACTATTCAAGAAAGACTTCTCCTTACACACCATGGCATCATCCGCATATGTGAATGCCGAAAATGTCGCATCGTTACTTCTAGCCTATACACGAAAGAATCTTCCAATAGCACGGCACATATCACAGCCATGGTTGAGATAAAGAAAGGAACCCGAAAAAAACATCGTATGGCTGATCGCCAGCTGTGAACGCCATGATTCCCACAATAACGCCTTTGCACAAAAAGTAAATATATTCCTAGCTCATGCCGATCATTTCGTGATGAAGCCCAAGTAATCGGCAACGATGAGTGTCACCATGCTATTAATGAAGTTAGTACTTGAATCCACAACACAGGGAGGGAGAAAACTTACGCATGCGGCGCGATACGCACGTAGTATGTTCCAAATCCACGGTAGAATCTTAGCAAACCCTCCTCCTTCGCAACCTTCTTGAAGCAATCAAACATGCCCTTGTAAGGCAGTGTACCATCAGGTCCCTTTGTCTGCTTCTGCAACCTCGTCTTCATGAAGTCGAATGGCAGAGATAGGAACGATGCGAAGAAACCTGCTACAGCTGAAGCGGTGAGAGTCTGTGTACGGGATGACAGTGATGTGTTCTTGAGTTGCTGTTTCGCTTCCGAGAAGAAAGCCAATTGACCAAAGTTGAGTGCCATAGCGCGGACGACGGTAGGGTAGCTGCCCGCCCATAATCGTGTGACGCCTTCTTGCTTGCTGATGCGGACGAGGGCATCAATGACGGATGTGTAGTTTGCGCGTTGAGCAGCGGGTTTCAGTCCATCGGATTGCATGCGGATGAGCGCAAGATCAGCAGGATTGCCCACAATGGCTGCGAGACCACCTGCGGCTAGACCAGCACCTGCACGTTCCTTGAAGCCAATCGCTGTGCCGTTTTCTTTTGCACGTGCGCTGAGTTGCTTCATGAATGTGTCGAAGAAACCCAGGCGGGCGGTTGTGTAGACGGCTTGGCGAAGGATACCAGCGCTGAGTCCTGTGTAAAGATCCAGGACCTTGCCTTGTGCAATGATATCTCTGAAGACTGTAACTGGGGTCGGTTTGGGTCCAGTCTTTACGCCTTCTCCGGCAAGTTGTAGACGCACTTTTACCATGTCTACGGGTTGAATTACAGTTGTTGCGGTCATGCCTGCGATACCACCGTTTACGAAAGGTAGTGCTGCGCGCATAAACGGTGTATGTAGGAAGTCTGCAGTAGCTTTCTTGGGGTTCTCAGCAGCTTTGGACATGGCGGAGGATGTGTCTTTTAGAACGGCTTCTGAAGATTGCTTTGCGTTTTCGAGGGCGCGAGCGGCGGGCATCTTAAGGGTTTGAGAGCTGGCGGCTGCTGTTGTTGACATTGCGTTGTCAGTGACAGCCAACAGTCTTGATAAGACGAATTATTTGAAGATGAAGACAAAATGGACCAGAGGGGTATATCGCTGTCGCTATGCTGCACGAGAATAGAACAAATGTGAAGAAAGACTGGAACTGATGGAGTAAGAAAGTCCACAAAAGAGACTCCATGCCCGGATCTATATCCCAGCATCATCGCACTACGACATGGCGTCTGCGTAAGGTGCTGGCCTGGGCAGAGCCTCAGCCTGAGACGCAGTTCCCATGCGCCCTTCACCGCGGCCGTGGACGTCGCAAGCTAGCCGGCTATGACATAGATGTACAGCTTCCTCCGGCGCACAGGAAAGATTGGCATCGGACGTGTGAGCGCAGCCGAAAGCTCACGCACGTGCGATAACCCTTCTTTTTCCGATTGCACCCGCGCAAGTAAATTGTGGATGCTGAGAGACGGTGTAGGAGCATAGTTGGGTGCGTACCTCGTGCGCTGAAGTCTGTGCGGAGGATCCAGTCCGCGTCGGAGGAGTGGGGTGTGGGTCGCGGGTTTAGTGGGTATGGTGGTATGCGCTCGACTACCCGCTTTCTAGCATCAAACGACAATGCGACAGTGCAGGTCAAGCTGATAGAACAGAAGAACAAAGTTATGAACAAGGCTGTGAGTGAAGATACTCGGAGGACAGGAGTAGTACGATGATCTGTTATTCCTAGTTGTCAACAAGGCCAGCCAGTCGACCGGTGCCATGAATTGAGGGGTGAGCTGCGTTTCCCCGCATCGAAGAGCTGCCCCAACGAGCCACTGAGGTGAACAGCTGCTCGTCCTACGAGGTGCCAATTGCTGATGGGCCAATCGGGCAGCACCGATTTCCTACACTCTGATGCCATCCTTACTTCACAGGTTTTCATGCTGAAGTTTAACGTGCACGGCGGAGCGGCACAAGCTGGGCGCATTGATTGTCGCGTGTCCAAGCCATCCGTTTTCCCATGTACCGTTGAGGCTCATGTCCTTGCCCACGGTACACCTCGGGAGATACACGATCTTCAGGCACAGAGAATCCCGTCTCTATTGCGCCACATGCGGAACCGCTTGCATGTGAGCGATGACGTTGGTCGTAACGGCCAGCCATCGGCCAATCGAAAGATTGCAACTTCAACACCAGAGCGTTCTGTCGTATGCCAATAAGTCTAACTATCAGCGAACCTGTGTGGCAGTTCATCAAGATGCGCTGTCGCGAAACCCTGGCACAAGGTGCAGTGATCTCACTGTGCTTTTCCGGGTAAGATTTGGATTTCCGTAAACACAACGTGCGTCCGTGCGTCGTTCTTTGCCGATGTGCATGATATGCTCTATGCTTTTTACTCGTTGAGTGTTGATATACCGTCGTTTCGCAGATCGAAGTCAACCAAAGAGATCGTTTTGCTTTGGGCGAGACCCTGGATTCTTTGGCGCTCAATGGGGCGATGTTCAGATCTTGTGCTCAGGTGCGCGGCCAGAGTTGGACTCGGTGACCCGAAGGTATCCGCGGCCGAAGACATCGTGGGTGACGACAAGCTGTGAAGCACTTTACTAACGGAAGAATATTAAAGCGGGTTCTGCCATTGCGTGGTATCAGATCTGTTGCCGAGGGAATGTCCGTGGACAAGTGGAAGGTCAGACATTTTTCGGCACAGGGTCGGGGATGTGGAGGCGCACAGCCGGGTCTGAACGCTTGCAGAAGGAACGAAAGGCTTGCGAACGTATTGTTGAGAATTCATTGTGGTACAGAAGACTGGCACCCTCTTCGGGATTAAGTGCTATCCCGCATAAACAGCGCAGCTTGTCCGCTGTCTCAACATCTTCTGCTAGAATCACTAGATGTTTGCATCTTTGGGTATCATTCAGCCCATCCGAAGCCCAAACGCCGAAACAACACCACATAGACTAAGTTGACATCTCACTGTCACTCGGGTCTCCGAGATCCTCAATATTGCTTGATTGTGTTGGTTGTCGAGTTCTGGGAGCCTGTAGATTTGAGCTCGCATCAGGCATGTCATCGTCGCTACCGTCAATTTTCTGAATTTCCTGACGAGGGGCCTTCACATCATCGTCTGAACTGTCACCTTCAAGTTCAGCTTGCTGCATGCGTTTGATCCTGCGTACGAGGATGGGGTCGGTGCGAACGTCGTTTGCGGTGAGCATCTGAGAAGCAATGTCAGCACAGGCACATAGCGGGAAGAGTAGCCGAACGAGTCGGAATAATATGTGGCGGCACTTACTTTGTCGCATCCATTGACGGGACATTCCACAGCTTTCTGGCCGTCCACTCTGTGAGGGCCCTTTCGGATCATATCGAGGATGGCATTCTTCTCGAATGTGTGAGGACACTTGTTGCTCGAATATGGCTCCTTGAACTGCTGGTACGTGATGGGACACCTCGTGCTGACTGTAGCCCTGTCGACTACAATGTCATCATCATCATCATCATCAAACTCTCCCCGTTGTGTGGTGTCCGTAATGCCAGGCGCTGGCGATCCGGACTCGGTGAACCATGTGTCTTCATGGCCCAGTACGGGGCCGTCGTCGCCGAATTTCGCGTCGTGCACCGTACGCTTGAAGTCGCGGTAGTCGTTGTTACGGGCGTAGCGGCTTGTGTGCGAGCGTGCTGTGTAGGCGTCCTTTTCGCGCTGTATGCGAGCTGCAAACAGCTCGCTCGCACCGGTGAGGGCTACACGAGAACCGTCAAGAGGAGTAGGTCCAGGTGTTGGTCCATCATCCATCTCATCATCATCCCTGTCTCGTGCGTGTGCCCGTTGACTCGCTGCTTGGGTCTGGGTTTGTCGCTGATTTTCGCGCTGCGTCATCTGAGTCTCATACTCTTCTGCCAGTTGCGCAGGCGCATTGCTCCTCAACCATTCCAGGGCTTCCTCGATGCGCTGCGCTGCAATGTCCGAGTCGATGACTGCTCGCATGCTTTCCTCGAGCTTTATAGTCGCCTCGTCTACGTTCGCATGCAGTTCTGCCATGACGCGCTCTTCATCTTCTTTGTCGTCCAGGCTCTTGCCTGCGTCCCATTTCTTCTGTCGCCGGCTTATGTACTCAGCGTGTTCGCGCAGCATGTCATTGACACTGGCAGCAGCATTGGTGATGTGCTCGGTGGCTTGTTTGTTGTGCCTTTTGATATCGTTTATATTACGCCCTTGTAGGTTGCGCAATTCTCGTGTCGCTTCTGCATCGAGGGGGTGAGACGGCTTCTTGTACTCTGGCAGGAGGTCGGCATTGCGGTTACTGCTGCTGGTACGATTTGGAGTAGATGCCACGGACTGGCGACTGGCCGACGGTCTCGCTGTCGAGTGCCGAGTTCGAGACGACATTCCGTCTTCTCTGAGTGGTTTTGCTGCAAGTGTCGTGTTTTGGAGATGCGAAGGCACGAAACACGATGCGGGGAACGCGTCGTTGGAACATTTTGGTACTAGCGTGGTCGCCAGATCACATGTCAATCGCTCTAGGGTTGCTATCTACAGATGCATGGATAACTGCAAATCGCCGGTATGCTAAGCAGTTGAAACACAAAAGGGATCCTTACAGATGTTTCCGATGCGATTTTGTAGGAAACGTACAAACTGCTTTACTAGAGAAGAGTTACAGAAGCGAACGTGTACGGCGTATAAGCTCCGGAATCCTCCCACGCCTATGAACATGTCAGGCAAACAATCACCTCCCATGACCCGCGACGATATCTCTGTGTTCTCACTCTCCCTATAATAAGCTACTAGCACCAAGAATACAACACGCTATTCTGGGCGTTCGATTGTAGCATGCAATTTCCTTCCTTGGTGGGACCGTCGTCCCCCACGCACTTTTGGGTCAAATTCCCGGCCATGCAGAGCCGGCATTCCAAGTCAGCGCCCAGCCGGGCGCATGCCGTAACGTCGGAATAGTGGAGTCAGATCAGCTCATGGCCGCATATTCCAAGCCTTCTCTACGCTATTCTCGCCGTTTATCCATAGACATGTGGTCAGATGAGAGGTCTCCAGGTTAGCGTGTAATCGAGTAGTGGTCTTACTGCCTGTCTCACTACTTTGCACTGGTCATTTTTCAAGATGAATCGTGCAAGACAAAACGTGAAGAAGATGAGGTGTTTGCTTGTTTGAAAGTATTGATATTTGGGCCGTATCGAAATCTACGGTCCACGTCTTAGCCTCTTCGACGCTGACCGATGCGTCTATTATCCAATTTTCCCGAAAAGTGTGTGGTATCATAATATGTTGATGAAGAAATAGTGACCCTCCGAATGCAAGTACTCCGTAAGCTTGAGCGAACATCAATCGCTCCCTAATCGCTATCATAACCATAACGTTCATACGTGCCCCAAGAACGCCACCTCGCACACTCTCCAAGATGCCGTCTTAGAGGTACAACATGTGCAGGGACGTTGCCATGGCCCTGAGTCACGAGACATCTGCCTCCAAGCTGCGCTGTCGTCTCCGGAGTCGACGCGTGCCTTGGCCAGCGTGGCCACGCTTGTGTTGCTTTCGATTCCTTCTCGCCATGCGTCTCAATCTTCACCTCATCACGCTCGTGATCGTAGTTGTAGTCTGTGGTGCCTTGTTGGACAGAGGAAGGCCCTTCTCGATATCGCGCATCTTGTTGGCGTTCTTGCCTGGGGGCGGCGAGTTAAGTCTGATGCCTGTTCTTCGGTTCTGGCGGTTCTGCTTGCCTGTGTCGGCAGTGGAGCGGCCAGTGAAGCGGCGAGAGGCACGACGGATGGATGCTCGAACATCCCATTGGCGCTTCTTTGCGAGCCACCAGAGTACTCCTGAGGCAACTGAGCTGATGTTAGTTCATGCATCTTCAATTCTGTACTGTGAAACGTACTGGATCCAAGCACGACTACGACAGCGACCACAATGATCGCTGCGATAGCACCTCCGGAGAGCTCGAAAGCACCCTTCTGCGATCCCGCAGCACCAGCGTCACTTGGATCTTGCGGGTTGTCGTTGCCGCCATTGTAGCCGGGAGGGGGAAGCTCGCTTCCCGAAGACGAGTCCTGAGCAAGGGCGAGAAGCGGGAGGAGAAGCGAGAAGAGGAGAGGCCTGCTCATGGTGTTGGTATCTAGTGTTGAGATGCGGCGCAGACGGGACAAGTGATCGGATATCAGGTTGCACGAAGATGGCGTGAAGGACGTTCGATCAACTGGAGGAATACCAACAACTCGCTACCGGGACGGAGGGCATGTCTCTATATTTGCCTGCCCGCGTGCGAACATCTTTTACCCAAGCCAATACCTTCCCTATCGCTCGTCCAATACCCCGCCAGTCTCAGGGTTCCTGGGCGGTTACCATCGTGCGCTTGGACGGCAGACCAGGTTGGCTGCCGGAGAATACATCAGGCCATCTTCTTAATATAGCGGCATTGGCGTCGACTTTTGTCGGCTTGGGAGGATAAGCTGAGGGGATTGGCAGGGTGTGATGGGTAATGGGCGCGTAACGTCGTGGATGAAGATCACCGTGCAGCGAAGCTAGGGCGGGCTGAAGTGTGATTGGATGGATCCTGGTAAGAAGCGCCCGGCTAGCATGTCGCCGCACGCTTGTGTTTCAGGGGGAGCATGCCAGAAGACAACTCCTCTTCGTCAACTGCAAAGCGTACTTGTGACAGCTGCCGCTTATCGTAGTCGGTGTGGCCGTAGTACGTAGGTATTTCTGGCTCCTCGTCTCCGGTACGCTTCACGTTAGCCACCAACCTTACGGCGCAATGCGAATCATACGATGCAAAAAAAAGAACTCAGATGACAGGCAAGACGACCTTCCCCGCAAACACTGGCAACACAGGAATTAGTCTGGCGGATGCATGCTGTCACCCAAATCCACAACGGCTGTCAGTGTGATGCGTCGGTGGATACACTTTGGTTCGAGTTGTCGCGTTTCACATTTGCCACGGTGTGTCCGCTGCCACGCCAGGCATCGTCTAGAGATCGATGAGAGGACATCGCCGGTAGTTGAAGAGAATTTGAGCGGCTCAGAGCAAAGCGTAGCAAGAGGTATTGTGCTGTCCTCCGATGAACAGGCTACAGCTGTGATCACTGCAATATGAACGACATTCCGACACGACATGCTGAGAGCACTGGACTTGGAAACTAGTAGTCTTTGTTTCAGATACGACGGAGATCAAAGAGGAAGCAATGATTTGGACTTTGTGACGACAGAGTGTGTCGCAGCAAGAGAGGTGGCCGAGTATAATGAGGTGGAATGCGTGCAGTGAAGCTTCGACAATTGTTCCGCTTTTCGTAGGTATCGTTTCTCGTATCATCGCTCCTGCCATCATGTCTAGCTCGGATGTTCTAGTCGAAGTCATGTGTGGCGTCATGTTGCTGAGTTGTGACTTGCCACAGCAGATGAAGGAAAGAACGACGATGAGGGCAGAGCTGCAAACTTCGCCACCCCTCATTCCTTCCACAACACAACATATCGCTTCCATCTGCAATGAACAGCTAGCCTGTAGTGCTGTTTCTTGCCGTCCATTTACTCTGTCTGGTCCTCACCCCATTTCACCTACTCGCATCCGCATCGCACCTGTCACTGAATAGTCACTTCCCATGGCCGGGCAGGCTGGAGAAGGCGAGCAACTGCCGAAGAAGCAGAACCCCTCAAGACTCAGAAATGAAGTACGCCCACAATCAACTGATGATGAGCGGGATCGCACGAGCACCGCCATTCAGGTTCCGAATAGCGATACGATTGTTCCTGAGACTCAGCCTGGTCACGCTGGAGAGTTCCATCGTGACGACCCTGTTGCCGATAATGAGTCTGAGTTTAGTCTGAGTCCTAATTCCGCGGCCCTTCTGGAGCGCACCGCGGTGACGAAGAAGACGGACACGACTGGATGCATTCTATCCTTTGGCAAGCTTCTTTCGAGGAATCCCATTGGAAGGAATGACAGCTCTGCATCAGCAGCTCCAAGCCCTAACCCATTCGCGATTTCATACTCACAGACAAGGAAAGTTTCCAGCAAGCCACCTCCAAAAGAGGTTACTACTGCCGCGCAGTCTGCTCATCTCGGGTTGAGAACACCTGATATCCAAAAGCACAAGGGTCATGCACCTCGAGGTGAGTAAGCGTCCTACCCAAGGTCGATCTGACTAACATCGTCACTGCGATGGTAGAGCCTGCACACGTTCCACCACCGTGTTCTCCTGACAACGCTCATCTTGGTGAGCCATGTACTACGAGCAACCAACATATGGACGTCGTGAATCAAACGGCCACTGGAAGATCTCAGGAAGAGCCTACTTACACTCTGTAAGAGCTCCCAGCAAGCCGGTAGAACTCCACTAATACGCTTAGGCCCCCGCAGGCGAATGCGATATCTAGAATCCCTCCTTCGGTACAACTTAACGCTAGGCCTGCTTCTGGAATCAACAGGGTCACCGGTGTCAAGAAGGGTAAGAAGCACAGAAAGGAACAGCTCTCTCAGCAGTGTCCAGGTTCACGTCCCCGATCAAGAATCACACCAAGCCACACTCGTCAAACCGGAACGATTGGTGGACCAGCACCTGATACATCCAACGACCCTCGATGCCTCTCCCAATCGAACGCGGATGGCGATGGATTACATGCTTTTCGCGCCCCTCTCGAAGATCGACAAAGGGATGCATATGCTCAAGAGTCACAGTTGCCGAATGAAGAACATGGGTGTATTGCTGACAACAAGGAGTCCTGCAACACTATACCAAGCCTCATGGATACGACCTTCCGAGACTTTCAAGATTCCTCCGCTCAACGCCAGTTTCCTACAGCTTCTGTGCAGGTCCCGTCGATCTTACCTAAGACACTCGATACAACCGAGCCAACGCAACAATCGTTGACAACTTTTCACGATCAAGCTCGTAGTCTCGGTCCTGATAAACGGGTTGCGTTGTCAACCCAGACTTCTGGTCCCTATGCCTTGCCCAACAGTCACGAACCAGTCGAAGCACATGCCGTAACGACTCAGTCTCACCAGCCGAGCTTGTATGCGGACAATGATGGGGTCGCACGTCAGCCAGGGATTAACGAAGCTCATCCGCATGGCGTCCCGGATCGAGAGGGACTTCACCGTATAACCAAATCACGACGAAAGTTACGACCTAGCGGACCAATATCGTATGGTACTCAAGGGCAAGCCGTTTCTCCTAGTGTCGAGCAGGCTATGGAGACCGTGAGAGTAGCACTACTTGCGAACAAGTATCGGGTGCAACATGAGACCACAACGCTCACCCAGAAACATAAGACAGAGCTTGCTGAGCTTCAACGAACGATCGACAATCAGATCCAGTCAATTGCAGATCATGACAGGAGGTACCAGGACCTGAAAAAAACTCTTAGTCAACTCACCAACACGGCCAAGACTAATTCGAGATTCGTCAAAGGCCTTCAGCAAGATTCTGAGGACCTGCAAAAGTCCGCTATAAGCTTCCAGAAAGAGTGCAGAAAGGCATTGACTGAGAAGATCACCGAACTCGAGGACGAAAAGCAGGCGTTACAGAAAGAAGTTGGGACAATGACTGACAAGCTCGCCGCAACCCAACGCAAGATGAGATCGACGCTCGATGACCTTTGGATACGATTTCTCGTATCGGAGTCTAAGAGGGAGGACTTGGCAAAAAACTTGGGCAAGCAGGAAGCTGCACTAAAGGAAGAGCGCAAGAATCGCAATGAATTCGAGAAACAGTTCTTCTCTGACGTCCAAAGCATCCCGCGCCAAGTTGTCGACAGCTCCGTTGCCCTCACTAAGAAGATCGAATTGCTCCAGGCTACGCTCGATAACACTACTGCTCATGGTAGCCAGAATGACCATATCAAAGAGTGTTTAGAGGCCTTGCAACCTCTTCGGCTGGCGCCTGTCTTGACGACGCAGGACATCGACAGGATGAATAGTACACTGAATCTTGTGCACGAACGGTCAGTGACAGTGCTATATATGCTACATGTCACTATACTGATTTATCGCACAGCCTGGATTCGGGTCTCGATACTCTTTCAAAGACCGTAACGAGCACAGCACTATCTAACGCAGAGCTTCAAGAGTTCATCAAAGAACAAATAAACGGTCTCCAGACAGAAATGCTGAGATATGAGGAGGTCGCAGCCGAGAACCGCAAGACGCATGAATCGAACGTCTGTCTCAAGTCGCAACTTGACGCGCAGCAAGAACATTGCACCCGACTAGAAGAGCAGGTCAAGGGTTACGAAAAGGCTGAAGTTGATCTCAAAGCCTCGTGCGAGCAACTAAAACGCGAACTGAAGGTACTGGAAGACGCTCCACCTATCGATACATCAGGGCTTGAGCAGGAAGCCTTTGGCCTCCGCCAGAAGTTGCAGAAGGCGGAAGAAGATCTCACAGCGGTCAATACTAAAGTTAGGGAGATTGAGAGAGAAAGGGATACATACGAAGTAACTGTTTCCAAGCTCATCTTTGCTGCCATGGTTTTGACAATCAGCAGGAATATTGTGAAGACGTCAAGATGCAGCTGCGCGAGTTGCAGCAGAGGCCAACGGTAAGCAGGTCATTCTGTCTCGCGACTTCACTAATTTTGTGAACAGCTTGAAGAACACGCCGCCGTACAAGAGCAGATCGCAAAGAACTGTCAAAGTGAATTCTTGGAGAAAGAGCGTAGCTTCAAGAGAGAGATCCAGCGACTAACAATCGATCGCGACGAGAAAGAGAAAACATTTCAAGAGCTGAACGACAAGCTGAATGTTGCGGAAACCCAACTAGATGAGCTGAGTAAAAACATTCGAACGCTTGAATCAAAGTCGGCCGAGATAACGGACCTCCAAGCACAGCTCCAAAATACGGCAGAAGAGTTGCACAGCAAGAAACGAGATTGCGCAGATTTTAAACGTCGCTTTGAAGAGAAGACGGAGAAGATTTCGGAGCTGCAAGGCCTATATAGCAACCTCCAGGCTGAAGTAACCCAGCATCAAACGACCATGCAGACCATGCGCCGGGACGCTGACAACGAGATTACAAAAATGCGACAACACGCTAGTAACACGCTTCAACTATCCTCTAATCAGGTCTCGAACCTCCAGGAGGAAAAGAAAAGTCTGTCAACTCGACTTGAGCAAGCTCAGATGAATGAGGCCAAATTACAACATGAGGTCGCAGAACTACGAGCTGCAAGAGAAGCAGACATTTCTCGAGTACAAGCGAAAGCAGATGAGAAGAGCCGGAAGCTAGCCGAACAGCATCGCATCGAAGTCGATGATTGGAGGCGCCGCATGAGCCAGAAAGATGCTGCCCTTGAGGAGATGGAAGCGAAAATGCGGCTCGCTGAAGACCAACATAAAACCAAAATCGCGACCGATCGTGAAAAGGCTGAGTCAAACATGCGCAAGCTTGAAGAGCAGTATCGAGATTCTCTTCGAGTGATACGCGAGCAAGGTAATCTCAATCAGCAGGTCGGCTTCCAAGTACATGCTGCCAGAGGAATCCTTGTTGAATCAGGTGAAGCTACCCAGGCAGCGAAGCCTCGGAAAAAAGTCAGCCGGCAAAATCATTCGATGCTCGAAGTCTCTGAGGAACAAGATTCTCATCCCAAGAAGCCGTCGTCAGTCTTTCATGCCGAGTCTTCACAATCTCAGCTCGAAGACGATGATCTGTTTGCAACTCAGTTCGAAGAACAGGGAGAGATCGACGACATCTCCAACGAAACAATTGATGTTTATCATAAGCCTCGAACCGCCACAGAAAGCCATGATGCTCAAAATTTGTCCATGACGCAAGATGCTTCCAAGGGGGATTTGTCACGAGCGCCACAGCGACAGCTCAAGCATCAGGTCTCAAGCTCCTCCGATCTCAGTAACATGTCTACTGACGAATTAACGGTAATGGAGAAGTCCCAACCCGCGTCGACTGGGATGCTTGGAGGCCGCGACCGTAATGGGTTCAAGTCTGGCAACGCATCTTCTAAGTTCTCGCAGACACTGGAAGAGACTCAATGCGTACCGTCTATCGGGTCTCGGAACTACAATCGTGATCCTTTCCATCGTGGTACAGTCCCGACCGATACAGGATTCGCGTCGGTAGCCGACAATGACTCTGTGGCTAATTCACAATCATCTCGATCGTCTGGACGACCAAAATCGCAAGCTAACACAGCATCTCGGATGATGCCGCCTCACAGCAACAGCTCTGATTACCCTCGGCCGAGTGTTGAGGGTCATGCGGTGGATCTTGGAGCATCAACTCGGCATACCATGTATGGCAGTGCTAATCTGAAGCTGAGCAGCAATAACTCCCGGCCGTCAAAGCTGTCTTCACCAAAGCAAATCTATAGCCAGCATGAATCGCGACGCTCCGCTCCAACTGGATTACAACACAGTTCCTCGCAAGACATGAAGCAGGAACATACGAAAAAGCGAAAGAGTAGCATTGACCAGACAGAGAGACATTCAGCCACCAAAAAGCAGCGCTCCAAATCTCAGCCCCGTCCCTTTGAATCCTCACCTGGTCTCCCAAGCCAATCTTCGTGTGTTGCAGTCACTCGTCCCAAAGCACAGAAGATCATGCCATATTCCCAAGTCGGTGCTGCAACTTCATCTCAATCGAAAGCTCAGGTCCTCTCCTCCCGCCCCCGCGCTCGTATCTCTCGTCAAGCTCCGTCTTCTGGCGACGCATACTTCCCTCGTGGTCAATCTTCGTCTCACGTAGCCGCTAGTGGCCCAATCCGGCGTTCCTCGACCCGTATCACAAGGGGCAAGGGTGAGTATGTTCTTGTTGTAGTAGTGTCTAAACGAAGCTAACGCGATCGGTATAGGTAAGAACAGCATTGCGTTCGGGAAAGCCTGCAACGAGCGCTTCAACCGGGAGCTGGACCAGTGGCGGTGAGCAAGTCACTGTAGACATTTTGGGTGGAGCGCGTGCGCAGGAAGTTCGTGTATGTTTGAGGACTTATGATACTCGACATCGATCTCGGTTCAAGTCGCTCGTTTATCAACCGGCGTTCGAGTTATGCAGGAACTACGTAACGTAACATAGTAGGAGGACTCCATATATAGTGATTATAGAGGTAGCGAACTATTCAGAGACTGAATGGTGTTGGGTCTGCTGTTTTTTTTTAATTGAACTGTATTCCACGTTGTCGGTATATCTACGTAGTAAACCCAATGCAAGTATCATACAGTAGAATCTCTGTAAGGTCTGTACTTGCGCAGGAGTGCAGCTGTCCTTTGGAAAGCCTGTATCGCCCGAACGCGCTTCACCAAGCGATTGTGGGTGGCCGGTACCGCTGTTCGAGCAATTAGGCGCTAAGTTTTGTGACGTTGACAGGCTGCTTGAAGCGCTCCTTCGCCACCCACACCACCAACCCACATTCAACGACCTCTTTTCAGAATGTCGTAACTACCCTCATGGGCTTCTCTACACCACATTCATCCTTTGTCTCTCATTCTGCGTCCCTTTTGAGCCATTGCGGCCCCTTGACGACGGCGGCGAGACGGAAGTCCGAAATGGCTCCTTCCTCTACCCCCTACAATGCCGCTCCGAAACCTGGCTCAAGTCGGCGAGAAGCTGGCAAAAATTACAAAGACCAGCTCCGGCTTACGGTAATCTCATACGAAGTGCGGTTTGCCGATATCCATGCCCTCGTGTTGACATTATAGCTGGTAAATTCTATCCTGTCCGAGTCGGTGACAACCACAACAGCCTCAGCAAAAGACCACAAATAGTTGAGCAAAAGTACAAACCTCATCCTCGCTCTCAGTACTCGGTAGCCTGACGGAAAGAAGACATGGCGCTTCATTATTCCCGGTTGTTGACCTCTGCCACTTGCTTCCACAGGCACGGCGGCCATGTCCCTGGACGTGTAATTTTAGTGTCTGAATGACACTAGTATCTCGATTTGACTGCCTACCGAGGTTGACGAGCGACTGTGCTTCAAGTACCGGCAGTATGGACGGCAATAACTGTAGGGCAGGTTCGATCTCCGCTACGACAGCCGCACTAAGCGGGCGCACAACAATCGCTCTCACCTTCAAGGATGGAGGACGCCACGAGTACACTGTGAGTAGCTGCGTCTCCGACTGTTGTCATACTTTTATACGAAGGTTACGACCTTGACTTCGCTGACGTATTCTTCAGATTCGACGTCTCAGCAAGAAACCATAGATTCCGGCTCCGCTGCCCTGGGTAAGTCCTGAACACCTTTGGCCCCTCCTTAGTCTTCCTAGATCCTCCTGTAGGCGCAGGGTGTAGGAGTATCGATCTCCCATATCCTTCCTCGTACACCCGCGTGCCAAGATCAACAAAAGACTTGCACGACCGTTCCGTCCGCACTGTGCGGCAGCTTTCGTGCTCAACTACAACTCTCCGGAGAAGCTCTTGGGCAAGGAAGGGGCACTATCTTTTAAGTCGGCAGGTCGATGCACGATTGGTCCATGGCGAGCTAGCTCCTCCCCGCGAGTGCCGCATGTGGTTTGTCGGTCTCATACATCTTTTCGCCTTGAAGCAAGTTCTTGCAAATTACTTACAAGCATGCTAGGTGACAGCTGGGCATGCAACTCATCCAAAAACTTAAAGAAGATGACGAAAGGTAGTAGATACCACTGAAGTACGTCTCATAGGCGACTGTATCGTTCCTTGCATCTCTCCGTATTTGATACATCGAGTCAGAATCCTCCATCAACAACTTTTGCTGATAAAAACGCAGTGTCTCCTGCATGAGAGATTCAGCCGCCGTACGTATCTCTGCTGGATTCCTACTCCTCCCTATACATATTATCTCCGATGATGATATGCTATTACTCATTCCAATCACCGAACACTCGCTGTCGAAGCCTATCGCTGAGGGTCCTCTTCGTTCGTTTTCGATCAAACTGCGAAATACATGGTGCTGGCACCGATGAGTGTACGCAGTCCGAGGCCAGAAATGCCAGACAGAACGCAATCATGCACTCGAGAAGCCTTACTGAGCACATGTAAAGCCACCGGCATCATCCCCTTAAATGCTTAAACTGACTCTTCCACTCTCTTTCCCCCGCGCCAACTTCAGGTCGGCGCTTTGTTGGGTGGTGCGATGCTCTTCCGAGGTTACTTGCTCGCGGTAGCATCGAAGTCCATATCGCCAACCTCTGGAGATCGTCTCTCTCCCAAGGCCTTGATCCGATGCTAGTTGGCTTGTGTATCGCGTTCGAAAGTGGTGGCAGCAATCATGTGAATCCCGCTTCATCTTGATCAGATGCTTACCCGGTCTTGCCCCTTCCGAGTTGGTTCTCCACGATAAGTACTCTGACGACCTCAAAACGGCAGAGTGCTAATTCCGCGTAGTTTGCCCTTTTCAAATCGTTCACCCAACCCCTGCCTTCATTTTTTCCGCAGTGCAACCGATGCGCGTCGAGTCGGCACGGAGTAAATGTGATTGTTGACATGCGTCATGCTGCGAAGCCGCGACTGCTTCATTCGCGAAGGCAGGAGCTGGAGACTAACAGGTTTCCCAACCCAGCGATGACACTTCTCATGCTCCTCCAGGATTCTGATATTGATGTCGCATGCGACTATGGTAAGCCTCATCTACCCTCTCCCATTATAAGCACACCTGTTGACATTGCTGCAGATGTCTTTTGGTCGTGCATGATCGCAGCAGCAAGCTCATAGAGCTCTCTTTCTATCGTCTTGCGTCCTTCTACTTACTCTCCATCCTCTTTGTCCGGTTTTTGGAGAATATCATCGCCGCAGGAGGGGTAACCCCAAAATCGGGGTATCTTCCCGACTTGGCCGGATCTCTGAACGCCCCAAGGACTTTTGCACAACGCGTCAGTTCCGCCCATGTCCGCAAAGACGAAGGCAACAAGACCACAGATCACAAACGTAACGATGCCATTGCGATGCGAGGTGATGGCAAAATCGCTCCTCCTCGTGTCGTAAGGTAGGTGATGGATAAGTCGCTACATCGAAGATTCGTCCGAAGCCCGTCAGCACAAACCTTGCTAACATCGACCAGCCTTCTCATTATCTGCCAATCATCGCCCATCTAGTCTCCTTACTCGCCTGCTCCGTGTCAATTGCTAGCGCGTGTCACGCACCGCCTATTGCCTTGATCGCCACGCACGAGCCTAAAGAGCGGTCGCTCGACAAACATCATCACGACACAATACTGGCAATATATATCGCTTTGTTTATCTTCCCTTCGCCTTCGGGCATTTGGTCAATTTGAAACGATACAGAGAAGATTAGCATGGCCCCTGCACTAAGGATGACACGCTCAATCAAAGAGAAGCTACCATTTTTTTTTTAGCTTTCCTTTTTGCATGTGCATCCAGGGGGATTCGAATACCCAAGGCGACGACAGCACGGGCCTGCTGCTCGCCCTTTTTTCCCGCTCTCTTTTTGCCTTCGACGCCGGCGACATGAGTGTGGCTATACGGTTTCCAGGCTCATTGGGTATTCATTCAAGCCCACGCGTGTCTTTATATCGCATCTGCTTACTGCCGCTAACATCAAAATGCCCTTCCTCAATTATCGTCAGAGCCTGCTGTTGACATTGGCTCGACATCCTTACCGTCAGCTTGACATCAGTACCCCAGAAGGTATACGCGATTCCACAATGTTTGCTGGCAACAACTCAAAGTACTGTGAAGGTAATCACGCACTTTTCTTGTGCTTCCTTTTCCATAGCTCTTCTTTGTCAGCTCCATCCTTTTTGGTACAATCCGGTGATGGTAGCTTCTTGTTCGTGAACTGGGAAAATTGTGCTCTGACATCGTCTTCCTCTTTTTGGTCAAACCCACGCACGCCAGCCGCGGTATTTTCGACGTCGCGCCGCATTTGTGCACATGATAGTGCCATTCTCTGGACGGCATGGACACCGTCGTTCTGAACAGGATGAACTATCCTCGGGTCTTCTTCCGACTCCATCTCCGCCGATTGATCCCTAATATATTCCAACACATCTCGCTGTCTGACCTGTATGGATTTACCGTTTTTCTTGTCGGTTCGATCTGCGAAGGCATGCAGATAGTGTGTGAGCACTCGAGACGACATGACAAAGCGGCGAAAATTCGCTCTTTCGTTGAACCGGGCATAGCCGGCCGTCTGTGCCTCGAGCTTATGTACCTGGATGAAGGTTTTGTGTGCTTTGCCGGGCTCCAGTCGCTCTTCCTCTCCATTTTTCTTCCGTCGTGACACTCTGACCCTATTCGTCTTCTTCGTAGGTTTGGGGGTGTTCGACGTAGTTCCCATGACGCTTTCGGCCTCTAAGGTGCGCTCAAGGGTGGCGCTTTTGGACTTGTGTGGGATTCCTTTGGGGAGGGTAGGGCTTTGGGTGACGTCGGTACTTATCTCGCAATCAGTGGGCCTGATTGCTTTGTCCTCCAAACCCTTGTAGCAGGGATGGATGGTGATGCTCTGTTCCAACATTTCGACGTAGAAAATCGATATGTTCCGCCACATCTTCGAAGCATGCCATCCTACATGTGCAAGCCTTGCTCATTAGATGGGTGATTCTCATGTATCGTGTTATGATCTTTGATATGACGAGAAGCATCCAAAAGTGGACTGTATGTGAATATGAAAGCGGAAACAGCACCACAATAAATGCTGGAAGATTGTGGGTGACAATTAACATGAAATAAATAGAAAGACATTTTGCAGATTGCTGAGTGGAGATAGGCAGAACACAGGGAAATTTGTACATAAGAAAGTCTGAGACAAAGCATACGCATTACCAGATGACAAGGTAAGCTAAAGCGTCAGGCTGAACTAGAGCGACTTCATGAATTGGAAGAAAGTCAGGTCGTAAACTACAAGAATCATCAGCGAACGTTGGGTCGCGAAGACGTCGATCGACGCTGATTGGCTGACAAGGTTGGCGCTGTGGGACCTCCGCTCCAAGATCCGCATCTGCAAATCGTCACGCCGCGACACCACCACCGTTGACGTCGGCATCACACATCTCCGCCTGTCGCAATGGCGAAGAAAGGTACGCGCTCCTGCTCTCGTACTAGATGCTCTCCTCAAACACCCGATGTACTACCCCGGCCGACCCCCATTGCAGCCACCCGCAACGCACATGTTTGTCTACCTGCGCTGACAATGGCACCTCACAGCAAAGTCCCGTACCATTATGGTGCGCCTGATATCCATGGCCATGACGGGCTACTACCGGACCATGCAAAGACCGCGTGCGCACCAACCGCTGAGCATGCTCAAATACGACCCGATTGGTACGATACCATTGTTCTTCCAGTTCTTCGGACATTGTGCCTGCCTGGTGTACAAGATCTTGCTAGCAGCTGGGCAAGCGCAACTGAGGAAGAGATTAGACTTCGTTATATGGAGGGAGGCGCAGGGAGGCGCAGGAACACGGCTGACAATGCACAGTGCGGAAACAAGTACTCTTCCTCGAGGCGAAACGCGGCAAGAAATAGAACAATTTTTATATCACGAATCAAGCGTACACGAATTGGAAATGTACGGCGGGCATGGCGAACACTGGTTCAGGACTATGGACGGGATGAGAACGGTAGGAGATGGCGCATCGCAAAGATGGAGGTCTCGGCAACCATGCCTACCATCTGGAGTCGCCAGCAGGCATGGAGCAAGTTGCATGCTTGCACACACATGTATTATACGGTCAGCATGGCTCGGCGTTATATACGGGTCAGGGCAGAGCATGTCTGCCACACAACACGCACAATTTCTCCCATGGACTCACACCCACCCTTTTCTGCTTCATCTCACTAGTCATCCGACAATGCTCACCTTTATTCATGTATTCTCCCGCATTCATGTCCCGATTGCCGAGACGAGGACGTCCGCCAAGGTACAGGCTCCGCCCCGCTGCTTGTCTGGCCTCTTGGCCCGACTTGGTGTGCGCGAAAAACTTCGAAACTGGGTCGGCTTGCCTAAAAAGGTCGTTCCGGCTTCGTGAATGCTTGGACTACGTCGCCGATGGGCTCTTTACCAGCCACAAATTACCCCATACATGGTTTTGCTAAGACTCTGGGGTTGCAGGTGATGGGAAATGGCGGAGTCGGCATCACTCTTGGTCTCATCTGTCTACTGGCAGGATAGCCGAGCTTGCGGAAGCGCAAAAGTATAAGATGGTGCTGATCGGTAGCAGTTTAGGATGTTTATGAGCTAGAAGTTTATTGATTATCACAGTCCCAATATGGATCCTGAGAAGATTGACGAGAAACGCTCGGAACACTCCCCTGACACACGCACCGACAACCTCGACTATGAAAACTCCTCGTCGTCACAGGCCGCAATCGAACAACAAAAGTTAGCATCACAACCATCCGGCATACTAGGGACCTTCTCCAAACTCGGCAATCTACCAGAATGGCACGTCCCAGGATTTGGTCTGCTGCAGGGGAAGGCGCTGAACAATGCCATCTCCTGGTGCTCCTGTCTAGCCTTCCTCATGTTCGGTTACGATCAGGGTGTTCTGAGCGGAGTCCTTACCCTTGATGATTTCCAACGCCACTTCCCTCTCATGACACCTCGCGATCGTCCAAACAACCTTTGTTGGCTCGATGCACCGACCAACACCATACCCGACCCGAACATGTGCACAGGTAGCCCAAGTATCCTGTCTGCGTGTGTCGCGGTCTATCAAATCGGGTGTTTCCTAGGCGCTGTGCTCATCTTGTTCTATGGCGAGACTTGGGGCAGAAAGAGCAGTAGTTTCTGGGGCAGCTTCATCATGATTGTTGGAACAGTCATTCAAGTAGCCGCAGGGGGTACTTCTGGGGGCGGAGTCGACGGATATGCTCTGCTGAGTATTGGGCGTGTTGTCGGTGGGATCGGTAACGGCATGGTCACAGCGAGTGAGTACTATATTCATAATGACGTATTACCCTCAGCTAAACATGTTTGCAGCAATCCCCACGTGGCAGTCCGAGTGTGCGAAACCCGAGAAGCGTGGACGTTTGATCATCACTTCGGGAGCAGTCATCGTCGCAGGAGTGATGATATCTTACTGGGTCACCTATGGCTTCTATTTCCTCCCATCGGGCGAGTCTTACTCGTCTGTACGCTGGAGGTTTCCCATCATATTCCAGTCATTCTTCACAGTCCTCGTCATGTACGCAACTCTTTCCATACCAGATCATTGCGCTCTAGATTATACTAATAGCATCCAGGCTCGGCCTCTGTTTCCTACCAGACTCGCCACGATGGCTTGTAATGCGTGGTCGCCACGCCGAAGCTCGACACCTTCTCGCTCGCCTTGCCGACGCACCAGTAGACTCGGAGGAAGTAGACACGGAACTCACGAATATCAAGGATGCGCTCGAAGCGCAAAGCAAGGACGGCCCATTCAAGATGAAGGAGCTTTTGTACAACGGCCCAAGTCAGAACCTAAGGCGTACGCTGTTAGGTGTTGCCGCACAGTTCTTTCAACAGATCTCCGGGATCAACCTCATTGTACGTATATCGTTACACACTAGTTCGGAGCAGAGACTAACCTAAGTTCCTCTTAGACCTACTATGCGACCTACGTTTTCGAGAACTCGCTTGGTTTCGGGCCAGACATGTCTCGTCTCTTGTCCGCCTGCAATGGTACCGAATACTTTTTGGCCGGTCTGGTCGCCATTCCATTGATCGAGCGTGCTGGTCGCCGCAAACTCATGCTCTTTGGTGCATTCGGCATGATGGCTAGCATGGCTATCATGAGTGGTATGACATCAACAGCCAGTGAGAATGAGTTTGGTGCTCCAGTTCTAGAGCCCAAGTACGGTATCACAGCTGTAGTATTCATGTTCGCCTTCAACACCTTCTTTGCCATCGGTAAGCAGCATCTCTTTGGTAGAGCTTCGATATACAAGACCATTTCACTAATTCTTCACCCAGGTTGGCTAGGAATGACGTGGTTATACCCTGCTGAAATTACCAATCTCCGCATCCGCATTCAAGCGAACGCGCTCTCGACATGTTCCAACTGGATCTCAAACTTCCTCATCGTTATGATCACCCCACCCGCCTTCGCCAATCTACAATACAACACGTATACCATGTTCGCCGTCTTCAACGCTTGCCTTATTCCAAGCGTCTACTTCTTCTTCCCAGAGCCAAAGGGCAGGAGTCTAGAAGAGCTGGATGTCATCTTTGCAAGTGCGCATCATGAGGGCATCAACTCGGTCAAGCAAGCGAAGGATATGCCGAAGTTGACGGGGAGGGAATTGGATGTGCAGATTGCGAGATATTTCGGAGGGGATGTTGAGGAGGCAAGAAGGAGAAGTGTTGCGAGTGCTGGGATCACTACATGATGTGAGGCGGGATGTGTAGGTGGGCTCTCTTCGGAGATTTAGTAATAAAGCACTTTATCCAACACAATTCTCACTGCTGGGGAATTGATAGATAATGGAGTTAGCATGTTGCGAACTGGTGCTCCAATATGGCCACGCAGACCCATGCGCTTGGAGCCGCGTCGTGCCGGATTGATGCATGTAAGAAGTTGTGCAGTTTTGATCGTACCCAAGTGTGCCCAGGAAGTCGCGAGCTGGCCACTGCTCCTGCTATTGCCAAACGACCATGCTGACAGATTGCGGATGGCCCGTGGATCCGGCACATCTCTCCAATTCATGCCGTATCAGACTTCCTGATAGCACCAAGGTAACGACAAAGTTCTATAAAACCCGGTAAACACCTACTGATGGGAGCTAGCGCGGTACTATCTCGGCTGCCGCGTGGGTGGAGCTTTTCCGGCCTCTTCCCCTCTTTCCTCCTCCACCCAAACCGTGTCTGACCGTGACAACGACATCCAACTCCATCCCAACTTCGTGTATCATGCTAGAATCATGACGTCGATAAGCTTTGCCCGCCCCGGCAACAAGCAAGACAAGCCTTGGCAGATGGCCTTGTTCCGCCGCTGTGCATAGCGAGCTTCTACTTTGGGTAAAGAGCTTACAGGGCCACGCGCGCTGCAGCAAGCTTGAGCTCGTTGACTTGAGGCTTGAACTTCAGCGCAAAATTGTCGCAAACATCTCGACAAGTCGGCCTTATTCGTACTGTTGAAAAGAGGCATGCCGGGAAAAGAAGGATCAGCAAGGGGAATCTGCAGTTACTTGTTGCATCCCTTGCTGACAATGGTAAGGTAGAGTGACACGACAAGTCATCTGTCGGTTACGTACCGGTACAGCCTAGCCGAGATTCCCAACTATTCTTCTCCCACGCATAGCCCGGGGATCTTCAGAGACAGATGTTATCCGTCCAATGGTCGTGTACAGAGCATCCGCAGTTGCCTGATCCAGACTAATTTCCTGTGCGCGACCATGTAGTCTGACGTTGGCCCCGACTTCAAGCAAGGGATTACGAGGCGGAAGGTTGCATGTAACGCTGCTTGGCTTCGTTCTGGGGCAGTATTTATAAAGATGCAGAACCCGCTGCTTAGCTGGGCAAGCACTTACTGAAGTCTTGGTTATTCTTTTCCCCGACAAGCTTCCCACCATGGCGCGCTTCGCACAACTCGCCACCGTCTTGGCGGCTGCGTCTCTGGCCAGCGCTCGCGCACCTTTTATCAAGGAGCGCCAAGTGCCCGCTGACCCTACTGGCGTCACGACAATTACATCTGCCGCAGGTGCTAAGATCACGTACAAACAGCCTGGTAAAGCAGGTGTATGTGAGACTACCGAAGGTGTTGACGACTATGCCGGCTACATCAGCCTCAACCCGACCACCAACATGTTCTTCTGGTTTTTCGAGGCTCGAGAGAACCCAACAGAGAAGCCACTGGTAAGCAGAATCTCTATGACGAATCACAATGATCTCGACTGACCACTTCCCCAGACGCTGTGGCTGAACGGAGGCCCTGGAAGTGACTCCCTCATCGGACTATTCCAAGAGCATGGTCCCTGCAACGTTACCGAAGATCTCAAGACACAGCTGAACCCCTACTCATGGAACGAGCACAGCAATATGCTGTACCTCTCGCAGCCCGTGGGTGTAGGGTTCTCTTACGAGACTACTGAGACAGATGAAGATGGTCGCTACTCACTTGTCGATCCTGATACTGCCAACACGACCGATGCTGCAGCCATCGGCGCATGGCATATTCTGCAAGCTTTCCTAGAGCTTAGCCCACAGCTCGACCCTGATATCACCAACTTCACTTTCAACCTCTGGACTGAGAGGTAGGTTCTCTCTGAGTATGAAATTGAGCATATTGCTAACGAAGTTACTAGCTACGGAGGTCACTACGGCCCAGGTTTCTACAACTACTTTTATCAGCAGAACCAGAAGATCAAGAATGGCTCAACCGCTGGTGTCGAAGTTCAGATGGACACTCTTGGTGTTATTAACGGTATCATCGACGAACAGATTCAGGCACCTTACTACCCTGAGTTTGCTGTTAACAACACTTACGGCATCAAGGCGGTCAACGACACTGTCTACACCTTCATGAAGAACGCCTACTACATGCCTGAAGGTTGCCACGACCAGATCGAATACTGCAAGCAATCAGACCGCACTACTGAAGATGGCTACCTCACGTGCGCAGAAGCCACCAACCTCTGCCGATCGTTGGTTGAAGAGCCTTACTACGCATTCGGAGGCAGGGGTGTCTACGATATCAGGCATCCTTACGATGACCCTACGCCGCCTGATTACTTCGAGTACTTCCTGAACTTGGCTTCTACCCAAGAGGCAATTGGCGTGAACATCAATTACACTAGCACCAACGCCGCAAATGTGTCACGCGGTTTTGCCTCGACAGGTGATTTCGTCTTCCCCAACTTCCTCGAGGACCTTGAGGAGATCCTGGGTTACGGTGTTCGAGTCGCTCTTCTTTACGGTGACGCCGATTACATCTGCAACTGGTTCGGTGGCGAAGCCGTCTCTCTAGCCGTCAACTACACCGACTCCGAGGCTTTCCGCGCCGCTGGTTACACTCCTTTCCTCGTCGACGGCGTTGAATACGGAGAGGTTCGCGAGTACGGCAACTTCTCGTTCACCAGGATCTACGAGGCCGGCCACGAAGTGCCATACTACCAACCAGTGGCTAGCTTGGAGCACTTCAAGCGTGTGTTAGATCATGTTGTTATCGCAGACGGTAGCCAGGTTGTCACGGATGACTACAGCACGAACGGCACGGCGAAGGCTACTCACACTGAGTCCTTTGTTCCACTGCCGCCTACCAGCACACCCAGTGCTGTGAGCAGGGTTAAGCGAAGCACTGCATAGAGCAGTGGTGAACGTACTCATGCCACATGTTTTATGCCAGGTACCGTGCCACCCAAGCTATGAGAAATGAAATGAGTACTAGACAACACACCGATCTGTGCATAGATCATTTTCTGCAGGCTGTGAGAAGTGACGATCATTTGAACTGACTGAGACCCTCATTAACGATCAGATCCTCAGGCTTTTTGCGCAGCATCCCATGACGTCACGTGTCTTGATGCTGCACGAGCTGTGCACGTTTCCTCTGCTTCAACCACTATCACGATTTTAGCTCACCACGCATATGTTTCGCAGCAGGGAAAACGCCTCTTCGAAAACTAGTCAAATATGCGCATGTCCGATTCTACGCGAATGGATCACCGCACCAGCTCCCGACGCGTAGGGTCGCTAACACGCAACGTCCGCATGCCTTAGCTCAGCCAGGTCCTAGAATGATCACCAATGCTGGTGTCAGGTACAGAGCGCCTTTCGTGAAACATCAACAGATACATTTGGCAATGACAGATTACAAGCGATAGGGTTCCTTTCCCTCGGTAACTTTTCCACCTCTCTCGCAGCAGGGGATCCGCAATGCCCTTCCTATACCGACCCAGTCCTGGGAATCCCTTCGAGTGAGACATGTCTGTCTTGCGCGTGCAGCCAACGCCACCCACCCTGGCATCACGGTGCCGATGCAGGTACGACGAAACGCCGTCGTCATTGAGGGCTCATGAATGAAAAGGCTGCTATTGGGCCTAAACACAATGCCTCATTTCCCACTTTGGCACATGCTTAGCCCCAGGCTACGCGCAATGGTTGCACAATGGGCGAGTGGCATGTATACCCCATGGCAGGATCAGGAAGATTCAAGCGAAGCTGCATGCGGCGCGGATATCCTCACGGTGTACGAGTAAGTTTCTCAAGGTCACTGGATAGGGCACATGTTGACAAAATGCAATAGGCGCCTATTTGTAGACGAGCGCGTGTGCGAAGACCCCACCATTGAGGACGGAAGAGACACATCCCAGCCATGACTATCGAATGATGGTTCGGGCAACGACAAGACATTTCACGGTAACGACAGCCTCTTACCAGCAAGAGGGCGTGTTGACAAAACGCCTTGAACAAACGACCCTGACAACGAGTACGAGGTTCCACGCAACTGCTCAGCTTGGCAAGCGTATGAAGCACCCGTATTGTATTGTGCAGCTATTCGCCCGTCGCAATCATTTTGAATACTGTTGTTCGTTCTACTATCGCAGCTGGCGGACTCATTATTAGCAGGCTCTGATACCTAGCTGGTATGCCTTTGGCTAGTAGCTATTCTGCTGCGATCAGCGCAGCATGCTATGCGTTACCGGTAGATGTGGACGCTAGTCTCCTGCCTGTGCGGCAGGGCGCTGTTACACATGGTAAAGTGGATGGCAACGGAGAAGAACCGATCGAATATTGCTGCTTCTCGAGCTTTACAGTTGAGATACCTACTTCAGGGCGATTGTATGCCTAAAGCACGGTTTCTGGTCACAGGTACAACGATACTTCCACCACGAAAACTTTTCACACAACATTGAAAACGTTGCGATGCCTAATCTTCTGTAAGAAGGCCGCATGCTTGACGAAGTTACTGGCTCTGGTTTTTATTTTTGCTCGACGTACATTGGGAATCAGTAACTGGTTTTCATACGTGCAAAAGTCCCAGTCTATCGAGGTGTCGTTCCCCACTCTTTCCGTCAATATATGGAACATTCAGCTCGAACCTCGCCATGTGCATCTCTGCTGTTCCGTATCTTCGGATACCCTGCTTGGAAGTAGTCCTGGTTTCTTCTGCCACATCTGAAACCTGTCATCCAGTCAGCAATCCTATAGTCTGCTAGTAGGAACCTTCACCGGGGCCTATCACAAAAGCCTCGCTCCTGGCAGGTGAGAGAAGTCGTCTGTGCGCAAGCGGTCCTGCCTGACCTTGATCTGTTTCGCCTTCCGAATTGTTCTCAAGCATAAACGACAACACGCAGCTCAAAAGACATTCAACTCCTCGGTCGTTGACACACATACCCCAACCATGACCTCGACTTTGCAGTTGAGCAACCCCAGCGTCCCGGATCCCGGCGGTGCATGTTTCTATCTCGACCTTCCCCGCGAGTTACGAGACATAATACACTCGTACGCCTTGACATATATGTTTGGCCTGATTAGCGCACCGAACGAGCTTTGTCTCTCGACATTCAAGCGTCGCGGACCTGACCCACGGGACGACTCTTGCTGGTGGAAAGATCCTGCGCCCTGGGTCCCAAAACTCGAGCCTTGCCTCCAGCATGAACGTCCACCGAGCCAGGAAATCGAGAGAGTTACAATGCTGGGCGATCCCAATCCACTTCGCCTAGTTTGTCACCAGACCCGTGCTGAGACACACGGGCTCTTGTTAGACTTGAACAACATTCGCTTCATTTATCGACACGAGCACTGCAACTACTACAACTTATATGGGGACGAATTCAGCAGGGAGATTGACACGAATGAGTTGTTTCGGTTGTTTTATCACCAATGCAGCGCGACCGACAAGAATCGCCTCCGCCGGATAACCATCGAACGAACCTGTGACGCGATTGTACAAACACCCGAAGCCCACAATATCCTGGCAGGCTATATGCGAGACTACGCCCACTACAAAAACATCTCCTTTCTAATTCGCTTTAGACTAGTTCATGATAACCCATGGGAGTTTCATGGGAAAATGACGCAGGTCTTCAGTCTGGTTCTCAAAGGACCACAGATTAGCCGTTTCGCTGCAGCGTCCCTCAAGAAAGGACTTGACATATCTCAGGAGGTGCAAAGGAGACTTCTCCATCTCTCGGGGTCGGCAACGGTACCACATAATGTGCATTTCTTGATACAAGAGGAATCTTCAGAGCACGTGGTGAAAGCGTAGCGCAGGGCGCAGGGCGACAAAAGCCTATCGAGGACGAGCGGCAGGAAAAGCTTTACACAGATGTGCAAATATACCAGCGACACGAAAGGGCTTTGGACATGGTACCTAGGTGACATTGGGGTGATGCCTGGATTGGATTTGCGGTGGAGATGGGGGACGAACTTGGTTTCTCTAAAAGGTTTATCGTTTCAGTCGCCGGCTGTAGATACTGAAAAGATTCATTTCACGGAGTTCTGATACAAGTACTGAACCAAGTTGTCATCGCGGCTTGTCATAATGTCGTTCGTATGCGAATACTTTACAATGTATGTTACGGTTCGTGCACGCCAGCTTACCACAACACTACGCTGCCGCACTATTCTCTGCTAGCACACCATTACTTGTCGCCATGTCTCCCATGGCCTTGCCACTTTGCTTCTGCTTACTCTTGAAGTATTGCGTGAAATCGTGTCTAACCTGATGAATAGTCTCTGCGATGCTCTTTCCCCACACCGGATCATCACTCGCCTTTTCACACATCTTGAAAAAATCCTTCCTCTTCTCTTCATGCGCTGGGTCCCAAAGGCGGTGGAAGTTCTCGCGCGACATGGGATCGATCATCTCGCGCCAGATCTTGATACGGATTTCGGAGTATTTATCGAGAATAGATTCGTCAAGTTCGTCGAGATGGATTCCAGTGAAGCAGTCGTAGAGGGAGCCAACGTCGGCGAAACCGCCCGTCAAACCCATGCCGCCGCTGTTGTTATGTTAGTAGAGCAAGCGCATCAAGGGTGTCGATTACTTACAATGGGTTACATAGATGCGCCGCGTCAGCGACCAGTATTACCTTTCCTACACGGAAACTGGGTGCGCATCTTTGTTGGAGTTTGTAAGGACTCATACTGACGAGCTTGTACTCATCAGGCTTCGGATGACCAGGGAGAATTTGCTCATAACGGAGCGGTTGGCGTTTGATGAGTTCCTCTTTCGAGAGGTCTTCAGAGTCGCCGTATGTCACTCGCCATAAGCCGTCGTTTGTGATCTTGGCAGCCATATACCAGTCTGTTGGGTGGACAATGAAGTTGGAATCCCAGTAGTCGTATCGCTCATCGAATGGTAGGTAGACCTAACATGTTAGCTGTGGAATCATACTCAGATGCTTCACTCATACATTAGTAGCAACAATTTGCTGCTTCAGCGTCTCTCCTGGATACTCTTTTCCAAACAATGCAGTGCGAACACCACTTGATGCGCCATCGGCGCCTACCAGATAATCACCTGTGATCCTCTTTTTCTCGCCATCGTTCGTTTCCACGACCGCTGTAGCGCCATTATCATCTTGTTCTACGCCGACCAGCTTATGACCCCACTTGATTTCAGTATTGGGGTAGCTTTCGAAATGCTTCACGAGTAGCGGACCTAATTGATCTAGCGGCAGCACCACCATTGAGTATTTCGAGTCTTCCGGCTCGCGGCCCATGCCAGCCAAGAAGGTTGTGTCCTGCAACCGCCAACATACACCTCTGGGGTGAAGCCCGACTGCACGTACATCGTCTATGATGCCGGCGCGATGGAAGTCGTAAACTGCTGAAGGTGCATAATGAGCCGCTCTTGGGTTGCCATTGATCTTGGTATCTGCATCGAGGATCGTAACTTTGATGCCGAGATTTTTCGCAAGGAGGACTCCGAGCAAAAGACCGGAGGGACCAGCTCCGACAATAACGACCTGGTAGTGTTAGCGACAGGCGAGAGGCTCACGTAGAAACAAAGCAAACATACGTGGTTGAGTTTCGGCATGGTTACGAATCGGCACTACTGCATGTGAATACTGTGAAAGCATCTGCTAACCAGATGTCATTCTTTAAGATGGCATGTCCCCCGTGGTGGGGCTGTCAAATCCCCGCCTCCAAGGTTCTCCATCCTCATCTCAGAGACATTCGGCTGTGATGCAGGTGCGGGGAAGAGCTCGAGTGCCCCACATGGCAATCGACAAGAGGGGAAGGTGCACGTGACGCACTGAGTAATGACAGTGGAGCCAAGGGTCTAGGAGGGGTCGAGTGCAAGGCTGGCGAAGCGTGAGCTATGACGTAGCCGCTGGAGAGGTGAGCGCGCGTCTCCCCTGATGATCGCAACTCCGGCATCAGACTGGACCCTGATACATCCTAACAAGCCATGGTTGCTAGAGCGAGCACGTCTTACGAAGATGGTGACGAAGACATTGCGATACACCCGGAAGTGTTGGGAAGACGCGCTCCACGCTATTGATACCTCCAGGTCGCGAACATTGTGGAGACTGGAGACGCTCGTATTGGCTGGTGGTGAGATACGAACAGAATTAGAACACACCACCCACGCGCGACGTCATGGCCATGGCAAGTCGCCGTATTGATCTTACAAGACTCGTACACGGCCGCCTCAGCATGTGACGATGCGAGCGACACCGAAACATCCGCTCCGATCTCCTGGCGTCGCATTGTTGTTGGGACCTTGGGAAGCGCAGGGACTCCCGGGCTTGCGAAAATAAGCTTTACCGGCCCTTCAAGGGTTTTCAGCCTCTTGTTCGCCACTATCGCAACCACGAACAGCCGCAACACCATGCGACTAATCTGTTCATCGTTGTATGCGTTCAACATATTTCTTTTCAGCTCGCCAACGCTGTTATGACTCGATGGTACAATATACCTAGGCGCTGCTTGATTCTCGATCATCGCCTAGGAGCCATAGATCCACTCATGTTATCATAGCACACCAAGCTCATTCCCACGATGCCCCTAGGTCTGCGACGATTGGGCCGACGCGCGCTGAGAGGCTTGGACGACCCAGTTATACCCACTGTCTCCTTATCTCGGTTTCCCTCAACCAGACTGATCCCAAGCTTTGGCACGGCCATGTCCACTTTTCTTGCTGCGCCGACAGCCGACCTGGGTATCGATGACTGCAAATCTTGGCTGTAGCGGTGTCCGCGCTTCGTCCAGTGTCGTCAGTCAAGAGCTTCATCAAACGTTGTGCAATCCTGCGGGCGGGAAATCGCTATGAAAGTCGTGGTACGCCGACTCCTGACGGCCTTCAAAAATCTCTGCGTCTCCGGCGAATACAGGCATTCTTATACTCAAACCACTTCGGCGCACTTGCGGCTCATTCCCATCGGACCTCGCGGGCTCCCTAAAATACTTACAACGCCAGTGCAGCCACTCCCGCTGCAGCGATCAGGGTTCTGGAATTTTGGGCTACGATTCTGGTGCCTGTCGCTGATTTTGGCGCTCCCGACGTTCCATGTCCCCTGCAACTTCCGCTCCACCCTCCCTTTGCTAAGCTGACGAACCCGACACCGAACCTTCTGGCCGCTGCGTTTCGACTAGGAAAATTGGGTCGGCACGCCACTACAGAGTTTGAGAACTCTTCCAGTGACGTTCGGGACCGTGTGTGGTATACCCGCACTAGCGGCTCTTATCAATCCCACACACACACACAACGTTGAGACTGCCCACTTTCCATTGCGATCTGAACCAGCAGCTCAAGTCAACGACTCAGTCATTTTTGGGTATTCGTCTCTACCAAATCGTTATCCATTTACTCAGACACTCTCATTACACAGACCACGCCGTATATCCATACTGTGTGCGTTCCTTGGGACTCACGATCCTTCAAACATCCACCTTTAGGTGCATGAACGGTCCCAGATATCAGCCTGCCTATTCAGAACTACCGGCGATTTAGCGCACAAATCGGACACACCACGTGCAACGTTATCTGCACCTAGTCGCGGAAGTCGGTGCGTTGGTAATTATTGCGAGCGCACTGGCGACTCCTGGCGCGCCCAACTAGCCGTCCGATAGTGCCCAAGAGAATACAATATCATCATGAACCCCTTTCAAGATGCTGGCCCATCTCGTCAGGCCAACTTCGAACCTGAGGACCAGATGTCCGCCACTCCTGGTAGGAAACGTGTTGGTTGGCATGAAGAACATCCCGTACGCTCACAACAATCACCCGACGACACAGGCTCTGGGGGGCATAACACGCCCCTCGAACGGTCGGATGTATCACATGATGATCTCCAGAAGATCCGTGCCTCGCTACGTCTAGCTCTTGGAGATGAGCATTTACCGGAAGAGGTCATACAGGAACCTATCGCTGCTCCAAAAGATGTACAGAAGCCTCGCCCAGCCATCCGGAAACCAGGTCCCCGAACGCCACCTCCGGAATTCTATCTCAACGACCAGCCAAACCCATTCGACGACAACGCAGCGACCACTGCTTCGGTTGGTCATGACCTCAAGGAGAGATCAGGGCTTGCTGCTCAACGCCGCGCAGCGAGACTGTCCAAGTCTGTCGGTACTTACTCCGCTCCAATATCGCGGCGCAACTCCAAGGAGATCGCGTCTCCACCTGTCGAACTCCAGAACCTTTCAAAGCAATACGAATCGGTGGGGGAGACCACCGATGATGACGAGGACGACCCCAGATTCATGAAGCGTGCATCCATGATTCTTCGTCAGCACACGATACGAGCTGCTAACGGCCAGCCTGCATTAAGTGCTGAAGACCTGTATCACACCGAAGCACCGCTCGCGTCAGGCCAGGTGACACCAGACGCTATGGACGTTGAGGATGAGCATGTCGTTCGTCCTACCAAGTACCGAACGGGAGTGTTGGGTACTCTCATGAAAATGTCTTCCAATGCAGCACCACCGCCATCATCATCACGCCGACCCGTTCACCATCGAACTCTGAGCACTGGCACGTTCAGCGGAGCGTCAACAGCGGCCAACTCCCCGAACCCATCGCCGCCCGCCTCCGGCTACTCGACCCCACGCGGAGGCCGTCCTTGGTTCCGAAGCCATCACAACAACCAGTCAGCAACATCCATCTCGCAATTAGTCGGATCCTCAGCTCACAGCTTTGCTGCACCTGCGCAACAAGAGCTTGGTCAGGAGTTTGATCAGCAATACAAGAAGACAGCCCGTCCGGGCATGGGCAAGCGTTCTAAGTCTGACGAGTCTATTTTACCTTTCAAGAAGAACAAGAGGAAGGAGGAGGAGATCAAGATCAAAATTCATCTTGCTGGTACACTTGCGCGTCAGAACTATCTGCGCAAGCTGTGTAAAGCGCTCATGATGTACGGAGCTCCTACTCATCGACTGGAAGAGTACCTGAACATGTCGGCTCGTGTCTTGGAGATCGAAGCACAGTTTCTATACATGCCTGGTTGCATGATTGTTGCATTCGACGACTCCTCAGTTCACACCAGTGAGGTTAAACTCGTTCGAACTAGCCAGGGTGTTGATCTTGGCAAATTGCGAGATGTGCACGAGATCTACAAAGATGTGGTCCATGATAGGATAGGTGTGGAAGAGGCTACACCTCGACTGGACGCTATCATGGTGCGCAAAGATAAGTTCAACAAGTGGCTTCGGGTGCCGATGTACGGCTTAGCCTCTGCGACTGTCGGACCTTTCGCGTTCCAAGCTCGATTTATCGACCTGCCCTTCTGCTTCCTTCTGGGATGCCTCATCGGATGGCTTCAACTTGTCGTCGCACCTGGAAATGACCTTATCAGCAACGTTTTTGAGATCGGAGCATCGGTTATCACTAGTTTTGCTGCGCGCGCTCTTGGATCCATCCGGCACGATGGGAAAGAGATCTTCTGCTTCAGCGCTATGGCTCAGTCTAGTATTGCCCTCATTCTGCCAGGTTTCATGGTGCTTTGTGCATCACTAGAACTGCAGAGCAAGCACATTGTCGCTGGGTCCGTACGCATGGTGTATGCTATCATCTATTCCCTCTTCCTTGGATTCGGTATCACGATTGGTACTGTACTATATGGCATGATGGACGGCAATGCAACCTCCCGAACGACGTGCCATGAGCCAATGTCAACGAACTTCTACTACCTCTTTGTCCCTGCGTTCGCAATCTGTCTACAGATTGTTAATCAGGCCAAGTACAAACAAATGCCTTCCATGACAGTCATTGCTTTCATCGGCTGGGTCATCAACTTCCACAGCTCAAAGTACTTCAAGAGCAATGCGCAAGTCAGCAACACTCTCGGAGCACTAGGCATCGGTATCGCCGCTAACGCTCATGCGCGTTTTGGTCGTCACATCGAGAACTGGAGCTTGGACCTGTGGGAGAACAAGATACGACCCGAGTTGGTCAAGGTGCGCAAGCTGTATCGTAGGAAGAGCCATGGACCCATCCGTACACCTAAAGTCGAGCGATCAGCTTATGACCCGACGCACAACAGCAGTGGCCATACATCGCGCGCCAGCTCAGTCAGCGACTTTACGCCACACACCAGGAAAATCGGCTACGGTCTTGCCGCAGCTGCCATGTTGCCAGCTATCTTCGTACAAGTTCCGTCAGGATTGAGTGTCCAAGGTTCTCTGGTATCAGGTCTGACTTCAGCCGACCAGATCGTGCGCAACAGCACCGGCAACGCTACAACACTCAGCACTGCCGACGTAGGCAGCAGCACAACCATCAACTCCATCGCTCTAGACGTTGGTTTTTCAGTTGTTCAGATTGCGATTGGTATCACTGTAGGCTTGTTCTTGGCCGCGCTCATCGTATACCCGTTGGGTAAGAGGAGGTCGGGATTGTTCAGTTTCTAGGCACGGCTGTGCATTACCCGCCTCTTGCATACCCTCGTCGCTGTTACCTTGCGGATTGGTAACGTCCAAACTGGTTCTGTTGCATGGGAAACAACGACATTCATAACATACCTCAGAACGCATTTTCCTCTGTTTTTCAATTTTCGAAGCAAGCGAGTCGAGCATTTGCAGGAGTTTGGGTTGTTGTTTTTCCGTATATAGGCAGCTTCTGTGAAGCTATGACATAGACCTAGACACGATTCTCATAATGTATTACTATCCTCGCCGCTCTCGGGTTGAGTCTCTTCCTTCAAGCATCCTGGTTTTTCACACTCGAAAAGGAGATTATCGTGTGACAGCTGCGCAGAGGATGCGTTACCAAATTCGGTATTGCTGCCATAGCCCCTAACTCGGCATCATTACACATCGGACTCTGCAATGCAGAACTTCGCAATTACTTTTAATTATGTCAGTGTGCCGTAGTCGCATCAAGACTTTCAACTCTGGGTATTTTCATCTTTAACTCCCTCTACAATGTATTATGGGTTGTAGAGGAGTGCCGAGGCGCATTATTACCCCGCAAGCTGCACTTGCCAGACTATAATCCAGTAACATGCCAAACGCCGAAGCGTGTACCCACCTAACATCTCAGGCGTGCACACTGCGGCACGCCGATGTGGCTGATGACGCGCCATCGAATGATTGATGACACGTAGTGTCCAATCTTGGAAATCTACTCTGGGTCTGTGGCTGTTAGCTCTCGATGACGAAGCTCGCGACTTATATACGACACCGTGCGCGACTGTGCAGCAAAAGCAACGTCAACACAGCAATTGCGAATACGCCTAGAGCTGAAGCCAATCGCATCGGCTTTGTTGCCCCTCAACATAACTCGCCGACCAAGCTACCCTTCTCGCTCAACGCGCAATCCAACACGATGACAGTAACGCAGATAATCCGCTTCCATGCTCACTCAGCTTCCGAAGCCGACGATCAAGCCAACGCAGCCGTCAAAGCCCTCAAAGGCGCCAAGGCGCCCGAAAACTATGTCCTAGGAACCCAAATCCAGGACAAGCGTAACTTACAGTTGAGCTCGGAATGGCACGACCCCAAAGCCGAATCCTCAAAGGAAGCAGAAGCGTACCGCGAAACCGTCATCAAAAGTCTTGGAAACCCGGAGAAGATGTTCCATGTCTCATTCAAAGATGGACAGTCAGCTTTCGACAACGGCGGCCCTCTATCCTCACCTTTGGTCGAGTTTGTGCAGATTTACTTCCCGACCGACAAGGTCACAAAGGAGTTCCGGGATAAGATAGAGAAGGACTTCAAGAAGTTCGATGATATCTGCACTCCGGCCGCCAAGGGTAATGGCGCGGTAACATATGGCTGGGTGCTGGAAGAGCAGGAGCACAAGGATGTGAAGAAGTCCAAATGCTTCTTTGTGGCGAGAGGATGGGAGGGTATGCAGTATTTTGAGGATGTAATCAAGACGGACGAGTACAAAGAGGCTGTGAAGATCCTGATGGGATGGCAGGCGCCGTGGGATATGTGGCACGTCAAGAGGGAGTTTTGAGGACAGAAATATATTGTGTGCTGTCGTCAGTTACAAGCAACGTCATGCGACGTATCCTCGGCGGACACCACATAGTTGCTGATTATATCTATTCCATACTGGCCATCACAATGGTTGGTTCTAACCGCGCGGTCTTATCCTAGCTATGCTCCTTTTGGTATATTTTTGATTGCCACTGCTCAATAGGTGACTTCTTGTGAGACGTTATCAAGTACAAATACATGTTATACAGCTTGCGATGCAATCGTCGCATCGTATGATCATCATACAGCATTTAAAGCAATCTGTTTCTGCGTCTAAAAGACCACCCAAACTAGATATAAAAGACAGGATAATACAAAAATTGCGGGACTCCAGCTATGAAGGATGTTGAAAGACAATCCTTGGACTGTGTCGGACGTCATGTACAGAAGGAATCGTTTGCCATCTAGGATTCTGCGTGCCAAGTGGTGTGTCGTTAGGCGAGTTAGGCGCATCTTGTGCAATGTCTACTCGAGCATGTGAGCGTAGAAGACTTGGAGGAGGTGATCTCGGTGTATCAATCGAGCGCATCGATGACAACTCATAGTTTTCGACCACCGATTGACAATTTGGCGAAGCGTTTATGGGTGAAGACAAAGGCGAGGAGTATTTTGTTTTCGCACTGCTGAACCATCCATTGATGGCTGCACCCATGGGAGACGTTAGATCTTGTATGGAACCTGGTCTAAAACCTCTCCCCTCATATGCGTCCATTGGCGGTGGTGTCTCAAGATGCGTTGTAATACTAAATTTTGGGGGTTGTGCACGACTGGACGACCGTACCAGCAGCGACCCAGGTCCGGAAGGGCTTCTAGACAATGACAGCTCTGGCGACTCTATGATCCTGGGTGCTGTTTGCGACTGCATGGATCGAATAGGTGGTATGATAGAAGTCAGATATGGGCTTTTCTTGGGTTGCGATGAGTTAGAAGAGGAGCCATCAAGCGGAAATAGCGAAAGGCGTTGTGTGTACGGTGCGGTCAAGGCCGGTGTAGGAGTGCGACTGGAATAGCACGAGCTTGGAGAAGTCGGCATGGGGCTATGAATTCTTGACGGTGGGCTGGGTGCCTTCCTGGAAGGAATGAATGATTGCAAGAGCAAAGCTTGCGGCGATGTGCACGATGGTGACAGTGCGCCTGAGCTCTCTGTTCGTGGACTTGCCCAATCCAAACTTCGTTGCCGTTGAGGATCTCGACATGGTATATAAATATTCAGGCCGCGTACGCTGGCTTGTCTACCCAGCGGTGTATGCGGTCTCGGAGGTGGTAAGGGCGAAAGAGGTCTTGAAGTAGAAGGATAAGGCGAGACTTGCGATAGATGATGGTATTGGACACCTGCTTCTGCAGAAGAATCCCAAAGATCTAGGGATTTCCTCTTGCTATGTCGGCGAAACCACAGCGATGACTTTGATCGTCCCGCTTCCTCATCTATGAAGTGAAGCCGGTTCTTCACAAGGTGACTCTTTCGCAAGTCACTGTCCAGTCCTTTGAATAAAGGAATCATGTACGGAATGCTTGCAGTAGCGATGCCAAGGCACACCTGAACTTGCGACATGATTGCTGGTTCCCAAAGCCGGTATCGAGGATCGTCGTAGGGTGCGACTGGATACAGCAGGATGAGGCGAACGAGCGCCGCACTCAGCACAAGCATGCGTGGCGCAAAGCATGCGAAGATGGCAAACTTCCTGGAAAGTCGTACTTGAAGATATGCCACAAGGTATACTGATAGCATGATGATGGCGACCTCGGTTGACATATCGAATATGCAATAGACGATCCAGAAAATATGCTGCTTCAATCAGCCGCCGGTCATGTTTAGACCAAACAGCCAGTGCTACTTACCATGTTAGAGCATTTTTGACTTGTGATGTCCCATGGTCGAGGAAGATCGCACTGAAATGCGATCGCCATAACCGATGCTATCGTCCAAGCTGACACCAGAATACCAAAGGCCATGACGATTCGGCGGATGGTACGCTGCATTGCAACAACATTGTAGAACAAAACCAAAATTGACAATTTCGCGAGGCCAATAGCTGCGACATACAAGATCTCGGACGCGTAATAGCCTTTGGTGAGCAGGTCGATCTGATCGAGCATCAAAGGGCCGGCGGTGCCGAGGCCCTCGAATGATAGAACGATAGCTGTTGCTGAGAGGCCGATACCGAATGACTGCATGAATTAATACAAGACAAGAGAAATGGTGTTGAGTAGCTTACGAATGCTAGGAACATGAAAAGGTCATCGATCGTGACTGTGCGAAAAACGATGATTTTCATGATCTGGCGTGCGCCAAAGACGATGACTGTGATGACAAGAGCGGTCCATGACACAATCCTGACGGTGTCCATTCTATCCGACCCGCCATTTGGTGCACTTCGAGAGGAGATGTATGCAAGTGGTAGCTTCATAATCGGAAGGAAAAAAAAGAGAAAAGATCAGAACGCTCGCAAAACCGACCCGAGAGGAAATGATAAGGAAATAGTAAATTTACCAGATGGTTGCGCCCCGTAACACCATAAGCATGAAGAAAGAGAAGGATATGAAGCAGAGAGAATATAGCTGGCTAGACGGATGATGCGCAGGACATCATTGAAGAAGAGCCAAGCGTATGCTTCAGGTTGTCCGGGGTATCTGTAGATTAGACCAAAAACAGTACAGAAGACGATCAATCCTAGAATATCGCCAAAAAATGCTAACGGTACAGCTTACTGTGACATCTGGTTCGGCAGTTATTCCCAAGCTATCGTGGGTCCAAACTGGCTAAATACCAGCAAGTGGTATCTGCCTTGCTATCTGTGGTACCAACACCCATTTTCCGGAATAGTGTGCTGTCGTGCTCTGTCGAGTGCATATTCGACTGGAGAAGGCTGCATCATGCACCTAATCTTGGGGCAAACAGGCGCTTGCAATGATTTGTAGATACTGCTGACGGGTAGCGCGGCTGACAAGCAGTGTTCCTCCCGGCGGGTTTACGCGTTAGGGCGCGGCGCCATCCTCCCCCGCCCTCGATGTAGACGCGCACGAGCACCTACGAACGGCACAACAGCACTGAATCACATAATGATTTTGTGTTGAAGTATATGGCTGAGGACAGCCACGTAAAGGAGGTCGCGGGTCGCGATGCTGGAGGCTGGGTGCCAATGGTGGTATACGGAGTATGCTCGGCTTCTATGCCTTCGACCCGTTACTGATAATCATATCGCTTTCAGATGTTAATACTCGAGCAGAAAGCACGAACAGTCCTCCGAAAACTGCAAGGATACCAGTCCCGTCAGTGATTGTTAGGTTTGAGTGTAATGTTGTTGCCGCATCGCTTCGCTTGTCTTTTCTTAGGTCTTCGTGCAGGACCTACCCCCGGGCCCAGGTACCTCATCCTCTACAGGCACCGAACACTCGGTTGGGCGCTTAGAGTGCTCCTGTCTCGCAGGTCATGGTTTGAAGTAGACAAGGTACCTATTCTTGTGTTAGGCCTACTACGAAGCTAGGTATCAGCATGCGAAGTCGATAGCAGTGGAGGAGACATAAGACGGTGACAGGCGGAGGTCCTGTGCTGTGTTGCCAGAGTGGGCTGATTTGGGCAACGTCGAATCTAAACGTGTCAATGCGATAGGAAGGATGGAAGGTGGACCGGGGCAGACGATAAGGCCTGGCTTCTTGATCTCGCCTAGCGGATGATGTCAGCACCGTCACTATGAAGTGATTTCGTCCCAGGCTCCGCGACAGCTTCTTCATGAACATCGATAAGATCGCATCTTTCGTATCACGCACGACGTGCCTTCAGCCATCATGATGTGTGCTTTCTCTATCGTTAGTACACAATACCTGAGTGTATTGATAGTCTAGAGACGCGTAAACGTCTGCGGTAACTACCGGTCAGAAACCTTGTGCGGCACACCAACTGACACTGTCCTCTGCCGTACATCCGTACCAAAGCGAGTTCGATATACTACACGTTAATGCTATTGTGCTTTGCTTCTGATACTATGGCTTGAGCCGAAGAAGAGCCTTCGACAACTGAGTTGGTGCTGCTTTTGGAACTTGCAACACAGCGTATGATCCTCTTCTAACTGCTTCCATTACACTGGCTATCATCTTCGCTTCATGATTGAGTCGGCTGTTCTTTCAGATCGCCCTCCAGGATGAAGCGTAGACACGGCGCTAGTACCTGACGATTTTCGGTCCGAGCGGCGCTTTCCGACGATCCGAACCCCTTTGGTCTAGTCGCCCCTATTTTGGGCTGAACGTCTCGTCCACCCAAATACTGAAACGAACATCTCTCACTCTGAACAGGTCACTGCCACACACACGTGGCGGCACTCCGCCATCCGGAACGGCGCCACGCACTATCGACCCACTCCCAAAGTTTGAAGGAAACAAACATCCCTTCAAAAAAGCTTGGTTGAGCTTAATCGCATCAATCGTTGATGCTTGTTCGCCAAAAGCATGACGAAGCTCGTGGGTCAGACATGTCAAGTCTTGGGCTTTGGTGTCTGAGCTGGAGATCAACGCTGTGATAGCCAAGCAGCGTTTGATTAGGCCGCGTACGAACCCCATAAAGGTCTATCACATCTGCTTGCTTTTCCATAGGCTTGACGTCTCAAAATCTATATCTTTTTCGCGGTGCTCTCAGTACAAGTAACTGTAACTTTTAATTCTTAATATTCAGTCATTACTGCTATTATTGCCCAACATGAATGCCTCAGCAACCATCCGTGCTTCCTACATCCGCCAGGCGCGGATGAGCATGACGCCTCGCCCAGCCAGCATATCAGACATGGGGGGAGTCCATCTTGAGCCACGTCCCGCTTCAACCGAGAAACTCGAGTCTTTTGTACACGTCGATTACGTCGAACACCGCGACAAATGCCATTCGGAGCGCATCGCACAACCTATTGTCTTCGACATTGAGAACAACCTCGACAGCGAGCAGGCATACATTGACAACCGCTACCTCGAAAACACATCGATCATGGAATGGGACAACAACAACTCAATCAGGGTACGGCTCAAGACCATGTTTACCGTCTTCCCTTACCGCGACCCCATTTACCTAGTGGCAATCATCTTCCTTATTGGCTCGATCGATCTTGTGATCAACGCTTTCTTCGAGCTGCTGCCTCGCGTCATGCCATCTACCGTGTTCGAAACCGAGGATACGGTCGCTGTTCCTACTACGGTGTTGATCGGATCAATCTTCTTCTTCGTGGCTGGCATCTTCGACACCTTCAGCGCCCTCAATATTGACCGCGGCACACTCGAAACGTCGAAATGGGATCCCGAGAGAGTCAAATACCGCCCAGCACTCCTCGGCACACCAGAGTTCAAGTGGATACCTTCATGGCCAAAGGCGTTGGACTTGACGAAGAACAACTTGGCCTTTCAGGCAGGTCTTATCGTTCTCTTCGGCGGTGTTATCTTCATGTTTGCCGGCATCGTCGAATTTCCTGGACTAGTATCAGAAGAAGATCCCTCATTTGGTCTCGTCGTCTTTGGGCCGCAGGTTATACATGGCGCCCTCTTCCTAGGCGCAAACGCTATGCTGGCAGTATTTGAACAAGAGCGCTGGTACAAGCCCAAATGGTCTGATCCAGATTGGCAGAGCGCATTCTTGAATGCGATGGGTGGACTCGGCTTCATGGTGTCTGGTTTCTTTCTGTTCCAAAGGGGAGAGACACAGGAACAAGGTGAACTCAACGCAGCTATTGCCGCAATGGCAGGTAGCTGGGCTTTCCTGATTGGCAGCGTAATTAGATGGTATGTCGTTATGGAGTTCTGGTAGAAGTGGTCATCGCATTGCGTAGATGTCCTGGCAAGTCATGCATATCCATCAGTATGCAACTATTGTTGTGGTTCGCAAGCAATAGACAAAGACAATCTCGCTCCTTACCAAAAAAAAAATCGGTTCCTATAGTAGTCTGGCCATCAATTCTCCATCAACTTATCGAACCGACCGCATCGTTCGCTGGTGGCAATGGCCTACGCGGTGATGCCTCATAGCGACACCATTCCCAGTACGCGCGGAACCGCAATGAGAGGAATACGTACGGAACTTGACGGCTACAATGAAGCTACGCCACGCCGTGCTGAGCTGGTGAAAAATGCCTGGGAGTCGAAGGAAGCAACAAGGCTTACAAGAATTGGTCAGCTGCGAATGACGGGGTACAGAGTGCGATTAGAAATGCTGTGAAGGCGCTATGGGCGGCGTTCTGGGAGGTTTTCGATCCGTGTGACCCAGACTGATGGTGGTGAGGACGCAGAAATAATGATCCCGTTGCTCCGAGAACTGCAACCCGGATGTTGAAACCACTAAACAAGCGCGCTCCACTGATCGTGCGTCTCGTGATTTGGTCCTCCATTCAACTTGTATTAAACGCTGTGTATCAAAGGTATATTCTCATGACAGCATACATCTGACGTTGCATGTTCCTTGAATAATCCCTTCATTTATCAACGGATAGCTCTTGCATGTTAGAACGTCGAATAGAGACGCACATGGTACAATCTAGCACCATGTCACCTCGCTATGCTCATAACCAAATTCCGACGTCAAACTTCTTGCCAAGATGTCTGACACATCTGACACAGCTCGCATATGCCCCAATCACGTGAATCGGTCTGAAACAGGTCTTGCGACATTGCGACGAGGTCGATACGCCACGGCATTGAAGCTGCTGATAGGTCCGAGTGAGCGATCGTAGGATGTGTGAATAGCTCCGGGCTATTGAGGAAGGCATAGCATGAATCATGCATGGTATAACTGCCAACGGTATAGGCATTTGCCCCAGACATCCAACGCCCGCAATTGCAGGTGACAAGGCGATCACACATTGACAGCCTCACAGTACAGGACAGCATGACTCTATGCGCTAGAATTGCGCGGCGGGGTGAAGGTCGAGATGCAGTTGCTCAGGCATAAAAGCCTGCGTCGCGCACTATGTTCAGAGGCGATCAAGCAAGCAACACTTCTCACTTCAGCAATCACTCTTCAATTCCATTCTCTTTGCGTCTGCGACTGCAAAACTGACCTGGTGTCACTCGTTCTAAGTACATACATTCTTTGCTTGTCACCAAAAGCTCTTCAAACCATCAACATGCGTTTCACTATCGCCACCTTGGTCGCTTGTAAGTTCTAGTCTGAGGCGGGCAGAAACTTGGAGATATTGTGTATTGACTTTGATCAGTGGCCGCCGTCTCCATGGCTCAAGTAACACCCAACAATGCCGGCGCTAAGAATGTCGGTGCCGGCAACGGTGCCCAGTTTATCACGGGCGGTTGTGTTTCGGATGCCGACTGCAGCTCGGCTTGCTGCAGTCAAGTCGCAGCTACTGGCGACGGTGTATGTTCTGCCGAAGCAGCTAGCCAGCAGAACGGAAAGACGGGTTGTGGCTTCACCGACCCCAACGCTGATGCTGTGATTGCGGCGGCCAAGGAGCAGGTTGCAAAGCAGGGATTCAAGAGGGTCGTTCGTAGCGAGTAGAGTGTTGCTTCGCAGTCGAGGTTGTCGGTCCAACAATGATAAGATGACTTTTATGATGATAGTCTCAACGGACGTATCCGCTCCCTGCTCCAAAAGCGGCCCAGAGCCGACTGACCCAAAGCGCCAAAACCAGCTCCCTACATGTCTGATCCAGATCGTCTCTAAGCTCAATTGTTGGCATCTTGCCTCCTGGGCCCATCTTTAGCACTTCGGTGGCGATGACATTGCCCTCGCTGTCTTTCCATTGGCTAGGTTCCAGCTCGTTCTTCCTCTGTTTAAGCGCCTTTGTGAAGCCGCCTGGTTTCCCACAAGTCATAATCTCAATCGGTCGACTGCCCTGCGTGGGCATATGTACGACGTGCCATCGGCGCAACCCGAATCGAAGCTGCAAAGCGCCGGGTAGCGTACTGCCTGCTCTGCCTTGAATGTAGTACTCGTTGATGACGAAGGGCGGGTCGTGTGCCTCGTAAAGGACGCTGCTGTTGTCAAAGGCGACCGTCGGCGCGCCGGATTGTAGAAACGTGACTTCCTCGGCACGCAACCTTCGTATGCGAAGCTTGTTGATGCGTGCGTCGAGGAGCGAGGATATCTGGTAGGCGGGCGCGTTCGGGGTATGGATGAAGGTGCCGTAGATGGTAAAAGTGGTGGCTTTCTCGTCCACGACAGCGTAGGCAGGCGGCAGTTCTGGCGGAGGCGTCGCTGGTATGACCATGGGTGGTGGCACCGCGTCGGCAGGGAGCTCTTCGGCAGCTTCGGGCTCAGATGGGCGTCGTGGTGCCGTTGTGGGCGGGGGCGCGACGACGGCCTCTTCATATGAAGGGATAGGCGCGTGGGCGTTTGGGCGAGACATGTTTGCCATGACCAAGACGATGCGCGGAGGATTCTGTTCAGTCAGGCTGGCCGTGTTTCCAACATTGCATGAGGTGACATGTGGGAGGCTGTGTTGCGCCAAGCATGCTGTCGTGTTGATTGAGCGTCTGGAGAGACGGAAAGCCCGGCGTGACGTACATCATCTACAGACCTCGGAATCTTATCCTCTGCCAAGACACCCCACATCATGCCACCGTCCCAACTCTCTGTGCCTCCTAGGACAATTGTGCGCCCTCTCCGACGTCAACCACCTGATGTCCTGGACTGGGCGGTACATCGCCAGACTCCCACACAACTTGTTGCTCTCCAAGCCTGAACACAATTTCACCGCCCTCCGTCATGATGCCGCCGGCGTCTTCATGCTCGAACCAATTCTTGCGCCACTCCTGCCCGTTGATACTTACTCCTTGAACGTAATATCCTTGTCTTCCATCTCCATCGTCTAGGCCCTCAGCCCTGATCCGCAGCGTCTTGTCGTGGTTGACTGTCATGTTGATGTCGGAGAACCATGGGCTTTCCACAAGATAGACAGGAGTAGTCACAACAGGATATAATCCGAGCATCTGCCATATGAGCCAGCAGTTCAGGGCGCCTGCATCGCTGTTCCCAGGGATGCCATTGGTTGCATTGAAGTAGAAGTCATTAGCAAGCTGCCGGCTTCGCTCAACACTCTTCCATTGCTTGTTGAGGTAGTTGTAGAGGTAGGGTGTTTGAAAATCCGGTTCGTTTGCAATGTTGTTGATTGTCGTAATGCCGAGGCCATTCACGCCTAGATCCACACCAGACGTATTCGGTTGGAATACATAGTCGAGACGGGCTTCGAAGTGCGAAGGACCGCCCATCAGCGTGATAACACGCGACATATCGTGGGGAATCACGAAAGAATATTCTGTTGTTTCATCAGCATACATTGGGAACTTGTGTGGATGGACATCATGGCTTACCAAAAGCGGTGCCTTCATAGCTTTCGTCATCCCAATTACAGCTGCCACAATCAGTAATGTCGTACGTCTTGTGAAAAGTTCCGTTTGCGTATCGCGGCATGACGAATCCTGTAAAGTTGCGACTCGAAGACTCAGGATCCCAGCTCAGTTGCCATCCCGCTGACCGGCCAAGGTAGAGATCGCGATCACCAGGTGCTTCGCCAGCGGCAATTTGGCTGACGGCAAAGTCGTTAAGGGAGTACTCTACCGTCTTCGAGACTGCTCGCGTGTTGCGATCAGCTGAGACATAGCCGAGTGGTATCCAATCATCTAGTGCTCCGCGACCTTCTTTGAGCGAGCCTTGCATGTCGACAGGGTTCTCGTCGAAGAACGGCAGGACATCAGCGTCTTTCTTGACTGCGGCATACCCCTCCGTCCAATTGATCATACCTGTCAGACCCTTCACGTAAGCGTCAGCGAGCACGTTGTCCGCATTCGATCCTCCCTGCACCAGACCGTTGTAGTTGCCGGATCGGCCATCTGGAAGATAACCCTCTTGTTTGAACATGTCAATCAGAGATCGGATCATGGACTCGTAGTAGCTCGGCTGGATCAGATGCCATAACGAGACCTGGTTTCTGAAGAGATCCCACTTGGATGGCGATCAGTACAACGTCTGCTTTCAACATGAGGGCAAAAGAATTACCATGGTATAGAAATCATCCCAATATGGCTCATCCGATTCCCATAACGGATTCTCGCCAACACGCTCACTTGGTATGAGGTGCATGAAGTACAGACTAGAGTATAGCAACGCCAGCCTAGTCTTGTTCGCCGACTCCGAAGTATCGACACGAATCTTGGAAAAGACGTCACGGTTCCACTCGTCACGCGATGCCTGTGCGGTATCTTCGATCGACCATGAAGAGAGCTCAGAGTTCTTGTATGCGCATGCTTTGTCCACCGACTTGAAGGAGATACCTACTCGCGACTTGATCTCAGTTGCGTTACTCCAGGTGAAGACTGCTCCGATGCGGTCGTTCATCGGTCCTGAACGGGCTGTCGACCCAGTATACGTAGGTCGAGGTGTCGTACCATTGTTGAACGATCGGAAGTACCGACTGGCGGGAAATGTATTCTTCCCTTTGAAGGCTCGTGCCTCGTCAGGCAAACTATCAAACTCGCCGCACACATACACGGTAACTGGCGCACCAATATTCCATCCACCTGCAATTGAAGTGTATCCAGTGTAGGTGCTGGAGTTTGGCTGAATCTCAACTTCACCACCCGTGTAGAATTGAGTATCCCATGTGCGCGTCAGATGGGGAAGATAGTGTGAGAGGTCTACTAGTACGTGCTTCTCCGATGACGAAGGGTATGTGTAATGGTATAGTCCTGCGTGTCGCGAAGCTGAGAGTTCAATCCCCACGCCAGACTCAAGCTCTGTACGAAAATATCCCACTTGGGCCACATCCTCGCCAACCTAGTTTTTTTGTTAGCAATTGCCCATGCGCCGCACTTGATCATCCTACTCGATTCTGCCAATATGTCTGGTTGTCCAGTATATTGACATCTCCATCAATATTCGTCAGCGGCATCTGCGATGGAAATCCATACTTTGGCCCACCGCCTGTACCCGACTGGTGCATTAGACTAATGCCAGTAACATAACCTTGAGGTGTGTATCCGCCATTGAGCACGCTCATGTTGACCATTTCTTCATAGGTATCAATCCCCAATTTGACCATACCGAAGGGTACTGCTCCGCCAACGAATACATCGCCGCCACCATCTAGAGTCTGTCAGAAACGAGCGCACAGGGAGAATTGGGTGTCTTGCATGCAAGGCCAGGTATGGCGCCTTCAGTCCCAATGAACGGGTTCACGTATTGCGCATAGTCGATGTGATCCTGTGCAAATATGCATCGCGCGATTACAAGCACAGGGAGAAGCCTCGTTCCCATCATGATGGAGAAAGCTAAAGAAACTGGGCAGAGCTTCTAGTCACGTCTTATTCTACCACAGGCGTTTGGGTACCGCTCCCCACGATACCCCGCATGTGCATATCACTTCCTGTAGGAGCGCCATTAGTCGTACATAGTAATCCAGCTTCGGGGTAACGTCGTCAAGCAATCCTCCGTAAACAAGCAGTTGCAGTAAGACATGACGTCGTTCAGGCCCCTCCTGCCTTTCTTGTGCCTGCCAAGACAAGTGCGGAGGCGAGCCACGTGCGCGTTCTCGGGCAATGATTCCGGAGCGGCCAGCGCAGCGAGTACCTGAGAACTTTCCATCACATTTCCATTTCAACTTCGAGTCCAGCGCTCCTAGACGATTCCCATCGAGTGTCTGACGTTGCATACTTCGACGCGTAATATCGCAATGGGGCTCGCCAGTCCTAGCGATTCGCCAGGCGGACATCGCGGCCTCAACCCAGCTTTCATCAACCCTCCATCAATGCTGAGCTACCATGCCGAGCAGCCGTCCTGGACATCGAGGGACTACGATATCGCAGCAAAATCTTCAACCGAGGCTATCTGCTTGGCTTCATAGCAATTTTTTGGAGCTTCAAGGTCCCTCCCATCTTCCCTGAACTTTTCAGCCTTCTCTATGGAATGGATCAGTGCCGAGGTGGAGCTATACGTTCCTGATGAGATGGACCTTAGCTCGTATGCATAAAGCCGATAGGACCACAGGTCGAGAGATTGTATTTAAGGCTTGAGAGTGATGTTGATTTAGGGGATTGCGAGCCCGAAACCGAAGAAGGTAGGCTGGCCGAGTCATTCCGAAAACTTTGCCTCGAGGTCTAGCTACCTCAACCCTAGTTTCCGGATTGCCACCAACCTAGTCTCCTTTCCACAGTCCAGTTTAGGGATGTCGATCAGGGTCCCTCAACTCGCGCAACGTAGGTTTCGATTTCCATGCATGGGACAGATATTTCACGGTTCCTGGCTGGCTGGTAATCGCGGCCGACCAGCGCATGCAAGCACCCAAAACTCTATCTCTAGTGTCCATCGGGTAAATGACGCGCTCAAAGTTGCTTGTCTAGGGAAACAACAGCTCTTTTACTCATATCGAGTGTTCCAACACGCTGAAGCGACTCGCGTCGGAGTTTTCCAGACTCAACATGTTCCTCAGATGAGAACATGGAAAGCGCTATTGTTGTACGTAGGTTTTCCTACCAACTTAAAGCGCTGATCATGCAGCCAGTTCACACTGCGAAGTGCTTTCGATAGATTGTACGGCACCACAAACGTACTACTCTACTGTGGCCACGTGTAGGAGTCACTATAGTTAACTCTTCCAGCAGAAGTCATCCGCCTTTCGTACCGTTCTTTAAAGATGCGACGTCATTCGTCAGCAGAGCATCTTGGGAGCAGAATTGGCCAATCAAAGGTGCCCGGTCTACTAGTCCATCTGTCAGTCCAGTTGTGGCAGTACGTGCGATTGTTGCTGCACGTGGCTGTTCGTCTCACGATCAGATCCGTACCAACGTAGTCGGATCGGGCGTGAATCCGCTATGCTCTAGTATCAGGTTCTCCAACATACATGATGTTTGTGGGGTATTAAGAAGAGAAGCTTGGGATAATGGACTTATCTCCGTTATCTGCGGGAGAATAGTAATCATACGGCATTGTACATGGACGTTATTGAGAACGCTGTTGACCGCAAAGTAAGTGAAGGTTCCCCAGCAGCTCGTTCTAATGACGATGTAGACAGAAGTTCTGTACAGCAGTCATATAGCTAGCAGCTGCGACCACATACGCAGACACTTCGCAATTGTTGTATCGATCAAGACTGCCGCGAGTTGCTGGCGCTTTAGATTTGTAGTACTCGCAGTATCCCGACGCAATGTATCGAAGTCGCTCGAGCACTCACCTATCGGGGAGACTACCTGACGTTGTCGCAACGCATGCTTAGCAACTGACTTTGGGCTGGTACCGGATACCAGCATCGCTCCTTGCTCTCATCTATGGACGACAAGCAACGCCCCCGAAAAAAATCCACGTGTACCTGGTTCTGGTTCCCGATCGTGGGAGATTGTGGCTGTCCACTGCTAGCTCGACATATACCAAACTTTAAATCGGAAATGAGGGAGCTGGGCGGGCATCACCCAATCTGGGCGCAGATCCTGGTGCGGCAACGGATACCGACCCCCTTGGCTTCACGGAAGAGATCTGCGATAGCATTACATGGCACCTTGGCACTAATGTCTAATGTATATATCCATCACTCATGGCCGCATTCTCGAGAACGGAATGTCTACCGGCATAGACGGGCCCGTTGCTAGCGCGCTTCCTAGGCGCATGCTAAGCGGATCAGTGGAGGGGTCCTCTGCTCGGGCCGTCGTTCACGCAGGCTAGCAAAAGTTGCAAAACCAGCGATTGGCCAAGGCTTTTTGGATATGACGATAGCCACGGTCTCAACTGAGCCTTCCCGAACACTAGTTTCAGCCCAAACTAGCTAAGCTCACAAAGCACGCTCCAGAAACATTAGCACCGAGACGAGGCTGGATCCAGCATGAACCCACCCTTTTGTGATGCTGTTATGGGCTTCGGCATTAAAATTTCGAGAAATTGCATACCTCACCACCATCACATCGTCGAAACCCGTACAAGCGGGTTCGGCCAGATCTTCGCCGGACCGTGGGGATACGTAAAATCCTCGGGCACTAGCTCGTCCTATAGCTTATGCCCTACACCCCGAAACTCACGGACTGTTACCTATACATTGGTTTCTGGTTCCGCAAAGCATACATGCCTACCTGATTGATACCCCGCTGGATCATACAATAGCCACCGGGCAATTCACTTGCATTCAATATACGGTCTTCCGCGAGCGCACAGATGTCTTCCCAGTTCGACAACTGGAGGAGCGACCCGAGTGAATCACATGGTCCGTTGATGAGCATTACTTGTTGGTCGCTTGGTGGAGTCTCCCTTCTCTTCCTCGTTGTTCGCTGCGGGATCCGCCAAAGTCAAAAGAAATTTTGGTACGATGATGGTTTGCTTGTAATCAGCTGGGTAAGTGATTCCGACACTGAAGCAGAAACCTGGCCATTAATGCAACGCAGTTCCTACTCCTCGTTCAACTTATCTTGAATCAACTAAGCATAAACCTGGGGTTTGGGAAGCACGCGCTTGACAGTAAGGAAATATAGTAGCCTTCATGATACCAGTCTCTAATCCATGCTCTAGTTGACTTTTCCCATTTTGAGCGCATCACGTATTACGGTGCATCCGGACTTACCGTATCTATTGCTGCCATCATCTTGAGCAAAATCTCGTTTGGCGTCACTTTGCTCCGATTGACAGAAGGATGGCTGAAGGCCTACGTCTGGTTTGCCATCATTACCCTCTTCGCCTTTGCTGTACCGGTAGCTGTCCTTCCTTGGACCCTTTGCAAGCCGTTAACGAAAACATTCGTGAATATTTTACCTGGAACTTGTGTCGACAAACATCCTTCTGTACAATATGGAAGGTTCCAAGCTGGTTCGTTGACCTTATAATGATCCGTGGTGACAGGGCAACTGACATATGGGACAGTATGGGCTGCAATCATGGATATTTCCCTGGCACTACTACCATGGAAAGTCCTATGGAACCTTAAGATGCGTACTGCGGAGAAGATTGGAGTCGGCATAGCGATGAGCTTGGGTCTTTTGTGGGTTGACCTTCTTTTACAACAGGGCCGCGCTGACGGAGTCATAGAGCAGGAGCCACCGCTATCGTCAGAGCAAGATATGTCGAACTGCTGCAAACCCAAGATCTTTCATGTAAGACAACTCCAAGATGGGTTCGTGGCTATTGCTAACAAACCCAGATGAAGCATACAATTCCGTCATTTGGTCAACCGCAGAGTCCGCCATGACGATCGTTGCCACGTCCATCCCCATACTTCGTGTGTTCTTCAAACAAGCAGTCAGCCAAGCGATGTCAAACTACCACAACTCGACGAGCCGAAGCAAATCGAAATCCACTGCTTCAGGAAGCAATCCTTCTCAGCCTTCGAATAATGCAAGCACACTTGCAAACGACACACGTCGTCTGAGCAAAAAGATCACACACATCACAGGCCACACTAGTACGGATTCTCTGTTCAGAGATGATGATATTGAGAATCAGGACCGCAAGGAGGGTTACATAGAGTTGGATGATCTTGTTGTGGACGAGAAGACTGGACGTGTGACAGCGTTGACTCCCGACTCGTTGCCAGACTCTATAACACGCGCACCCATACACGCAGAAGATTGGCCTTTGGGCGAATACTCCTTACCACAGAAAACAGCAGGCTCTAGCCGTGATTGTGGAAGATAATCAGATATTCGGATTGGGTATCGTTCATAATGTCCTCGTTATAGTAACGAATCATGAATTTTCGGCCAACATTCGGCATCACCTAGGAACCAGCGTTCCATCAACATATGCAACCTCAGTGTTTGTTTGCCTCTCGCATTGGTCGCTTTAATCATCCCGATTTTGAGTCGTCAACACCAAGTAAAATCTGAGTGCCGATCCCACTCGCCCTGGTGCTGTGTGTGTTCCCAATTCATTCATGGCTAGCGTCATTGGGAGATCTGCAGGCCCGCCTCCACGACACGACTCGGCAGGCCCCCAGATAGCGCAACTGCAAGCCCACCATCTCAACAACGCCTAGTATCCCCGGACCACCAAGACACACTATGCGCGCACCAGGGGCTTTGTCGCTGTCACAACCAACTACGTCGGTGTCAAGCATCCGCCCAATCAAAAGAGACTCAATGCTCCGACCTGCCTCAATTAGCATGCTAGTACGTGTCTATAGCGTGTCAGGCGCGATTTTGAGGCTGCACTGACAATGCCATCCCTCCAACTCGGCCCTTCTGTCGGCCTTTTAACAACAGAATCAGAATCATTGTTCTACGCTCGCACAGAAGGTTTGCCATCATGAAGGCCCGTACATGCGCTACGATCCCTATCCGACGACCAGGCACACACTACTCCTGAATTAAACTTCCGATACGAAAACGATCAAGAACGATTGGATACTCGTTCATGCGATTCGCCATCGCGACTTCACGCTCTCTACATATATCAAGACCACGAGTGCTGAGTTGTTTCACTCGTTGTCGATACCTTCACTCCTTAGTATTTATCAATCCTTGATCGCAAACATGAAGGCCTCAATCTTCTGCGGCGCCACTCTCTTTTCCTTGGCGGCTTTTGCCTTCCCAGCAAACCTTCTTAACAACCTCGACAAGGACATCAGTGCTGAGCAGCTCGCGGAGATCACTGAGTTGGCAGCAAAGATCTCGAACGAGGTACAGACGAAGCGTCAACTCGGTGCCAGCATCTTACCACCTGGATTCGATGCAAAGGCCCAGCGCATCAGCACTACTGGCGATCATGCATATGTATGTTGTCTCACGGTTCTCGAGAAGTTGTGTGCATGGAATGCTAACAGTTGGATGTATAGATCGCACCAGGTTCGGGCGACCTCCGTGGGCCATGTCCAGGCCTGAATGTAATGGCAAACCACGGTTACCTCCCCCGAAACGGAATTGCAAGTCTCACACAGTTGACAATGGCGTCAAACGAAGGTATATTCGACTTTGATACATCACAAGCCCGCTTTCTAACAATGCTATAGTGTTCGGCATGGGTATTGAACTCTCCGGCTTCTTGTCAGTGCTTGCTACCGTTATGGGTGGTGACATCACTTCAGTATCCATTGGTGGAAAGCCAAAGAGTGGTGGTCTGGTTGGAGGACTCGTTACCGGTCTTGGTCTGATCGGAGAGCCACAAGGGTTGAGTGCAACACATAACCGCTTCGAGGCTGACTGCTCTCCTACACGAGGAGACGTCTACAAAACGTACGTCTTACGCTACACTATCACGCAGTCATGTGACTAACCAGCAGTAGTGGCGACCCAGTCTCTCTCAACCTTCCCCAGTTCGAGCAACTCATCGCCATGCCTGTCGGTCCTAATGGTTACGACCTGACAGTTATGCATCCCTTCCGTGGCAAGCGATACAAGGACTCTGTTGCGACCAACGGACACTACTGGGCCGGACCAGTGACACACTTTGCAATCAACACTGCGACATACCTTTTCACCTACCACTTCTTCTCTAACCACTCCGCGGAATATCCAGAAGGTTATCTCGATGCTGAGACACTTAAGTCTTTCGAGGGTGTTACTGGGCAACCAGGAAGCTTCAAGTGGGCCCCAGGTCGTGAGAGGATCCCAGAGAACGTATGTATTTCCTCTCAACTCTAAGTCTCTTACACTGGCTAATCGACATTCTAGTGGTACCGCCGCGCTATCGGTGACGACTACGGAATCGCAGCCTTCACACTCGATGCTGTAGCTGCGCTTCAAGCACTTCCCTACATGGCGGTCATTGGCGGCAACACTGGCAAGCCCAACACCTTCACTGGCGTCAACATTGCAGACCTCACGGGCGGTGTTTTCAACGCTGAGACGTTACTCGAAGGCAACAACCTCATGTGCTTCGCATTCCAGGCCGTCAACTCCGCTGCCCCGGATATCCTCAAGGGTCTACTCGGAAACGTTCTGGCTGCTGTCCAGAAACTGACCGATGCTCTGAACCCCATCCTTGCGGATCTTGGTTGCCCAGAGCTTGCGAAGTACGACAAGTCTTTGCTTTCAAAGTTCCCTGGAGCTGGTGCAGGACTATAGTCGGCCACAAGGATATCGTTTACAAGCAATATTCTCGTCATTTTCACTTCACACATTGTATTCGTACATTCGCTATAGACTATTAACAGAACACCTTGATTCAAAGTATATTTTACCCATCCTTTCTTGGTACGATCTCTACAGCCTTGCAGCATACTTTAGGGGCCATGAGTAATCACGGCAACGGGTACATAGCGGAGCAAGCTGTCCCAACAACGCAACGTCTCTGACGCATTTCAAATGGAGCTTCACTATCATCGCTTTTGCTGTTTTATAGCACGAAATTTGGCGGTTTCATCTAAGCGTGTCGCGCAGCAAGGAAAGGCAGTGGGAAAGCGACATTTACGCCTTAGCCATCCATGGCTGAGACGAAATCAAGCCTGAATTACGACTTGACATGTGCTCTTGGCAGACGAGAAACAGCTGCGACGAATTGGTAATATTCACTATTGACTTTCGGAACCGTGCGCGCGTCGGCACCCAAGGAACACTTTACGACTCTGTCGTATATATCGGCTCAGTATGTAAAATCTGCGTCTGGGTGATGTGGTCCCAAGGCGCCGCGTCGGGTGTTGGGTTAGGCCAAGATGCCGGAAACCCAGCATGCGTTACAGAGGTGCCTCAAATATCGGGACAACAACTTCCAGGCCAACACCAAGCCTTGGTGCTAAGGCATCCACGTATGCTGCATCACCAAACTTTGAACAGCATATAAGGAGTTCTGGAACAGGTCGTAAAGATTTCTGCAGGAATAATTTGCTGTTGACCAGTCTTTCTTCACTTCCGCTCTTTCTGTCGTTCACTTCTTTCTTATTGTCACCTTCTTTTGACAAGACTTTGAACACAAAATTTGTTGGAAAATACTCGATATACACATATTATAACATAATGTATACCACCAATTTCGCGATTATCGTAAGCCTGGTGCTCGGCGCGATCGCTGCGCCACTCGACATCGGCAGCGGCCGAGTTCAGCTGCAACTCTCGATCGATCTTGGCGGCGAAGGGGCTGCTGCCGCTGGAATCATTGATGCTCGGCAGCTTTTCGATTTCTCTTCCACCCACTTCGTCAACGCTGTCCCAGAGGAAGTCGTCAACGGTACCGAGCCGACTGGCGGTCTCGCCGGCGCATCCGGCACCTTCAACTTCGGCATCAACAGTGCCTCGAATATGATCTGCTACAACATCACTCTGCACAACTTTCAAGGCGAATTCGATTCTCCCGCAACCACGGCGACACATATACACGAGGCCGCACGTGGTGCTAGTGGACCGCCCAGAATCTCATTCCCAAACCCGGAGCCGGTGGAGGGAAACGAAGCAGTCAGGAACAGTGCGGGCTGTATGAAAGGTCCATTTACGACTGGCGTTATGGTTGAAGGAGTGGATTCGGGCGAAGGATTCCATGTCAGCATGATCGAAGCAAACCCGGCAGCGTTCATGGCGGATACCCATTCGAGTCTGGCGCTGCCTGGTGCGGTGAGGGGGCAGATGGCATAATCAATTAGTCTAGCCAATGGTTGTTCAATAATCTTAACAGAGGCTCTTTGCATATGGTCATCTCAGCGAGTTGTCCGAATATCTGCAGTCAACAGTGCACGATTGAGTCACGAACTGGTTAGTGGTCACAATGTGCATCGAATATTCATTTAGCTTTCTCTAGAACCTACTGTTTTTCTTTATTTTTAAGCGGCCACGAGACTAGAGATATCTAGGTACTGCTTATTGTCAGGACCCGGACGAACCTGGCCCATTCCGGCCCAGAATAGGCCGGAATGGGTACAAATACCCCTCTCTCAGTTATCGTGGCTCGACAGCGATTCGTCTCTAGTCTACAAGAGAACAATAGAACCATCACTATTACTAGATGTGCATCCAGTATTCCCTAACGCTATTGTTTGACAAGTATAGCAAGGTACTAAAATATCAAGTAAAAGCAGTAGCGGAATTATTAATGTGCAAACTATTCTACCTAGAGAACAGTTTTAACATTTAATGTCTAATTGTTCCAAATTGTTGGCGCGCTAAAAGTGATGGTAGCGTTCTCTAGCTTAGTCCCTACATTAAGCCGTGGCAGACCTGGCCAGAAGTTGGGAAAGTACTCATCGCCCACCGCATTTGCATTGCGACCATCTTCCACATCTCCATCCCCTTGATACATATCAATGATTTCTAGTGAGGCGCTGTCGGTTTTCTGATTTGGCGTTGTGGCCGCCCAATGGTTCGTTCCTGGAAGCTCGTCGTAGGTGCTGTTGCCGTAGGGCAAGGGCGGTTGTGCTAGTAGTGTATCAACACCCAGAAGATTGTATAAGTCCGTGCTGAACGGTAAGCCAACTGGCACGCTTGGCTTGAAGGTAGCCTGGAACCAGGGCTTATCTGCAGGTTTGGACTCGAAATCGTCGCCTGTGGTATCGTATGGGTAGATTTTGACTGATGATTCGCCGTTGTCTCCTTCAACCCACTCAAATTTAGCTAGATGTTTGGGAATATTCCAGTCTGTCAACATGTCAGTGAAGAGCTTTTCAGAACAACTTCCGCATCGAGAATCAACCAGAATTTAGAACTAACGTACTGGTTCTCCCATTCCAACACGTGTACTTTTGACTGACGTAAATTCTGCTGACTCTGACATTCTTCCTCTCCTCCGTCACTCCAACAGAGTCCGTGTAATTGTATTTAAAGAAGCCCGGAACAATTAGTAGCTCATCATACGGACCGACAGGGCTTTCCGTATACCGGATAACCTGTATCTGCCCAAGGATGCCCACATACTCGCCTTCTACAGCTGACGCATACTGCCGTTCGAGTGGCGCAAATGCCTTAGTTGGTAGGTCGATCGAAGTAGGAATGAAGGTGACAGAATAGACGGTGCCCTTCAGTGTCCATGGTGCAGGCGCAAGTTCGATTGGGGCTGTTGAGTGGTTGTCCCACTGGGCTGCAGATAGCACAGCAAGCTTCAAGAGCAGATATGTAATACCGCACTTCATGGTTATAGCTGATTTGGGAGGGTTGAAGGGGTGTCGCTATCATTCAACTAGCAGAAACCAGTGAGTGGGTAGCGTAAAACTGAGTTTCAAATTGGATGAATGGTGGCGAGGCACTCATCGACTCTGAAACCCATCTCCTAGAACGGTCGCTATCTATATGTATTCTTGAAGTTCGTATACGATACCCCCTAATTCCGCATGACTCGAGTTCTGGATGTAAGCAATCGCTATCTGACTATATCGGGTAAGAGATTGCTATCTAGCAATATAGGGTCGGCATCTCCACAAAAGTCATGCCGAAAGCAGTGGGACCGAGGATAAAATTTACACTACCATGCATTCGACAGTCCAATTCGGGAAGACATCCTAGTATTTCGTCTCGGCGATATATTTTTTAGTGTCATTCATCCCTGAGAGATTTTGATTAGAACGAAGGAACAGAGCCGACGTTTCTGTCAGAGGAAAGAGGAAAAATGTTGGATAAGAGGCCTAGTTTCTTCTGCTTCCGCTCACGATCTATCGTTTCCACTCCGAAGTGGTTTTTATCTTTTTTATTTGCACCTGTTCGAAACAGATCCATGCAGGGATCCTGATCTTCATTTGTATCCAAAAAATGTATCTTTGTCATTTGATCCTGTTGCCCTCAGTTCTCGCATTACCGCTCCTAGATCCAATCTTACAACCTATCACTGACAGTGTCTGGAGCACCCAAGGCGGTCTTGTAGAGACACTTCTAGGGAGTCTCACAGGCACGCTCGGTGCCAAGCAGTCGTACGATTATGTCGTAGTTGGTGGCGGGACAGGCGGCAACACGATCGCATACCGTCTAGCTGAAGCTGGTTTCACTGTCGCAATCGTCGAGGCTGGAGGCTCGTATGAGCTAGGCAAGCCTCTTGTTGGTCCTGCACCTCTTGGTGACATTATTGGCGTTGGTTCAAATCCAGCCGACAGCATCCCAACTGTCGACTACGGCTTGAGGACCGTCCCACAAGTTGGCGCGGGAAATCGTGAGATGCATTACGCGCAAGGCAAGTGTCTTGGCGGCTCTTCGGGCGTGAATTTCATGATCCATCATCGCCCAAACCGAGGGGCTTTGGATGCGTGGGCAGAAGCTGTTGGAGATGAGAGCTATTCGTTCGACCAGTTTCTCCCGTACTTCAAGAAAAGCTTTACATTCACGCCACCGAATCTGGAGACACGTTTGGCTAACGCAACCACGGCCTATGTGGAGAGTGACTTCACTTCATCGCCAAGTTCCCCAATTCAGGTGACATACCCCAACTGGACACCCGTCTGGTCGACTTGGGCAGCCAAGGGGCTAGAAGCCCTCGGGATGAACTTGACGGACAAGTTTAATGAAGGCGTCCTGAATGGCTATCATTATGCGCAAACAACAATAGATCCGCACGCCCAGGTCCGGTCCAGCTCGGCTGAATTTGTATACGCGGCAAGAGATGCAAACATGAGCGATAAACTCACTGTGTATCTGAAATCGCGAGTCGACAAAGTGCGTTTCAACGAAAACAAGACAGCCACTGGTGTCGAAGTCACGGGTGCAGGACTACTAAAATACACCATTTCTGCCAACAAGGAGGTGATTCTTTCGGCCGGTGCGGTACACACCCCACAGCTACTCATGTTATCCGGTATCGGCCCTGCGGAACATCTTGCAGAACATGGTATCGACGTACTGGCGGACCGCCCCGGTGTAGGGCAGAACCTGACGGACCATGCTCTTTTTGGGCCTGCATACGAAATGACACTCGATACCTTGAATAGAATAACTGGAGACCCTATCGCCCTTACAGAAGCTGTTGCTGAATATGCTCTGACGCAAACTGGGCCGTTGACAACAAATGTAGCCGAGTTCCTGGCGTGGGAGCGCATGCCAAGTAGCGCCAATCTGAGCCAGTCCACCTGGGAAAAGTTGCTCGAATTTCCCCAAGATTGGCCTCACATTGAGTATTTCCCAGCGGCAGCTTATATCGGAAATTTCAATATCCCGTGGCTCGATCAGCCAAAAGACGGGAGGATGTATGCGTCCATTCTTGCTGCGTTGGCCGCTCCGTTGTCTCGAGGCAACATTTCACTTGCCAGTGCTTCACCTGCTGTCAGTCCGCTGATCAATCCAAATTGGCTGACTCACCAAGGCGACGTTGAGGTTGCGGTCGCCATGTACAAGCGCACACGCGATATTTTCAATACAGAGGTGATACGAAGCATCCGCGCAAACGATGGCGAGTACTGGCCGGGTTCGGAGGTAGAGACAGACAGTCAGATTCTACAAAATATCCGGACAAGCGTGATGGCAGTTATGCATGCATCGTGTACTGCACGGATGGGGCGCGTTGATGACCCAAACGCTGTTACAGACAATTTGGCAAGAGTAATTGGAGTTCAAGGCCTGAGGGTTGTAGATGGCAGCTCCCTCGCGCTGCTACCCCCTGGGCATCCTCAGGCGTTGATCTATGCTCTAGCCGAGAAAATTGCAGATGCTATCATCAAAAAACTCGAATAGTCCTTCTACAGAGATCTATTTTGAACAGATATTCACTTCCCTCCTAATACATGATGTCGCATCATATTACACTAATAGAATTAGAGTTTGAAATGGACAGACTTTTCCGTTTCACGTCTGCACATTATTTACCGCTTGATCTCAAGTTTACCCCCCAGATACTTGACTTGCCTGGTGATAAGATGTCATGAGGGTCCAGCCGGATTTCCAATGTGTTGAGGAACTGATTGAATAGGCCCTCGTAATGGCTTTGCACCATGTCCATGTAGTCGACATGTGTTCGGTACTCTGTGATGCCTCTAGCATACGCATTATTAAGTAGATCACGGTACAGCCTGTCCATGCGCTCGCTTTCCTCCGGTACGAAGACAAATAACTCAATGGCTATCACATAGTGCGTAAAGACGTGAAAGTCCGAGGAAAAATCAAACCGAGCTTTAATTGTCATCATTTTTGAGACCATATACTACTCATGAAGCTCTCCACCAGACGACAGAATGATGGGAGAAGAGCACGTATGTCTGTTCTTTAGGTAGTGATGATGCGGCATTGATGCCACATCATCAACGGCTCCATTGTAGATTTACCATTGGTAGGAATTCCTTCGTCGCCAACGGCAGATGCCCTGAGATAATCTCCTTGATCTGCGATACAAAACCCTTTGTTGAAGACCTCGGCGCCGTTGATATTGACTAATGCTTCTATGATGACGTCCAACGCTGCACAGACAGTCTGCCGGTAGCCAAACAATGCAAAATCAGCCCTTCAAAAGCCCCATCCTTCTTCTTCGCAGTTTTATAGCAAGAAACCCTCCGGCACGAAACTTAGAGGCCCAAAGAAAGGAGCCAGCTTGTTTTGTATAGCTTGATCTGGGCACAACAAAGCCTGACGTGTCACTGTAGCTATCGTGGTTCCCTCGACGCTGAACGCACCACATGATCTGAGTGCTTAATATAAGCAGTCGACCTTGCGGGGCTGCAATCTTGATCTTTGCTATTTTGGCTTCTGTCCTAGCCCACCCAGCTTTTCTCATTTGTGTACTGTCACAAACGGACAAGGGGATGAGGGAAGAGAATCAGGGAATGATGTCAACAGAATGAACGACAACACGGTTAATGATGTTTGTTTTGGCTTTAGAAGCTACTGTGCGTGATGGCGTAATATCCAACCCAAACACTAATAACGTAGGTGTATGCTTTGTGGCGCACCTGTGCTAAGACCCCACCTAAACTATCCCCATTGTGACCTGTTATAACCCACTTTAGCACAATATAGAATAGAAGATATAAAGATAGTATTAAGAGACTACTCGTACTTTATATCATTAGTTAGTAATAGATTAGGATAGGTAATGCTTAGATATTGTTATTCAAAATAGATAGAGTTAACAAATACAAAAATACATAACGCCCCGCTAAGAGATCGGAAACGCATCCTCTCTAGAACATATACCCTACCTTCGACCCTTCTTTCCTAAGCGATTCGTCGCCTACCAGACCGGATCTGTACAGCGTACCCTACGACTAAGCCCAAACTTAGTATAAGCATGGGCACAAGCAGCCATCGGACGGTTTTCTATATGGCGTAGTGGTTAGCTGCCAGGTATCTTATTGTGCGTTCTTGAGTCCGATACTTACTGTCTCATCACAGGCCTGTTTTCTCACGCCGTCATCTAGTTTCGTGATGACTGGTAACATGACGCATGCCGCTAGTTCGCGCGTACAGGTGTATTTGTTGTTGTACTCGCTGAGGAATGTTGGTACGCGGCAATTCTTGGACGATTGGTGATGAAGAATCGTAGACCATATGGCGGACGTCAGTGTGCTGGTGAAGGATGCGATGGCAAAAATCATAGCTATGATATACAAAGCTCTACTCTGGAAGAAAGAGCGAGATTTCTGAGTGAATTATAAGCGGCAAGTAAGATACACTGCAAGAGAAGAACAATACCTTTATCTTGTCTTCCACCACACTTCTTCTCTTCACCCGCGAAACGCAGATACCTAGTAAACCTGCTGCTGCCCCCAATACCCCTCGGACAAGTGCTAATCTGTCGGTAGTGTCGTTATAGTCGACAGCGATCCATTGTTGTCTTGTCTGCTGCTCTTCGTATATGTCGTTCTGTTCTCTCCAAATGTACCAAGCGCCAGCTGGGAAGTATTGCGCCAAGAGCCATATCGTATGGCTTGTAATGCCGAGTGTGCTAACGGATATGAAGAAGAGTAATACAGCGATCGTAAGGGGTAGAGGGCGGTATGTTCCTAAGGGAGACATAGCGTTCCTATGCTGTAAAGGTCGAAAGAGCAGATAGAGGCTCTGTAACAAACAAAGGTGAAGAAACAGCCCAGATCGGAACGCGCACGCTTTCATCCTAACTGCCTGTTTCATCGCAGTTTGTACTGTCAGATGCTACTGATCATCTCCCGCCTCGAGGACCCGCGTACACATTGGTCGGTTAGATACTGGGTCATCGGCCTGGACCTGCGTGGCTGCGGCTTTTTGCCCGTGCTGCACCCATCTGAACACACCGCAAATCAAGTCCGACGTGGCAAAGTGTCTCAATGATACATTTCCCAGCTTTCAATGTGGTGAGCAGGCTATTCTGTGTAACAACCGAAGTTGGTAACATGTCAGTATGGCTATGGTGTGTATGAAACGCCATTGGTACGGTCTTAGGTAAGCGCCGCAGCGCCGCCGTCTTTTCATGCTGACTCGGGGCCAAGACTGGCAAATCGGATCTTAATGGTAGCTAGGGCCAGAGTCTGCCTTGCGAATTGTCGAATGGAGACGCTTCATAAGAACTGTCTGCTCACATGATGAATAGATGCGCTGTGTTTAGACCGGTTGGACGCCACGTCGAGGTATGACATTGGCTAGCGTTTGGCCGGCACCATATTTGGGATTGACGCGTAAGCATAGCGGAAAACGCATTGGTGGTCTTGCGGTTACGTTAATCAATACATCACAGCCCTCTTAACCACATTCATGGCCTCTTATTTTCCCACAGGTCTGCCTTTCTTCACTCTATCGTCGTCCCTCAGCCTCATGTAGCGGCACGCCACCCAGCTCCGCCGTTCCATGCTGCCCATCAAGCTCACCTCCGTTGATTGTGTGACCGTACTTCGTCGCCATTGGTGAATATGCCGGTGCCTCTGGGTATCCATCTCTTGTCATCTCTGGCGTACCGTGGGGATCTGCAGAGTCGCCATCGCTGGACGGAATCGGAGCGCCCGCGGCATGGCGCTTCGAGCGCTTAAGGATGTACAAGATAGCTACACCAGCGAATGCAATGACTGCAAGACCTCCGACAACGCTACCCGCGATTATAGCGGTATTGCCCGCACCGCCGCCACCAGGGGATTGACTTTCCTCGTTAGAAGGACTCGCTGTCGGAGATGGAGTAGATGCCGAAGGCGACGGGTTGCTGTTCGATACCGGTGTAGCGGAGGCTTCTGATTGGGATACGACTGATGTTGGGTTCGCTGTGATATGTCAGTTGTGAGAAGCGTCCAAGGTTTGTGCCATCCCGCGTACCGTTTGCCGGAAGCTCCTTGTACAGAGTTGTAGACAGTAATGGATGACTCCCCGTCCAGTCGCAGTAGATACGAGTGTATGCGTCAGAAGCGCCAGAGGTGGTGAACATGATATCTGAGTAACAGGATCCATACTCTCCATCGCTATTCGTTTCGTTAACCTTGTTCATCTTACACAACATATGAACAATTCAACTCACCAAGTACTAGTCAAACCTCCAGTTCCATATACCGTCGTGTGGAAGCAACTCGTCCATGCTTCGCAGCCTGTCCTCGGTAATGGAGAAGTTGTGCTCGAGCCGTCAACTTCGAAAGCCGAGGAGGCTTTGCACTTTTGCCAGAGGCTGCCAGTTGTGAAAAGATAGCCCTCCGATCGAGGGAAGGTTGAAACCGCCCCTAGAATAAGGTCAGATCGTCAGATGGCGAAATCAATACGTAGAGTTGGCATACTCACAGATAGGTTGATCGCTTTCGGTGCCAATGTCTTGGTAACCTACAACTACGATACCAGTATCTTGCCTAGGGAGCACTGCAGGAGCGGTCGGTGCAGGCATTGGGGGATTTATCAAGGCCGCTGCTGCGACGCCAACAGAGCCCAACTGCAACAGAAAGGAAAACATGACGAGTTGCAACGAACGTCTAGGCGATAGTACAAGAACCGACAGCGCAAACACTGCTCGGAATTGAGGGTAAAAAGAGCGACAGAGAAGCTCTCATAGTTTGCAACATTGTCGCAGGGTGGGACTTGTCTTTTGGACCCCAACTATCGTGTCATTTAACTACGCCCATCTATCCTGACATCCTAGTCGCGCTCGATGACTGTGAGTGGGTGCAAAAGGCACGGTAATGCATTTGGGGTTTAGGCGATATACGGGGCGGAACTTTGCAGCACGAACAGCGTTGAACTGGGAAAGGCACTTGCCCTATTCCAGTATGGTTGGCGCCCGCCAAATAGGCGTCCCGTTGTGGCTGGGCTGTGAGTTTCAATTCCTAGATCCTGCTTGCAGATATCTGGATTTGGCTGCGACAAGCAATGCGATGCGTGGCTAAAATTCGCCGGTTGGTATAGGCGCAGTGTTGTGCTGGGCGCCACATAGGTTACACCGGGACCACGCGCTGACGCTTTGCGACACGCAAAATCCGGTGTGATGGTAAGTCGTCCTACAGCCCTTATCAATGCTGAAACCGAAGGATTCCTCAACCAATTTGCCAGCTACGCGATCTAGCATGGCTACTAAAGTCATTCGGTTCAGCGTTCGACGGTCAGATATATCGAAAGAATGCATCCGCGCCGAGCGCAACTAAATTCACAATAAACCAGAAGATTCGTTATGTACCTTGAGAACACGCGCTTTCGTTTACTCTGTTAGCAGATCAGCATCAATCACAGTGAACACTTGTAACATGAGACCTAGGCGAGCCTCGGGAAGGAACAAGCTTGGTTGTATAAATTAGTGGGTGTCGCATAGCACAATAAGCCGGGGCCATATTATCCCGCGACCGGCCTTAGCATGCTTCTGTCAGGACATGGACCAGAACGGTCCGGCCTGACTCAGCACAGGGTATAAATACCTGGTAATGGCTATCATAGCTTTATAGCGATCCATCTCAAATCCTCTAAAACAACATGCTCTCTTTTTACCTGATACCGTGCTGTAAGGGACTACGCTCAGGAAGGTATCGCACAGACATACTAAAGTTGTATTGGATAGAAAGAAGAACGGCATAGGCTTTGGGTGGTTATACTATTGTGAGATCCATCAAACCCTCTTCTGCTTCTGGCCAAAGCTCGCCACACATCATACCATGCACGAAAGCTGGCCCCAGAAGTTTGTAATGGCCCGTTCCCTCTTCGGTTGGAAGACTTTGATCGAGTTTTCTCTCTCCTGAAGACCGTGTATAAGCATGTCCTCCTAATCCAACTGGTACCGGACGCCAAACCATGGCGACCTTTCTGTCTGTATCATGACTCTATTCACAATCTTGCCGCGCAGCGTGAGATGTCTGCTATCTTCTGAAGATTTGTATCGTGGTCGAGAGTGCCCGGCGGCACCGGGCTTGAATGCGTTCACTTCTACGGGGCCTGGAACCATCATGTTGATCCAAGTTGGCACCCATGATGGCTAACATTAGTTCATAATAACGGTACATACACGATACTCTCATATATGCTGGCCCGAAAGTGGGGCCTCAGAAACAAAACCATGTCCCGATCCTCTTACTTCTGCCTTTCCACCCCTTTTCAGCCGGCTCCATATCTTCCTTAGTGTAGACATCCGTCTCGAGGTCCATTTCACTCGCTTTCCTAAACTTCGTCTTCTTCAATAGCTTCCAGACGACAATCATCAATAGGAATACTGGTAGCTCCAGGTAGAAGCTGACGAAATCTACGGCGGCAAACTTGGGGCTGAATGAGGACCATCCCTGCACTAGGACGATGAAAGAGTTCAGAACCACGCAGATAATCGGACCCCAAGGGTACATCCAGTTTCGGAAGGGCAGCAGGTGCTCCTTTCCTTGAGCCTTGAGACCTGCGCGGAAACGCAGCGAGGAGATACCAATGCAGATCCAGCTTAGCTGGTTCGAAACACCCACAATATTTTGCAGCCATGTCCAAACCTGGCCAGAGCCTGCAAAAGATAGGGAGAAAAGCACGATAGACACCAAGCTCGTCGTTATGACTGCAACCCATGGAACTTGGTAACGTGTCAGCTTCGTGAACACTTTGGGTGCATGTCCGTTCGCGCCAAGTGTGTAGAGCAATCGTGAGCCAGCGTACAGCGCGTGATTACCAGCAGATATAACGCTGGTTAAGACTACCGCATTAACGAAAGATCCAGCTGCTTTCGAGCCTGCCATTTGGAATGCAATGGTGAAAGGTGATGTGCGAGATGACTTGGTCGAAAGTCCTGGGTAGTCGTACGGTATGTTGAATCCGATCATGATGGCCGTCAGGATGTAGAAGAGCAAAATGCGCCAGAAGACGTTCTCTACAACCCTAGGAAGCGTACGTGCAGGGTCACGCGTCTCTCCGGCGGTGATTGCGATCGATTCGGTTCCTCCGTAGGCAAAAGATGCCGTGACAAAAACTGATGCGAAGCCACCAATGCCACCCACAAAGGGCGCATCTCCGATAGTCCAGTACTTTCCTCCAATGTACCCATAATGGGTGTTGCCACCCGCGTTGACGGCAATACTGAGGATGATGAAGATGATGATGGTTACCACCTTCAGCAGACTGAGCCAATACTCAAGCTCGCCGTATGCCTTGACGTTGATGATGTTCGTCAGAACGATGAGGACCCACACCGCTATACCCACGGCATACCACGGGACGCTATCGCTCCAGTACTGTATCAATAACTGCAAAGCCACCAGGTCTGCGGCGGTGCTGACAGCATCGTTGAACCAGTAATTCCACGTCAGCGCAAAACCAAACGCATCATCCACGTAGCGACCTGCGAACGTGCAGAAGGAGCCCGCGACAGGAACGAAGGCGGCCATTTCGCCGAGCGATAACATGGTGCAGAAGACGATGAAGCCGACGATAGAATAGCAGATGAGTAGCGAAGCCGGTCCACCAGTTGCGAGAGCTTTTCCAGTACCCAGAAATAGGCCAGTTCCAATGGTACCTCCGATTGCGATCATCTGCACCTGCCGGGCGCTGAGGGAGCGGCGCAAGCGATCCTCATTGACGAAGTGAGACTGTATCCGGTCCAACGAGTCGGGCGATGCTGCGACATCATGAGGCGCCTTCTCAGGGTCCGAGGTCGCCATATCTTGGGTGAAATCTGCCGTGATAGTATGCTGCAATGCAAGAGACGAAGCTTAGAGGCTGGCGCATGGAAGCTTTTCATGGCGAAGCTTGAGTGTTCTTAGTGGATAACGAGCGTCTTACCAACAGTCCGCGCGCAAGCCGGCGATCGTTGCATCGTTGGCTAATTTCGCAGTGTATGCAACGGAGCACGTCATTTTGCTTGTAGCGGATTGGTGGCGTGCGGGGGAACCTGAGGGTCGAGTAGCATTTTCACTCGAAGTTTGCATAGCGCTAGCGTACATAAGGTTAGCAAGCGTCCCACCGGACCGGTTATATTACTAACTTTACGAGGAAGCTCGCCTTTTTTTATTTTATGCTAGCTAGCTCTAGACTTATCTTCAGATGTTTCTAGTGTCATCAAAGTCTACGCGACGGTTCTACAGAAGGCGTATCCACTCGATGTGAGATTGTAGCAGATCCTACAGGATGTGGCTGACAGGCTAACTGCGACTTCACTCAACCACGAAAGATCATCCAGAACGACATCTTTCTGCTCATCAGTCCACCTCTACGCCTTTTCATTCTCTTTGATTATATCTGCGGCCTTCTCAGCAACAGCATACATCGTTGCCTGCAAGTGCGCTGCCGGTATCAAGGGCAGGATGCTCGCGTCTACGACCCTCAGCCTTTCTACTCCGTAGACCCTCAATTGTGGATCCACACAACCACCCAACTCTTCGGGCATAAGCGCACATGCACCGCTCGAATGCGCATAGGTTGGATCTAAGGCAGCTGCTTTGATACTGGCGTCAAAGATCTCGTCATCAGTCTGATATTGGGCACCTGGCACGGTCTCGACGGGGGCGTAGCGCTGGAGCTGGGGCGCGTTGGTCCAGTGCTGCCTGTTCCACCGCACCAGTTCGCCAAGAACTAGCTTATCGACTGGGTTTTGGAATGCGTTTCGAACGACGATCGGGTTCGCCGATGGATTCGTAGTGTTGAGGGAGAGAGTGCCTCGAGAGAGAGGCTTCTGCACGGCAGTAGTCGCTCGACCCCAAGGTTGGATCGGGTATTCGCCGGTCGCTGCATATTCGGAGAGATAGTGGTCGACCAGGATCTTACGCTGTGCCATGAAGCCCTTCAGCAGAGTGTCAATCTTCGAGTAGCGTTGCGGTAAGTATGCAGTTGCATTCTGTCCAGAGACAATGGCAGTTATATCAGCATACTTGGCGGAAAAGTCTTTGAATGCAAGGAAGAGCGCTGCATTGCCTCTCCCAAAGGTCCACGGTCCAGTGCGATTAGCAGCATACAGCTCGGCAGCTGTGGCGTTAAAAGCTAGGTCGGGTGTCGTAACGAGCATGTCTGGGTTCGGAACGGACTGATTTGAGAGGTTAAAACGCATGTACAAGGCTTGATGATCCTGGAAGTTCGAACCGACAGCCGGGAGGTCTTTCTTCACGGTGATCTTAGCGGCAGATAGTTCGTCCTTGGGACCAATTCCGGACAGCATGAGCAGGTGTGGTGTAAAGACACCTCCAGCTGCCAGGATGACCTCTTTCGTTGCGTGTACAGATCCGGTGGAGGAATCGACGTTGGACGTACACTTAACACCACTGGCTACAAGCGTACTACTATTCTTGAACAGAATTTCATCCACGTGAGTGTTGGTCAAAAGATGCAAGTTAGTGCGTGTTTGAACTGGGTCGTAGTAAGCTCTGCGAGCATGGCTGCGCTGCTTAGTCGAGTTGTCAATGGAGTTTGGCGTCCAGAATGTGCCAATGGGTCTACTGAAGCCTTCCGGCGAGTGGGGTATGTCGGTCCTAGATACAAAAGATCCCATGATGTCGACGTAGTCTTCATACTGGTAGCTGGGTATCGATACCTTTACTGGCCCGTCGCCATATCTGAGAACGAATTAGCTACGACTTTATGGAGATGGTATTGTGCACCTACGCATTAGCATCGAACGTCATGTTGAAATGACGGCGAACCGCTTCTGAAGGGCCGTCAAAGTGAGTGGACTTTTTGAAGTACTTTGCTAGGTCCTCATATCCCCAACCCGGGTTTCCCAACTGTTCCCATGCATCGTAATCCGCATCAGAGCCCCTATCCCACTGCATGCCATTGACGACTGAACCGCCTCCAACAACATTGCCTACATGTACCATCCAAGTCTTGTTCTGCATGAATGGTTCTGGTGCAGATGTGATGGGATAGTAATTCTCGACATTAATGTTGGCAAAATACGGCACACTCGTCGTGGGTCTGTCGTCGATGACCCCATTTTCGATGACCAGCACGGATACTTGAGTTTGTTAACAAGCCAAATCGTTTTGCCAGACGATGTCGTACTCACTATTTGCATTCTCAGTCAATCGGTTGGCAACTACCAACCCACTGAGTCCTCCGCCCACAACAATGTAGTCATAGGTTGCCGACTCTGAGTACGCTTGTCGCACGTTCACTGCTACTGCTGTGACTGTGGAAAGGAGGCCGAGAAGCACGGCAAGCGAGGTATACCTGACCGACGGCATTTTCGTGTCTTTCGGTTTACTCGGCGACGATATTGACGCAGTATCACATCAGTATCATGGAAGATATACGGTCTTACATCCGGTATGCGAAGGGCGACGATTGCCATGACCTACGGATTTACCCATAGGTTGGGTTAGGAACCTCAACCCCTTCAAGCCTAGTCCATACGTGGAAGGTGGTATGCTGTATTCAATTCATTCTGGATGAACAGATTTGGGTCTTCCCACTCATTTCGGTATCATGCTCGATTTGATGATGTTGTGTTGATCGTGCATCCTTCCTCTGCAGAGTCTCAGAAAGCTCCCCTTCCGGCGCTTGTCAGGCCAATCAAGAACGGTAGGTCGGTGGGGTGCCAAGCGGCGGCGCGGCGGCGAGCTTTCCCCGTTGCATGTCCCAAAGCTCCATCCTTCGGCAGATGTCTTCTTTACTGCAACACCGCCTAGCTGAAACTCTCCGAGGCATGTGTATAACAGCTGCTAGTTGTGTTCGTTTCGTTGCTTCTTTCAGAGTGCTTCAACGTACTAACAAGACCCCCTTACTTCTAGATACGTTACATGTCAGACGAAAGCAAGTTGCAATGCGAATGGCAAGAACGAAATTCTCATGCAAGGAAGTCTGGGCGAACTCCACCTCGTCCTCGCAATATTAAATCCGATATGCAGGTCCCAGATTGAAGTCTTGAGATTTCCAGGCTACGAGACATTGAGCCGTCGCTACAGTGGTGTTGACCGGAGATGTCTCCATCTCTTCGTTACCAGTTCTCGGGATCACTCTCGTTTCCATCCAAATGTGTGCTGTCAATTGCATCTTCCGAGTCGTACAATGGATTCGGCGACAGATTACATCCACACCCCCAACGCGCAAAATCTCACGCCTTCTTTCGTATGTCATACCTCATGGGCTCATACACCGTCGACTTGTCCCACTTGTCTTCCTGCTGAAGCCTCTGCACTCTCATATCAGCGACAACAGCATTCCGCTTCCTGCTGACAACAACCTGCGCAATCCACACGACGATCAAGACTACTGCGCAAACCAAAGTTGGCGCCAACATCATTCTGCTCGCTCTCGCCTCTCTGCACATCCTCTCGCTCCACCCCATATTCTCCATATAGACATTTTCTAGTTGGTCGCAAGCAGCTAGCTCGCGCGTGCGAATGAAGTAGTTATTGGTAGGTGTATAGACAGAATTTGGTATGCAAGTTGCATCTTGCAGACGGGCCTTAGTTTGTGATGTGAAGATTGTAGACGTGAGCGACATAGCGAGCGCCGCAGACCCGAAGAAGATCGAAGAAACAAGCATCCATGTAAAGCTAGAGGGATGAGCTGTTGGGTGCTAAATCGTTTTTTAGCAGTGTTCCACAACGGTCTAGGGTGAGAAAACACACCTTCTCCTTTCTTGACATCCACCACACAACCAGCCATCCCATCAGTCCAGCAACCAGGCCAACACACCCACTCGTCAGAATCCAGATGTCGTTGCTGGTCACATACTCTAGTGTCACTATGTTAAAGTCTTTACCTCCAGAGCCGACAGCGTGCCAGTACGCGCCGCGCTCAGGTGAGCCAAGGTGTCCGACCCATTTGTAAGACCCTGCTGGAACTCTATGATCTAGCGAGGTTGTGTAGTCTGTGGTAAGGTAGACTGTAACAGCAGATAGAGCGAGGAGGGTTGTTGAAGTTGCAAGAGAAGTGGTTTGCAGAATGGTAGGGAGTATTGGGAAATGCATAGCTAGGTTGGCGATATTCTACGATTTTGTATTCGATCGGGATGGAGTAATCGAGATAGAGAGGTGCGAGTATGACGAAACAATACGGAACGAGGAGCTGGCAGCTTGACAACGTTATGTGCGTACGACGAGGAGGTTGTTGGCGGGGTGACATTCCACCGCATCACCGTTGTGCAATGGTGGAACGGGACCCGAGTCGAGCATACTAACGAAACTACGCCTCATTCAGACGGCTTGCAGCATACTCTTGGCCTCAATCGACGGGCAGATGCCTGCACGCGGTGTATAGAGGAAAGAATAAACGCTGCTGCATCATGCGCTCGGCATTTATATGGCTCTGATGTAGGCGGGGCGGACTTGAGTGAGACCCACGATGCGCTCGAACAGCTATCGTGGTGTTATGGCATAGTGTTGCTGCGACAGTGTCAGCAGGGCCAGAGTTCGCTACGAGCATGCCAAGCACAGCTCCGTCTACAACGAAGGATTCCCTTTGCACGTTCCTTGCTCTTATAACAGATACCCCGCCTAGCCAAAGTCTCAATTGTCTTTAGAAGAACAATGAACCAAGTCAACCTTGCGGTTGGCATGGCAGCCATTCACATGCGCGATACACCCAACGACTTTCCAATCATCATTACATGCCACGTTCTCGAGTCTTATATTTCATGCTCAGCCATATTATCTTAGTAGTCGTCTTCGTATCTCTGTTCGTCTCTGCCCTCGTCGTACGCATTCTCCATGTTGTCTCCAAATTGCTCCACACCATCCGCCATGTTATCCCACTTGTTTTCGATATCCTGCGGTATGTCTTCCACCGCCTGGACCTTCTCGCCAGTCCATTCCGCAGCGTTTTCTGGGAAGTTCTCGATATCGTTGACGCCGTTGTCCCACTTTTGCTCCACATCATCGCCAAAGTTTTCTACGCGTCCGACTTGCTCGCCTGTCCACCCTGCGGCGTTTTCGGGGAAGTTGCTGATGTCGTTACCGAACTCGTCGACGCCCTGCGAAACGTTGGCTTTGGCACTGTCCCAGCCGTCTTCTGTAAGGTAGAATTAGTGGGCTGAAGGAACGGATACAGAGTTGTGTGATTACGCACCAATCTTGTCGCCCTCGTGCATCAGCAATGCACCACCTGCAAGACCTGCTGCACCAGCTGCGGCGTACTTCCAGCCATTGCCGCCAGACTTTTTCTCTTCCTGGTGGCCACTGCGGGTAGGATCGTATGAGCTCTGGTTGTATGCGCCTTGGTTGCTGTAGCCATCTTGGCTGTAGCCGTATCCACCTTGTTGTGGCGGAGCACCATAGTTGCCCTGCTGTTGAGCGTAGCCGGGACCAGGATATTGGTAAGTACGCTCGCCGTTGTGCTGGTTCACGAACAGCCAGCGGTTTTCGCGCCCATCCCACTCAGCGTACCAAGGTGGGGAGACTGGTGGTGGCTGTGGGGAGTGCTGTTGGGGTGGGTATTGAGAGTAACCTTGCTGCTGTTGAGGTGGGTATTGAGAGTAGCCGGACTGCTGCTGCTGCTGTTGGTTTTGCTTGTCACCGCCGGTGAAATCGGAGATCAGTTCACTCAGGAAGCCCATGGTGAGTATGTTGTGTTTGTTACGTAGGGTAAGAAGATATTGAAAGAGGGTTGTTAATGTCCAGGTGGATGCAGGTGGGGTGCGGTATTTATTCAATCATCAGCATCAGCCCCTCTCGTACATTGATAAACCCACTACATCTGCAGCTAAATCTGTTCGAGATCGCCCACGATGTGTAACAAATGCGAACGGCCGGAGCTTTGAAACGTGGCGCAATCTCGGTCTGGCGGTGAGGCGGTGCCGCTATCTCCGGCGTCAGAAAAAGCATCACCGGTGCGATTGCCAACGGCGAGAATCTTCAAAGAACTCGTTGACGCGAAAAAGACGAGCAAACACCATTTTGAGGCCACAAAACTCGAATCAACACTGCTGGCTTGACGGGATTGTCAGCATGCATCGGCAGGTAGCCAAGCATCACGAAGCTTTACTTGGCAGGCGGATAGTCCCTCCCGGCTGAGCTAGGCTTTGACATCCCCGCTTTGGTGGACTTTGAGGCGCAGTTCAGGGGCATCTGACGCATTCGCTGCGCCACCCGACCGAGCTGGTGTCAGCAGTATGGTACGCATTCCAATTTTATAGGATTCAGATGTAATCTTTCTGAAGTTTATCACGCCACGTTCAGTCAATGAACTTCACTCCTTACACCATAGGCGTATCGTGCACAGTGATGGCAAGCGTCCCATGCGCCCCATTTCTCAAATCGAGGCCGGGGTGTTACCAACTTTGGGACCGACGCGTCGCAACGTGACTACGCGACACAACACAACTTCCAGATCTCACACCGGGTATTGACAACATACAGAATACCGGTTACAAATCGAGGAAAATGCTACGATCTTCAGGAACCAGACGATGTGTATACAGTGTGATACCTACATTGTGAACGTTGCCCCAAGCAAGATCCAACAACTATCCAGGCCGGTTGAACTTTATGTCGCGTTCATGTTTGTTGGACAGGTGCTGTTGAGAACCCTGGAGACAATGATATGGCAGTTTGGCATAGGTGAAGGTGACCATGTCCTCTGACACCAGGCAAATTCACCGCTCACTTGACATCTGTGACCCCAAATACCTTCACCGTGTAAGCGCTTCGTCGCGTCTCTTTTTCCGTCCTCTTCTCTAGATCCCTCACACCACGCTCTCAATTTCCGATGGTCTTCTCAGCCAATTCGAGCCCATCATGAAGCTCTTCGCGACCTCTATCCTCACTCTCGCCCTCCTGGGCATCGTTACCACTGCTTCCAGTCTCGACGATGAAGCCTGCAACGAAGGCGAGAAGCAGTGCGCTCTCAATGGTCAGATGATTGATCAATGTGTCAACGGCAAGTGGACGATTGTCAATATCTGCAAACCTGGCGATATCTGCGCTGAGCATGCTACAGCTCTGTGTGCTTCGAACCCCGATGGAAACGTCCCGTTCAGCGCAGAGAGCGATACTTCCGCTGTTGAGGATTTTGGTAACGATGGTGTCAAGTTCACTGTCACTGAGGAATGCCATGATGGCGACGCGCAGTGCGATATCCTTCCACTCATCCTACTTAGCCGCTACGCTACCAAGCGCTGCAATAACAGCCACAAGTGGTTCATCGATGTGTTCTGCAACCGAGAGGATGTCTGCATTGCGGAGCCTTATCCTCACTGTGCCAGTCTCGAGGCTGTTGACAAACGTGAAGAAGGTGATAGCAAAGATGGAGGTAAAGACGTCATCAATGCTGTGAGTTTCATGGCTTCTCTTTCCTCAGCTCCTGCGCGTTTGCTGACTGTTTTCAGGTTCAGATCAACAAAGTCGAACTGCCATGCACAAAATGCAAGAGATTTCGCGATGAGTGCACCACGGTAAGCCCCACTCACTTGCTTCTATCTCCTATTCTCTTCAAACTTACTAACAACACTAGAATTGTTACAAGTCGGTCCATTGGAGGACGCGGGCGTGGTGCCAGAAGACATGTATCAACAAGATGAAGGACTACTTTGTTGAAGACGGCAACCATGGAACGTACCGCGGTACCTGTAGGTACTACTGCCCGAACTTGTGACAATAAGTTTCTGCAATAGGATAGCAGGCGGGAGTGAAGTATCTGAGGATCCTCTGTGACACTGGATGGACCAATAGGGCATATGGGTTTCGAAAAGTTATACAGATAGCACAGGCGAATATAGGCCTTAGCATAGCATGGTTAGCTTCTTCGCATGAAACGTACAAGACTCTTTTTCACCTACCCATCACCTGCGTTGACATGTTTATACCGAACTTCCTGCTACATAACGAAGAAGCTCACAAGATGTAGAAGAGCGAATAGGCCAAGACAATGCACATGCACAGAAGAGAACCTTGTATTATCAACTCACTTCGTCCGATTCTTGGGTATCTCTTTCAATCAAAAACAACCTTCTTTCCCTGCGGCGCACCCTTGCCCGCAACATCAATCTTCAACTTCTTGCTCTCCTTTGCCATCTTCGCAGCCTGCCAACTAGGATGCAGTTCGCCCTTGTCGTCACGTTTGACACCCAGGCCCATCTTCCTATCCTTTTTGTCGTCCTTCTTACCCAGTGGCTCTGCGTTGCTTCCACTCTGTTGGAGACCAGGTCCCATGGGCTTGCCTCGTCTTTGACGCTTACCGTCGCCGGCAACGGCTCCTCGTTTGGCGTCGAACTTGACGTTCTGTTGTGCTTTCTCGATGTGTTTGGCTTTTGCGCCAAACTTCATCTCAGCAATCTTTTGACGGGCGCGTTGGCCACGGCGATTCTTTCGTGGAGCGACGTCGACGTCGAGGTCGGAGGCTTCGGATTCAGAGCCACTGAAGTAGGCGGCGTGGCTGAGCGCGGGGAGGAAGGCGGACGAGGTGGGTTTGTCTTGTATGGTTTTGGGTTTGCTTTTCTTGGTGAGTATCGCGGCTTCGTCGGAATCGGAGTCGGATTCTGAATCGGCAGAAGACTCGTCTGAAGCAGGAGCCACAGCGCGCGAGATGGCTGCATCCTCATCTTCGCTGGTCCCGTCTGCCTGTGCGCCTTCTTTCCCATCATCCTCGCTTGCGCTCTCGGCCTCCAGATCGTCGTCGGGGTCGTGTTCGCTTTCGCTGTCTCTGATACTTGGGGGTCGATCGTCGTCCGATATTGAGCCCTCGCTTCCCTCCTCGCCTGAAGATGGCGCAGCTATCCGCGCGCTGAAAGCCATGTATGGATCGTCGCCTTCGTCGCTTGCGTCCTTCATCTCTACGTCTTCCGTCTGGGCAGACTTGGAGCTCTTCGCCTTCTTGTCATCCTTCTGCTTCTTCATGCCCTCCGCCTTGATGTCTTTGTCCCCTTCCTCCTTCTGGTTGCTTTCCTTGGCTTTGCCGGCTCCCAGAATGTTCTTCAAGTCCTCAACGACACCATCCACCACCTTCTTCACATGCACCACCTTGAACAACCTCGCGGTAACATTGAGAGTACTGGTGTCCTTGCTTCCCTCCCTGATACCGGCGATGTATTCCCGTAGTTGCTCCGCGTCCTTCAAGCTTTTGACCCTTGCCAGAGTCTTGCGCAAATGCTGATCGCCTAGCTGCTCCAGGTTCAGCGCCTTCAAAACTTGGTATTCGGCATCCAAGCGAGAAATTGCCTTCTGGTCGCCCTTCTTCTGCGCATCCTTCTTCCTGCGACTATGTTTCTGGCGCTCCAGCGAGGAACCATGTTTCAGCGCTGCGAGAAGCGGCTTTTGCGCAGCTTCGAGGCACTTTTGACAGCTCTTGGCTTGTTTCGCAGGCGTGGCTAGGGAAGCTGGGGGAAGCTTTGCGGTGGGAGCAGGCGATTCGCGCTTTCGTTTCGGCATTCTGGGCGCTCTTTTGGCGTCGTTGTTGCTGTTGCTGTTGTTGGTGTCGAGGTGCCAGTGGAAATTTTGGAAATGCGCCCAGGGCTAATCGATAAGCCCGGCCAGAATTCCACTGCGCGGTATCCAGGCCGCTCTCCACTATTCTTCTGTCACCCTTCTTTCAGTCTGTCACTAACGTCACACATCATATGCGCCTTGGAATATGCCATCGTGCGATATGGTTGACTAATTTGAAACTGATAGGCTCAAATACACGTTACAAAGAATAGTTGACAAGGTTGGTTCATAGCCACTTGTCACACCTTCCAGCCTACTTCACCTTAGATTCAACCCTCATCACGTCTCGCTTCTCAAGCATCATCTCATTCTTGTTCGCTCCTGCTCGTAATGCCGCGTCTCCGGTTCCCAAGGGTGTTGAGGCTGCCTCCGACTAGACGTACCTCCGCCCCGAGCTCCTCTAGGAACAGGAGCCTCAGTATCGATATACACGCTTGGTCCCTGCCCTCGTGGTCGCTCACCATACTCCGTCTGCCCTCCTCGCTGCAGATGCGCCACCATCTCTCCGCTTTGTAGCCCTCTACCGTCAGCCATGGTGGGCATCCGGTGGGACTGAGGCTGCTGTTGCTGCTGCTGGGGCGATCGAGCCTGCCCTTGGCCAAAGAATGCCCCCTGCGGTGCTTGATTGGGTGCACTGCGGAACAGCTGTGGCGGTACCATATCATCATCGTCCGTTTCACGGTTATTATGTTGTGGGAAAAATAGAGGGCCGTCTGTATGGCCATCTGCCTCATGGTCAGCTCTCCTGCATCACTGCTTGCTACGAGGCGCAATGTACGATGCGACCTGTCCTCCTCCTCTGCTCCAGAGGCTTTGAATTTCTTCTTCTTGTTCATTTTACGAGCCCTTAACTTATCACCTAGGACTTCCCAGTAAGAGGTAAGGTATTTGCGCTGTTGGAACTTCCTTGTACGCTCTCCTGGCTTCGATGGTGCTGTAGATAGATCTCGAGCCATATTGTCTATCGAAGGTATCTTAGGGATCCAAAGGGGGTGGGAAGCCCCAGGATCAATCTTATACTTGCGCGCAGTGACTAGAAGGACAAATGGAAGAACAGGTGCCGGCACGATGCTGGACAGTACGAAGGCAGTTGTGAACATGTTACTTACGATGTTTTCTTGATCCGCCATGATTTCCTCGACGAGGAGCACCATTCCCAGAGCCACTCTGACCATTAGCGTGGCCCCTGTGTGATGGTTTTGGAGGAATCACATGGCGGTCTCGATTCTCTTCAAAGCCACTGCCACTAGTATGTCCTTCGCTTCTAGGTACGCGTCTCATACTCTTGCCTGTGGAGTGAGCGTTTACTGGAACATGGGTATATCTGCCCGCTGGCACTAGGAGGCCTTGTTAGTAGCAGATCGACAGTTCACTAAGAGTAGCTTGCCGAAACAAATTGGACGTGGAGGAGGCGTGGAGCATCGGTTAAAACAACACATGCTATTGGAACTGTGAGCTTCGGAAATAAGAGGCTGCCTATGGGGTTGATGTTCTAGGTGGCTATGGGTACAGATTGATGTTGGCTGTGATTTGCTATCTATGGATGAAGGTGCTGATCAACTCATTGCAGGATCCATCAAGGGCGCAGAAGAAAGTAGTTATGTAGGATTGCGATTGGTCTTCGAGCCCTTCACAGGCATCGTATAACATTGCGCCATCAAATCATGGAATGAACACAGACGTTGTTGGTAATTTGGACACACCATATCAAAGGCGTTCTTCAATACACGATATTCTAGATAGCTGACCACTTTACTAGATAGGTGACGATGGGTGGGAAGTCTGTTATGCTAATGCGCAGCTACTTCATCATAAACGGGAATCTAAATCGACATGGGGTACTGCTCCTGACAGCTCAAGGTTAGAAGTATTGCAGACTTCATGGTCTTATAAAATTAGGTCGAGGTTAGTATGACTTGCTGTAAGAGGAGAGTGACCCTTGTATGGCAAGCTGTTGTCTACGCTCTGAGCTTACCCCGCAGTCAACCTTTCAAGCACACAGCACTCAACACCCCAACCGCAATCGTGAATGTGCTACCAGGCTATTGAAAGATATTCTGTTTGTCGTTGCTTATACTACAGGCATGCGATCGACCCCTGTGCAGCGCACGGTCAGCGGGGTCACGGCATTCAAGAAAAGACGGTTCTGGTAGGATACAGATGTCCCGAACATCAACTCAACTGGGACAAAGAACAAGCAGTATCCGTAGAGAAGCCTGACATTGTTGATGATTCCTCAGATATAGATGGAAGCTTGACTGATGACGAGAGCATCTTCTCCACCTCAATTGCGTTAAGTAGATGTACGTCTTTTATCGCAACCGATGGGCAAGACACTGTCGCGGAGATACTGAAGATCCTGATTGAGGACCCTGAGTTGAGATGGGAGAGACTGCTGTGCTTTCAACCCGAGATACCGATTGGGAGACAGGTGAAGGATGTACAATTCTTCCTAGCAGCCTTCGAGAATGATCTACGCACTGAGGCTGATTCTACTCTACAATACCATGCCTGCGCGTTTCTGCGGCGTCGCTTCCGACACATCTCATCACGAATATACGAGCATTACGATATTGAAGAGAAAAGCAGTTCCGGGAATGTCCTCTCCAACGACGGGGACGTTTCTGGGTCGTTGGAGCGACTTGAGCCTATTGCTCTAGATGAGCCCGATTCGACGCTCATGCCTGCCTTCTCGAGCATCCAAGATTTCCTGTTTAAAGGAGTTGCATACCAGTCATTGAAAGAGAATATAAGAAATTTTGTACAACATACGCGCAATCATGAGGAAGAGATGATCGATATCATACTGCGGAATATACATCCACCAAAAGCAGTTTCCCATCCTTTTCAAAAAGATTGGGCAGAAGTGCGACGCGCACACCTAAGTCGATTTCTTTCCTGCCTTGAACTTGAGGCAGAAGAACATAAGCTCTCAGCTTCTGATCGTGCTGGCTTGAAGAAAATTCGTCAACATCCATTCCAGCTTATCGTGAGAGTCATGACGTCTTGGACGAGCGAAACACCCTCATGGCATCATTATCCACTCATACCAGGTATCGATAGCTGTTTGACATATGGAGACGTCTCGGGAACCACAATATATAGTCAGACCGAAATCGAGTCTTTCGAGACATTTGTATGCTCAAGCAAAGCTTTCTTGACGCTCGCAAGAACAATTTCCGGTCTTGTACATAAGAATCGAAGGAATTCTGGGTGTGTTGTATGGCAGCGAGGGCTCGATGCTCAGACTCCTTCCGATGGCAACTTACGTAAAGACGTGTATGACACGATCAGTTATGATTGCGTAAGTTTTTCTGACCTCCTACCACAACTGCACCCATGCAGCTGACCTCTCATAGCCATGTGGGAAAACCATCGTCGACAACTACGCACCATTGTCTACAGAAAGTGCTTATAACCGGTCGCGACAACTGAGGTTACTCTCTGTGCGGCAAATATATCAGCAAGCTGCCTCACAGCACTCGCCGCGAAGTCATTCAACGTTTACCATGCGCCGCTTCTTGTCTTACTTTACGGGTACCGAAGCGTCGAGCAATATCCCGCTTCCCCAGCATCAACCCCCTGACCCGACTGCCAATAACGCGGCGACAAAGCAATGCACAACGCAGTCCGGATCAGTACAGCATAAACACCACTTCATTCATTGGTGTATACCTTGGAGTCGCTACGCCGTACGCATGTCTCCACTGCAGTCATGCCAGATCCGGTCAGACCTCGACTTCTTCAAGCTCCTGAAGCAACGGTATCTACAGTCCAAAGGAAGATACAAGATGCTCCTCTCGTTCAAGAAACCAACTGCCCTACGGTTCGTAAAGGTAAGTCCCTACTTCGCTCTCTGGAATACCTGAAGCCGTTCGTGGCTAACATCCGACTTCAGTTCCGTTTGTACCAACATCAGCTCGTAGATATCCACACGACTGATGACATACCACCTGAGTCTTACAAGAATGAGTATGAATATTACCCAATGCCTGCGGAGACCGTTCCTCCAATCGGCCCCAATCTACTGATGCATTTCTTTACGCATCCAGATGAGAGCCCCTCATATCCAGTGTTACTGCCAAGCATACCGAAACGAAAGAACGACAAGCTCGAACCTTGTCCCATACGTGGCAGCAGGTAGGTCAAACTAACCGATCCGATGATGAGCTGATGCTAATGCGTACAGCCTTGGTTGGGGAATCGACGTCGTGACTGGGATCGACGAGTTCAAGCTCTTTTCTTTAGGCTTGATTGGCACGCTGGCAAGCATGATTTTTGGAATTGTGTGGTCAGTCGTGAGACAGGATATACAGGGTGGATTTGCAGTTGCAGGTTTTCTCTTCACACTTTTCGCATTCGCTATTGCTAGCTTGAAAGCGCTAGACTTCTAGTGCGGGAGTGCCATGGACTAACCGCATGAGATTCAGACGCCAGATTCTGGTTGATCTTGAGGCTTTCGTATGTGATCGATAGAGGCGACAGATGCTTTGGTCGCACTATCTCCAACGAACCCACCGTCAATGCCTACGACATGTGCCTCCAAATCCATCCATGCCTCCACCCCCGAAACCTATACCCCTCATGGCTCCAAATCCACCCATACCACCAGAAACACCTGTCTGTCCTCGTCTTCTCTGGCTACCAGTATCAGCACTTCCATTTACATGATCCATATTCCAAGCGGGATGCGAATTTCCAACGCCATCAAGTCTCACCCCTCCTCCTCCTCCTCCTCCTCCTCCACCACCTTCTCTACCCATACCCATAGGCCCTTGCATGAATGAATCTCTGGAACGACCGGTCCTTCTAGGGTTAGGCAGTCCAAAAAAGCCAGGGTTTATTCCTCGGTTTCCAGGTCCCGGGAAGTTACCAGACGCCCCAGAGCGATGACCACTTCTTCTCTCATTCATATGTCCCAGGAATTCCTGAATGACTTCATCGCCACGTTGTAAGCCTACAAGAGCCGAACCGAATCCAGGGGCGTTGCCCGTTGAGTTTCTTCTATTTGGCGCCTGCAAAGATGATGTCATTGCAAATATTTCCGCCTTGGATGAACCTCCTCGGATAGACCTATGGTTACTGCTCTCGCGACCAGATGGATCTGGGTTCCTGGGCCGTACGGTGGACAAGTGACAGCCTGGTTCGCCAAGCTTGCCATGCTGGTACAGTGGAGGTGGGGTGTCGTCCCTTAGGAAGTTGAAGAGACCCATAGTACTTATTGATCGATCTCAAAGATAACGGTCCGCGTTATCGTTGTAAAGTTAGGTAAGTTTGAGTGATAATCCCGTGTGTTGGAAGATGCCGGGGGTGGTAGTGGACAGAGGTATTGTAGGAGATGTAGGCTGATCTTATATACCGAGTATTTGCTGTGACAGCGTCTTTCCACAAACATGGAAGCAATGGCGACGCCGTTCTGTTGACGTAGATTGAAAGCATGTGAGCTTTTGCATACGTCGAATTGCATGCATGTGGTACGCAAGCACGTTGTAATGGCTGGCAACAAAATGGAATTCTATGATCTATAAACATGAATAGTCATAAATTGTGTCAGAGCTCCTGTCAGTACGTGTTTTTGCATGTCTCAGAAGAATGTGGTCATTCCCTCTTTTCTCCTCAATGCGACGTGAAGGAAGATGTACACGACTACACCAAACCCCAACATACCAGAGATAACTCCGAAACCCATGAGATACTTTGGCTTATCGTCGCCGGGGAACAGGTATGCGCCGTATATCTGCGCAAGATTGCCCATAGCGTTGACGAGCGCAACCGCGATAGCCCTAACCTCAGGCTGCATAGACCCAAACGTTGCGCTCGCAAACGATAGAGAAACGGCGTTCGAGGCCCAGAGACCAGCGGCCATGAGAACAAGTAGTGCGTATCGTGCTGTAAAGTTGTAGATTACACACACGAGAATCGATGTTATGAGGGAAAAGCCGAGCCAGCTTGCTATCACGAGACCTCGGTGGTGGGAAATGGCATCGGCGAAGTACGTAGTGACTGCTGTGCAAACGAAGGCGACGGCATAGATGGGGACGGTCATGTACTGGGCTGTTACTGTGTCCGTGTAGCCAAGCCCAGTCATCAGGGTCGGGTAGAAGTACGAGAGGGTAGAAGAGCCAACGATGACCTGACACCGTTAGACGAGTGCTCTATGATCCACATTAATGGACTTACCATGTAGCCAAGGATGAAGGAAATCGTCCTCCAGTCCATGATAGCAAGACGGAAGGACTTTGCCTTGCCTATCCTCTCCTCTCCCTCAACGTGTGTTCGGACTCCGCCTTCTCGGAGACGCGCGATGGCAATAGCTCGCTCTCGATCGGTGAGCCGTTTTGTGTTAGCAGGGAAGTCCAGCAAGATGAAGTATGCCACCATTGCCCATACAATGGTCGCAGCTCCTTCCACGATGAACAACCATCGCCATCCGCGAAGGCCAGCTGTGCCCTCCATACCGCCGGTTATTGCGCCCGCAAGAAGACCACCGAATGCGCCACTGAGGATCGCAGCCGACATGTATACACCGAAGCGTTTTGACTGCTCGTCTTTCTTGTACCAGGACGATATGATGAGGATAATTCCTGGCGCGAAACCCGATTCGAAGACACCGACGAAGATCCGGAGTACGACAAGGTGTTTGAAGTCGTCGATGACAGCCATACAACATGTCAAAGCTCCCCAAATGATCATGATGGCAGGTAGGTAGATGGACGGCTTGAGGCGGACCAGAAGCATGTTGGAAGGCGGCTCGAAGGCGACATAGGTCACGAAGAATACAACCAAAGCAATGGAGTATTGATCGGAGGTGAGTTGCAGATCGTCAGCCATACCGGCAATCTTCGCATTTCCGATACTGGCAACTCGTTAGCATCGTCTGTCACGCCATTTCGATATAAGCATACTTTGTGCGGTCCATGTATGATAGCAGGTACATCAACCATATCGTTGGGAGCAAAAAGAGGTCAATTTTGCGGACCAGCTTTTCCTCTTCCTCTTTCGTCCATGTGAAGTCCTCAGCGATCTCTACATGCTTCGTTGCGTCCATCTCTTTCACATCTATAGGCTCTAGAGAGTGGCGTGTCGACGACATGGTGTTCCTGTGCGCGAAACGACGGGAGCGGGACGGATATGGAAGCAATGAAGCGGAGCCTGAAACGACAGGCTGTATAGTATTGCGATAGCAGTCGCCGATACGCCTAGATGGGTGCGACACCCATGGTGCTTTATAGTGGAAACGTATCTTGCCCTCAGGTTTTGATGTTTGCCAAAAACAGCATGGACCTCCCCAGATTGCGTTCGGGCCTTTTTCTTACCCCAGGTCTTGAGCTACAAGCCGAAGTTCCCGCATCAGACCAGCCTGCACAGAAAGCTTGACAATAGTGATTGGTCGAGGAACACGACAGAACATGTTCCATGCATTGATTCGGTGCACACCCGACGGTGTGCCTCGAGGCGAACTTTGTGCCACTAAGCGAAGGCAAGTGGTAGCTATCACACGTGCAAGTCGCGTCGGCGCGTAAGCTCGCCACGAGGCCGTTGCTCCTGCGAAGATGGTTGAACCGAGCCTTTACAGCATCCCTGCCTTGTGGACCATGCTCGCATCGTTCTCGCCCGTGGAGAGCATTTGGTACCGATCAACCACACTCCGTTGCCACCAGTTTCTTGTGGGGTGTGTGTGAGTGAGATGTACTTAAACATGCGGGGTGCCAGCCAGGTGGTGTTTGCCTCTTCATCATTTCGGTTTTCCATTCTTTCGCCAGACCCGCCGCACTCCCCAAACCTACACCAGTAGAAATCAATCGGAGATGTCTCCTTCCGCAATCGTACCGCAATCTGACCAGACAGCGCCTGCCAACGGGCACGCCAACAACGGTCAAGTTGAGCAGACTGTCGAGAATCCTGTCTATCTTACTACAGAGCCAAAAGAAGATTTCGACTGGAAAATTACTCTCAAGGGCAAGGTAGTCGCTATTACCGGGGCAAACAGAGGTTGGTAGAAAGGAACACCGAGAGTTGAGAAAAGTGCTGACCTTGCAGGTATTGGACTCGGCCTCGCTACAGTATGCCTTGCCAACGATGCTGCTGAAGTCTACTCCCTGGACCTCTTCGAACCCGGTGAGGAGTTCCAGGCGCTGCAGAAGGCCAACCTCAAGCGCGTACACTACCTGCACTGCGATGTCACATCTGAAGAAAGCGTCACGAAGGCCATCGACCAGATTGTTGCCCAGTCGGGCCGTATCGACGGCATGATCGCCAACGCAGGAATGACCAAACACCAGCCCGCACTCAACTTCGATCGCCCACAGCTCGAACAGCTTTTCAACCTAAACGTTTTTGGCGCGTACTTTTGCGCAACGGCAGCCGCGAAAAAATTCATCGAGCTTGGTATCAAGGGTTCGATCGTCTTCACAGCGTCCATGACATCGTACCGGCCAAACAGGGCAGCACCGTCAGCACCATATGGAGGGACAAAGGGCGCTGTCCGCAACATGGCACATACTCTCGCAATGGAGTGGGCAAAGCACGGAATTCGTGTAAATTCGATATCGCCGGGTTTCGTACGCACGCAGATGACATACTATGTCGAGAGGGCGCCCGACTGGAACTTGAAGATGCAGTACTATGGCGGTATGCCTAGATTGGCCGATCCTCGTGAACTTGGCGGTGCGTATGTGTACCTCCTCTCAGACGGTGCCAGCTACACTACGGGTATCGACATCCCAGTTGCGGGCATTGTCGGCGCCTGGTAGAAGTGTTCTGTTGTTGCTTCTTCGCGTTATACTGCATTGGGTGGAGTCTGTAACTGCCGGCTGGCTTTGGTTGTGTTAGGACCAATTCAACAAAGTTTATTAAAATGCTTCCTTCCTCTGCAAGATGTCAAGTGATGCATGGCGATGTTGTTGTCGATGTCCGTAGTAGTGTCGATCATGTCGTGCAGGTGAGAAGGATGAGGCGACACGTCAAGAAAACGAAATTATAACCCGGGATGCGCAACAGCCACAACTGACTAAGCACGTCTCCTTTGCTGCACGCAGCCTGTATACATCGTGAATCCACCGATACTTCGAGTGGACATTGCTGCTCCTCTTCTATCAGACATGCTCCAAGACCTGTATCATGTACATTAGGCCTCCCCAAATCAGCCGGTGGTGGACAGTGCTTTGGACTGGCGCGGGGCCTTCGAGAGAGTATTCGCCGCGGGCCTTTTCCAGAGTGAACACGATTCCCTTCTCTAACCACCGTCAGATCATCCTGCAAAACTCCGCGAGGTATCAGAAATCCGGGCTCTGCATGCGCTGTGGTATCCTGGGCTAGTTGAGCGTCCTTCCCATTGGCCCCAGCCTCGTTCCCCACGGCAGGCCTAACCGGCGAAAGCGGATCCTCAAGGGCCAAGCGAAGTTCCACCAGCATGCGCAACATCATTCGTAATGCAAGCATCGTCAACAGGCAATCCTAAGCCGCGCAAACCCCGTCCATCTCGAGCGCGAGTAAGTCTGATTGTGTTGACTGGGTGTGAGGCTTTCACTGATTCGACGGTTCCGTCGCTTGCAGGGCTTACGTACAACCACCGGATGGTAAGCTGTTCCCCAAGCACGTGTCCGCCTTGTATCTTTGAACTGTCATGTTCGCTAGCTCTGTATTGGTTACATGCTGCAGGTCTTTTCGTTAACCGGCGGCTAACTTGAACAGCCTTACCTGCAGACGAAGGAGGGTGAAATGTGACGAGCTGAGGCCACGATGTGCGACATGCAGCAAATCCGACAGAGAATGTCTGTGGCCGTCGCCAAATGACCCCACGGGCGGCACGGGAAGCAATGCGTCTGGTTCTGTTCAATCAGAAACTTCACCAGCTCAAGATGGCTCTTCTGCTGCTGCCACGTCGCCAGGGCCTGCTAGACGACCGATTCCAGGTGATATCGATTCTCAGCTCTGGAACAATTCTCCCGAGTTATTGTTCGACTCTCCGTCGACCGTCATCAACTCGTTGCCGTCGCCAAATTCGGCACCTTTGGCCTACTACGACCTGCTTGCCGAGGATGCCATCAACAACATCGACAAGTACAACCTCAATGTTGACCTAGACAGGAACAATTTGTCCAGACAGTCAAGTCCTGTCGCTGATACACCAGGTTCAGGCCCGCAGCTATATTCAAGCCAGCAAGCACCAGAAGCCGAATCGTCGGCACATGAGCAATGGAACTCAATCAACCCCATACCCATGTCTGACGATGAGCTCGTGCTTTTTCAACACTACATTGCTGTGATTGGTCCTATTTTGGACCTGAACGACCCTTCCAGGCAGTTCACGGAAACTGTCCCTTCTCTGGCTGTCCATAACGTAGGCCTCATGAAGTCTCTACTTGCTGTGTCGGCACGGCACATGGCACTCCTAAATGAGCCACAAATCTGTCGGCTAAACATACAAGACCCTTCCCCGGACGGTGACGACGGCAGGATGAGGAGCCTTCAAAGCCCTCTACTACAGGCGGGAACACAATATTACTATGAGACTTTGCAGTACCTGTCGAAGAATCTTTTCTACCCTTCCTACAATAGGTCTAGGGAGATTATATCAACATCTATTCTCATTAGTACCTATGAGATGTGGGACTCTGAAGGCCAATACAGCAACGGAGCCTGGGAGAGACATTTGCGTGGTATATTCTGGATACAGAGGAGCCAAAACAACAACGGAGAGTCCAAAGACCCACTTCGGAGAGCTGCCTGGTGGCAATGGATACGTCAAGATACCTGGGTCGCATTCCGCGAAGGACGTCGCGTTCTAACTATTTGGAGACCGACCAAGCGTTTGATGGACCTAAGCCCGGATGAATTGGCTTTGCGGATTGTGTACATATGTGGGCGGTGTGTAGACTTTGCTGCAAACGAAAAGAAGTACGACCTGAACACTCGCATCGACCAAGCCGGAAAGCTCCTGCAAGCTCTGGAAGATTGGCATCGAGCGCTCCCAGCATCCTTCCATCCCATTCACCGAGGACCGCCACCTGGACCTGGCGCCATGTTTGCGCCCATCTGGATTCACCCCCCTTCGTATGCAGCTGCTGTTCAAACGTTTCACTTTGCGAGAATTATAGTTCTCATCAACCAGCCTTCAATGGGAGGTGTCGACGAATTCCGGATTCGGCAACGTAGCCTGGACGAAAGCGTAGACATGATCTGTGGCATTGCGATGGCACACCAAGGCAGAGAAATTCCAAGTGCCATGGTGAACTTCAAGTCCATCTATGCTGGTAAGCCCTATATCGTCACGCATGTTGTTTGAGATAATGCTTACACTATTCAGCTGGTTTATGCGTTCAAGAGCCCGTCAAGCAAACAGCTATCTTGAACCTCCTCGACCAGACGCTCGATGTCACCAAGTTCCCACCGAAGACACTACTCAACGATCTTACCAGCTATTGGAGGGCCGAAGCATGACCTTCCATCGATCGTACCGAATACAGCCATCCTATCTGAACCTTTCTCCACATATGCATGTCAATTTCTTATCGCTGCACCCATCGAACCGTATGCAACGGACTTTTGGCCCCTCGCTCTGGCTCCACTGTGATGCAGTGGTTCTATGAAGGTGGCCTCATCTGTACACAACTGCGAAAAAGCAAATCGGTGCAAAAGAACCACGTAGCGAGGCTATTGTGGGTCGGTGCGCAACGGAGAACGCCCTGAATTCGAGTGTACTTTCTCCACAAAAGTCACAATGTGGAGACCACTCAGCCGTGGCATAAATCCCTGCATCGTGGGGTAGAAGCGGGGTGCATGATAGAATACTCATCACCTTGTTCAGTCGAACGTGTGCCTCGTTACGAGGCACGTCGGCTGGGGCCCAGTGAGCCGGCCGACGTACCGTTCGCCTCTCTGCAACGTCATACCTGATCCTCGGCACGACCACCAATCAATGAGCCTGAGGGCTGCGGCTTCCCCGAACCAAACATGCCGCAGAGAAACAATACAACATCGGTTCCGAAACCGTTCCGATCGCGTGAACTCTATGCGCTCGATGTCTTTCAAGCTCTGCACATCAGTAAACATTTGAGACATTTCAAAGTGCATATTGTTACCATCCATCATGGCGGTCACCAAAGACAATCGAACACTAGCAATACTCAACGCCGCTGCAAAAGGCAACTATGGCGTCATGGCTGCAATCGCGTACGAAGCTACTGTAAACGTCGCTCACAATTCTGACTGTCTCCAGCTACAACGTTGAGCAATTGACAGCCCTTGTTCGCGCGGCAGAATCGAAGCGATCGCCCTTGATAATCCAGCTATTCCCATCGACCCTCAAGCAACTGCCCCTTCTCGCTCATGCGGCTGCGCATGCCGTGAAAACCGCAACAGTACCTCTATCTTTACACATCGACCACGCGCAGAATGTGGAGCACATCCGAGAGATCATCGCGACGCTACCGGTCGACTCAGTCATGGTTGACATGTCGCATTACGATGAAGCCGAGAATCTAGAGAAGACTCGGATACTGACCAAGGAGTGTCATGACAAGGGCATCGCTGTAGAAGCAGAGAGCGGGCGGATAGAAGGTGGCGAAGATGGTATCGCCGATACAGGAGATCTTGAAGGTATGCCTTCAGACTGCAGACGACCACCATAACGTCCCTCCGTTTCTGACTTTGCATAGCGCTCTTCACATCGCCTGAAGATGTCGACAACTTCATCAACGCCGGTATCGACATACTAGCCCCGTCGATCGGAAACGTACACGGCGATTACGGCCCCGCTGGTCCGAAGGAGGGACAACTACACTACGACCGCCTCGAAGCGATAGACAAGCAGATAAATAAGCGCGTCTTGGTCGCGTTACACGGCACCAATGACTTTCCTGCTGAAGTCATGCAGAGATGTATACGATCTGGCGCAATCAAGCTGAATGTCAACAAGCTTCTACTTGAGGTGGGGAATGAAGTGCTGAGGAAGCACGCACCAACTACTTCCCTAGCGAAGTTGATTGATATGCAGATAGAGGTCATACAGAAGGAGACGGAGAGGTGGATGGACATTTGTGGTAGTAGCGGCAAAGCCTGAACGGGGAATAGACCAACAACACATAACATTATGCTGCTACATCGACCGAGCGTATCTTACTCCCTCTATTGCACTGTACCGTGAGGTTTCCTGGCTCGATCCGGCGCCACCAGAGCAGATGCTGCAATGTCTTCGAGTTTCTGTGTTTAACGCTCAATGCTGAGATGTGCTGCCGAACTGATCGTTCGATGTCTCGAAACCGCAGGCAATGACGAATTCCCTTCACAATTATTTCGCGCCACAAAGACGCTCGTTCTGATTGATTTGTACGCAGGACTTTTAAGCACACCCTGGCAGATACACTGTCTGTATGAATGCGCATCTATAAGTAAAAGGCCTAGCAAATGTATTAAGTTCCATGTTCGAAGGGTTGTTGTCAAAATGATGTTCACCGTACCCAAAGCACCGCTTCGCATCACACAAGCAGATGACGCGCCGCATGTCCACCCACACCCAAGTGCGCGCTACAATGCTGCCATATGCAAAAGAAAGCAAAAAGTATACACGCCTGCAAAAAGAAGGTCTTGCCCGGAATCGAACCGGGGTTGCCGGAAAACTCTGATGTTAAGATCAGAATCCGGAGTGATAACCGCTACACTACAAAACCGATACAAAAACAAAATTTGGAAACAATATATTGTGTGACGTTTGAGGAAGGAGCGATGAGTGTGGGGGAAGGTGCGATGGGCGCAGAGTTTTCTGGTTGGCTGCAGTGGGGTAGAGCGAAAATCGGTATTTTTGCACATTGGTGAGGGGTAAATACGACCCTATCACCCAGACGCCGAAAATGCGGAACACCTCTTGGGAAGGTTTCCGTTCAGTCTGCTACAACGAGTATAACAGAAGAGGCATATGCATCGATAGGTTGCATAGGAGCCTACAATACTACTGAAAGCCACAACCCTTGTCACCCCTGGCCTTTGTAGACTGTAACGCAGCAGAAGGGGCTGACTGGGAAGCGTTTGATTTCTTCCTTGTAGCAAGTACATGTACTCTCGCCCGTTATAAACGCCAATACTCACGCAACGTAGTGCTGTTTGAAGTTGGCTACTCCCCTTTTCTCAAGCTTTATCTGATCGAAGAACATGTGAAGCATGACTCTATGTGTCGTTCTTCAAGAGCTCAACGATCCCTACAGAACATTCCATGACGACTACGTAGCTGCCGGGCTAGACCTTCTTCCTTCTCCGCCCAAAGCGCAACCGGTGTCCAAGCTGATAAGCCACTCTATTAGTTGGCTGAGGTCTGTAGTAGTTTTGTCGGTCAGCATCAGCCTGGAGCACTTCACAGTGTCATGAACTTTTGTCTCGAAGCTCATGGTATTGCAAGGACCTTCAGGCACACTTTTTCATCATACTTACCTGATCTGCATGTCTTGTAATCCATTGTAAACAGCAGGATCAATTCGCGTTATATGATATTAATGCCGTTCAAACTTATCCACCACAATCTTATATTATCGCGGACTATTGTACTTGAAAAAGACTCTGGTGTTCAAGTACAAGACATGGCACCTCGACGCTCATGACAGTGCCCAGCTGCAAGGCGCCATGGACAAGTTACTCCGGGAAGGAGAACTAACGCGCGAAATGACTCGATCACGAGAGCCGGCAGGAGCATTAGTTGTTCGGCGCCTCGTCCGAGCTCTATACCACGACGCCATCATTACAGGCACACCGAGCTGGAGTATGCTGCTGAACGATATCGCGATTGTCGTTCTCACCTCATGCTTCAGCTGCCGTGGTGGAGATCTTCTCGGTGATTCTATGAAGAATAAAGACAAGCGTCCGGATCTCCCTGGCCTGCGGTACTCCGACTTCGAATTCGTCGTTGGCGACGATGGTACGATCGATGACATAAAAACGAGGCAAAAGATGCGTAACGCAAGGGTTTGAAGTAAGCACTCTTCTCATCTGAACCTGTGTCGCAAATAAATACCAGACGCTTCAGGCGGTACTCTTGCATTGTTTCCGCAGCACCATAACCTCATGATCGCTTGCGATACTTCTTGGTCCAATCGCACTCTGGGTGTTAATCATATCGATAGGGACAATTAGAAGCTAACCATAACCATCCTTCTCTTACTGTCATCACTATCGGTAAAACTCTATTACAAGCCGCCTGCTTGCAGCATACACGGGAGGTAAGCGCCTTGTTTCTATACGTCTCAGTAGACCCTGGAGCACTTCACACATTCTCGCGCTTGACTTTGAGACCACAGAATACTGCGAGGACCTTTAGGCAAACTTTTCGTCATGCTTCCCTGAACTGCAGGTCTTACGTTCCGTATGAACAGTGGAATCAATCCGCATCGTTTAATATCGATGTCGTTCAGACTCCTCCACCCCAACCCAATAATAAGTACACTACTAGTCCCAGTACTGCATCCCAACCTAACGCTTTGACTGCATACCCGCCATTTCCTAAGGATCCCAAAATACCACCGAATGTGAGGTCCTTCCTCATCATTGCGGCATTTGCTACCGCGAAGCCCCCGGATACAGTAATGCACTTGACTACATCCGCGTCCCTCAGGCTCATGGTTGAGGAGTACGGAACTAATAAAACAGCGCGTGTTACAAGGATTAGTAAGCTGAATATGGAGTTGGATCGCAGAGCCGGAAGAGCGAGTAGAGCCGCATTGAGAAGAATGTTCGGAATTTGCAGTGTTGCTATCGGTTTGCGACGCTTAGGCGATGGACCGGTCTTAGCCACGTCGCTTGCAGCTGATGTGGGAGCTATATCCGGAGATGAAAGATGCAGCTGGATGAGGAAAAGTGAGACCGCGAAGGAGATGGGTAGGATCTGCCCGAGTAAGATGTACGTGCGCATCCTTGTGGTATCGTATCGGCGCGCTCTTGCTATATATAAGTTAGTATACCCCAATCTATGTGACTTTTTAATAGCTACCCTTCTGCCCCATGTATATGTTCCAGAACCATGTCGCTAAGATCGCAGCCTGAGTCCATACAGCGTTCGGCGCGTCTTTGACCAGATCCTGAGCAAAATCCTGGAATAGGGTTGACTCCAACATCCACCTCTTTAATTTTTCCACGCTGACATTACTGAGGGAGCGGCTCTTGTCCCCACTCCACTCTAAGTAGTGGGTAATTAGGAACATGAGCATATGGTAGGATAACGTTGCGAAACTCATGGAAGCGACAAACGCGTAGATATTAATGTGACGCGCTCGCGCCACCTTCGCTGCATCGAGTTTTTCATTGTCTGCCGTGCTAGACGCGTGAAATATAGATGTATATTGGGAGTATAGCGAGTAGGTAATCGTAATGGTCGCGTAAAGTGCTGCGACAATGTAGGAGAGGAAGATGGTGGTACCAATGTAGCTGTTGGGTGGTGTGGCATAGTATGCCAATGCATCATAACCGGGAATATCCATTTCGGCCGTCGAGATCGATTATAAGGTTTTGAACATTAGCAAGGAACATGTGCGATATGCGGGCTGTATATATTGTCCAGCCAGAGGTTTCAGAAGTGTGCGACGATGCCTGACGTCATGACACACTGGCTGTCTGAGAAACTGTTTTACAGGCAACAGAAATTCGGCGACGCAGACGTTTCTGCGACTCTCCTCCTCGATCAACCAACGTAAAACCACCAAGAACTGCTTAATCTCCTACGTACAAGCTTTAGGAATCATCGTTGAAGCCGCTCGTCGCACTGCTCACATTCGTGTCACCTTCCAGACTCCAGGGTTCCCAGCCTCGTTAGATCGACTTCTTGCGTCACGACGCAGCGCACAACACCAGCTATACTACTCTACGTGCTACACAACCACCGTCTATATAAATTCGGTACTCGAGAACTATCACGATTGCGGTGCGATAGTTTTGGCATCAGAACTGTTTTGACAACGCGTTGAGAAATTGCTTATGTGCGCATTGCATCACTACCCACTATATCTATTGAGAAGAGAACCCCGGCGGTTCTCGGAGCGCGAATGAATCTGTAAGGGTTGCGATGTTGGATGCAAAGACTAATGACTCGACGCCTTGGTGAAGCGAATAACATGATTCGTAAGTATGCTACAGAACCACGGGCTCGTCAACAGGGAGGTCTTAGTGCATGCTATGGCTGGAGTCATCGATGCTCAACACCATAACTCGGGTCCAGGGATCCAGCAGTATCCATAATGGTGCCAACCCCGCAGTTTGTGACTCATGTACAACTGCAGTGGGAGTACGAGTGACATCACGTGCTCTTCCAATAGGAGGTCCAGGTTACTATGCAAGTACCTACTTGGGAAGATGCAGCGGGAATTATACCCACAGTTTCTGCCAAGATATATCAGGCAACAACCGACAAGACGAGGTATATCAGGGGCCTGTCGTCCGTTTTCTAGCTGAATCACATCTTCACACTTTTTCGTGTTAACCTATCCCCACCTAGTCTCTGCCAGATCAGACTAGAGTAAAGACACAGCCACAACCATGTCTTCTCGCTACCGCTCTTCCCGCCATGTCTGTGGCTGTTATGTATACCATTCCGAGACATCTGAGCGGACTTACCTTCCTCAGGTCAAACTTGATGCTCATACAACGATACTTTCAACGGCCGCCCGCACCGTGCTGACGCAGACATTCGTCAACCATTCGAGAGATGCATTGAATGAGGTCCGGTTCGTGTCTACCCATAGCTGATGTGCACGCCACTTTGACAAGGCCACCCATTGACATTAAACAGATATGCGTTTCCGTTATTCGACGGCGTGAGTGTTGTTGAGTTCTTCTGCCAGATCGGCGAGCGCACCATTTACGGTCTAGTGAAAGAGAAGAACGAAGCCAGGAAAACCTACGAGGAGGCCAAGGAGCGTGGCGAAAGCGCAGCACTACTTGAGCAACTGCCTGACGCGGCGGATGTTTTCACAACTGCTATCAGCAATATTCCAAACGGCGCATCTGTACAAGTATCCATCAAGTACGTGCAGGAATTGAAGCACGATGCTGAAGTCGATGGTATTCGTCTCACCATCCCCTCGTCGATCTCGCCTCGTTACGGATACTACCCAGGGAAGCTTCAAGAAACCTCAGCAGAGATTGATTCCAAAGGAATCTCGATAACAGTGGATGTGAACATGGCGCAAGGGATTCCCATCAAGAAGGTCATTTCCCCATCACATCCCATCGAAGTTACCCTCGGATCGCTATCAACCAGTACTAACGACGAAGATGCTTCAATTTCGAGGGGTTCTGCCACACTCGCCTTGGGCACCACCGAACTAGACAAGGACTTTGTCTTGCAGGTGGTTGCGAAAGACGTTGGTATACCTCAGGCGATCCTCGAAACACACCCGACTCTCCCCAATCAGCGCGCGTTGATGACGACATTGGTACCCAAATTTAACATCAAGTCGCAAAAGCCCGAGGTTGTATTCATTGCAGATCGTTCTGGTAGCATGGAAGGCCATATTCCCACTTTGAAGTCGGCGCTCAAAGTGTTCTTGAAGTCGATTCCCATCGGCTGTTCATTCAATATCTGCTCATTTGGAAGCAGCCACTCATTTCTTTGGCCGGAGAGCCGGATGTATGACCAGGATACACTTACGGAGGCTATCCGACACGTCGAAACATTTAGGGCAGATTTTGGTGGTACAGAGACTCTCACTGCGGTTAAGGCATGTTTTGAAGCTCGCGATACTGGACTTCAAACCGAGCTCATGCTGCTTACTGACGGCGACATATGGTCCCAAGAACGGTTGTTCAACTACGTATCCGAGAACACGAAAGGTGGCGACGTCCGTGTATTCCCTATTGGAATCGGTAGTGGCGTTTCTAGTGCGCTGATCGAAGGCGTTGCGAGAGCAGGGAGAGGTTTCGCTCAGATGGTTGCCGACAGCGAAAAGCTGGACAGCAAGATCGTCCGGATGCTTAAGGGTGCACTCACGCCTCATATTAAAGACTACCGTCTCGAAGTCAAATACGAAGACGGCAGCGTTGAATCCGTCGCTGACAGCCTCCGTGTGAAACTCAGTATTGCAGGGGAACCAGAAAGCAAAGCTGCTGTCTCTGAAGCGAAGCCAATCTCGCTTTACGACCCTGACGTCCAAGAAGAGCATCCTAAGGATGGTGAGCCAAAGAACGTCTTCGCAGGTCTACCGGAACTCAAGCGCCCAAACCTTTTGCAAACACCTCATGAAATACCATCATTGTTCCCGTTCAACCGTACCTGCGTCTATCTTATCATGTCCCCAGAGTCATCGCATCTGCAGCCAAAGAGCGTGGTACTTAGAGGTACCTCACCTCAAGGCCCGCTAGAGCTTGAGATCCCGGTCGAAGTGAGAAAGGACGCCGATCAGATGATTCATCAGTTGGCAGCTCGCAAGGCAACACAAGAACTTGAAGAAGGCCACGGTTGGCTATCCGAGGCTACTGTTGACGATGCAGGCGTACTGGTCAAAGACAAACATCGCACCCAGTTCCCTCTGCTCCAGCGACGTGAGGCTGTCCGTCTCGGAGTTGAGTATCAGGTTGGCGGCAAACACTGCTCGTTCGTAGCCGTAGAAGCCAATGAGGCCGAGATTGTAGAGAAGCGGAAGAAAGTACTAGAAGCGACACTGAGTCGGGATGACAAGAAAAATGACAACGACTGGGAGGTATTGGAAGACGGTAAGTACGCCTCTATCCAAATGTGCTCCATGCCCGCCTCTGCGAATGCAAGCGCACGAACCGGTGGGGTTCGTCGGCAGCTCGCCAGTAAGGCAGCCCGTAAGTCTGCTCCATCTTCGGCCGGTGGGGTCAAAAAGCCTCCACGGAAGAGGCGCTCGACTTCTACAAGAGACCCTTGGACCACGAAGAAGCGTAAGCGTACTAACAAGCCTACAGCTTCGTCGGGTGGTTTCACAGCATACGGCGGGTCTCCTTTTGGTGCCCCAGAAGAGTTTAGTGCACGCGCTTCTGTAAGCCAGAGCAGCACTGGGTTCTTTGGCGTAGCCTCTCGTGGTGGAAGAGGTTTGGGTCGAGGCGGTGCAATGCGTCACCGAAAAGTTCCTCAAGCTGAAATCGCAGATCCTACCATCGAAGATGCCGATTTTTTTGGTCTGGACATGGAAGAGAAGGAAGAGTCAGATGAAGACATGGGTTTTGCCCTTATGGACAGCCCTGTGTCTCCCCAAAGTCCAGGTAAAAAATCACGTAACCGTAGGCAAGATCGTGCTAACAGATCAGCGTACTCGCCAACATCGCCGTCCTCACCCAACAGCAAAAGGCAAAAAACTGAAGAAGAAACTGGTAAGTGAATGGCTACTCACATTCGCTTTTCCCATATACTGACATTGTCCCAGGCACCCTTCTTCAACGCCTCATCGCGCGTCAGTCTTTCGAAGGCTCGTGGGCAGCTATCGACAAGCTTCCTCACGATGAGATGAAGCTTGATCACGATGCTGCTAGCAAAGCGATCGCCGAGCTCACTGAGACGAATGCTGACCAGGTCTTGGCTACTGCGACTGTAGTTATGTTCTTAGAGAAGAAGATGCAGGATGAAGAAGAAACTTGGGAGTTGGTTGTTGAGAAGGCGCGCGCCTGGCTTGAGAATGAAGTGTCGGAGGATGTTCTGGCTCAGGTATGGAAGTTGGCTGGGGGCATCGTTGGGTAAAACTGAGTGAACCGATATATCTTGATGGTAAGAGAGCCACCCTGCGGGGGAAGGCGCCTAAGCAAAGACTGGAAATGGAAAGAAAGGTATCACACTTGTGATTGAGAATTCGCTGTCGCCCTAGGCACGAGCGAATGATATGTGCGCTCAATCATCAATGATGCCAATTTCGCATAGCAATGAATCAGAATCCGTGTCATTCAATAGTCTATAGTCTTTTTGATCGCATCGTAAACCCCTGGGAGCGTCAGCGGAAGAGAGCATGCAAACGTCAATAAATCGAGACTTACTGGTAACATCCGGAATGACAAACTGCTCAAACATGAGTCCGGTATGTGTTGCCCACCCTGTCACCCTCTTCACAGGCGCTTCTAGTCTGAGAAATGCCTTTTCCTGGATTGTAGCAGCGACCTCGGCACCTACACCCGCGTTCATCATGCTCTCATGCACTACAATCGCTCTTCCAGTCTTCTTCACGCTTTCTAGGACCGTCTCTCGGTCCCATGGGTATATCGTCCGGAGATCTATCAGCTCAACACTGCATCCGAAATCCTTCTCTGCAGCTGCTATCGCTGCTGAGCATGTGTATAGGGGTGTGCCGTATGAGACTATTGTCACATCCTTGCCCGTCTTGAGGACTTCAGCCTTGTCTAGTGGGAGGTAGAATGCGTCGACAGGGACGTGCTCAACGGCTGCACGATATAGTATCTTGGGCTCCATAAACACGACAGGGTCCTGGCAACGTATCGCAGAAAGGAGGAGTCCTTTGGCTTGAACGGGCGAGCGAGGTATTACGACGCGCAGACCGGGTGTGTGAGTGAAGAGGGCCTCTGGAGATTGCGTGTGATAGCTAATGACGTGTCAGTAGATCTCCACATGGAGGTTTTGGTGTCTTACAGAGCGCCATGTCCGACACTGCCTGATGGCATGCGGATGACTAGCCCTCCACAGTTCACACCCGTGCTCCCCGACCGGTATCTGTACTTGGCCGCCTCATTGTGTATTTGGTCAAACGCCGGGAAGACATAGTCTGCGAATTGAACTTCCGCTACAGGCTTCATGCCCTCTGCAGCTGCTCCAATAGCAAATCCCACAAGCCCCTGCTCGCTCAAGGGAGTGTTGAAGACGCGTTCTGTGCCAAAGTCTCCGGCCAGATTCATGGTACACCGGAAAACACCTCCAAACTGCACGTCTTCTCCAAACACCATGACGCGTTCGTCGGTTTGCAAGGCATATCGCAAGGCTTCATTGATGGCGGTGTAGAGGTTTATACGCTTTGTTTGGCCCTTTTGTATCTCTGCAGAAAACTCGGGGTTGGAGAGGGACGATTTGGCGGTGTGGTGGAGGATGGGCGTTGTATCGTACTCTACTGTACCATTAAGGCGTGCACCAGGTGCTGCAGCCGAGTATTGTTTGCGTTGGAGATGGTGTTGACAGCGGGGTCGAAGTGGTGCTTGTGGGCGTAGTAGATAGCGCGACAATGCGCGGATTGAAGGGGTTCTAGCAGCCATGTCTATAGAAACGAAAGCAACAAGTTCATCCAAAACTCGCGAAAAGATACATGCAATAAAGACATGCTGGGCACAAACATGTAAGCCGACGGTTGTGCGGTTGTATGTCGCGGCTACCTACGGCTCTCCAGGTTTCAACGCTGCGGAGTTAAGCGCGCATGCGCCCGGAGAAGAAGGTGCCACACAGCACGTGATTGAGGTCCTGCCAAGGCTAGAGCTGCTGCACAATGACGATGGACGCCCTGATGGTTCCCACGGCAGGTGGAGACTAGCGTACGCATCTTTCGATATTTTGTGGCTGACCTCTTTCATCATTGCTGGCGTTTGAGGCGCAGAGTATCGTGCATGCAGTTTATATGAGCAGCATTACCCAACAGGGCCAGGTACATGCCTGTGGGAAGCACGGCACAGTGTTTGTGCTTGGCGGCTTGTTGTGAGACTGGGGAAAGCAATTAGAGACTAGTACGATGAAGCTCGAACCGGGGTTTATTGATGCCGGCCCCCTCGAGCACACCGAGGACGCGCACGCATGCTGTGTCGAGGCAGATGTCGTTGAGTGACGCGATGGCAGACTGCTGATTCACCCGGGTACACGGTCTGCGACGAAAGCGTAGAGGACTGGCGCATCCATAATACGCGCGCCTTTGTCCACTTTGAGGCTGCATCTTACGTCTAGATGCACTGACCGTGCGCAGACCCACCAAACCGCTGCTTCCGCATCATTATTTGCGCGCCCACCACAGACCTTGGATTCCACCTCCTTCGCCTAATCCATCTCCTCTATACGGAGACTTTCTTCATCTTTCCGCACTCGGGTGCTCGCCCTGGCCATGAGCGCCTCTCCTTCTCGCGCGGCCGCCAATGGCTCTTCGCTGCGCATTGCTCGACTCGCCTTCCTCGGCCTCTTCCACGCCTTCGCGCCCGTCGTGACCGCGTTGCCCATGCCTTTTGGCGATGTCGTCAAGGCATTCAAGGACGCCGACGAGGACCTCCCCAAGGACTCCAGCGACCCCCAGCTCTGGCTCTACCTGGGTATTGCCATCGCACTTGTTTTGGCCGGTGGTGTGTTTGCGGGTCTGACCATTGCGTGAGTACATCACGGTTCCGCCATTGTGCAACAACGCGCTAACAGCTACCCTCCAGCTTGATGGGCCAAGACGAGATCTATCTCCAGGTCCTGGCTTCCTCCGGCGAGAAGCACGAACGCAAGAACGCCAAGAAGGTCCTGAAGCTGCTTGAGCGAGGCAAGCATTGGGTCCTGGTGACGCTACTCCTGAGCAATGTCATCACAAACGAGACGCTTCCCATTGTGCTGGACAGGTCGCTCGGTGGAGGATGGCCTGCCGTCGTCAGCTCTACCGTTCTCATTGGTACGCGCATTCGCTCCCAGCTACTTTGGTCACGTCTAACCCGTCTCAGTCATCTTCGGCGAAGTCGTCCCCCAGTCCATATGTGTGCGCTACGGTCTGCCAATTGGCGCTGCCATGGCACCCATCGTCCTCGCTCTGATGTACGTCATGGGCGTAATTGCCTGGCCGACTGCCAAACTCCTCGACTACCTCCTCGGCGAAGACCACGGTACCGTTTACAAAAAGGGCGGATTGAAGACGCTCGTCAGCTTGCACCAGTCGCTCGGACTTGAGCATGAACGCCTGAACGAGGATGAAGTTACCATCATCACCGCTGTGCTGGATCTCAAGGCCAAGGCTGTTGGCAACATCATGACGCCAATGAAGGACGTCTTCACCATGTCGTCTGACACCGTTCTGGACGAGAAGATGATGGACAACATCCTGTCTGCTGGCTATTCCCGTATTCCCATCCACACACCCGAGAACGAGAATAATTTCGTCGGTATGCTCCTGGTCAAGATGCTCATCACCTACGACCCAGAGGATGCTTTACGTGTGCGCGATTTCGCTTTGGCTACTCTTCCTGAAACGCGTCCCGAGACGAGCTGCTTGGACATTCTCAACTTCTTCCAAGAGGGCAAGTCCCACATGGTGCTAGTCTCCGAATTCCCAGCTGAGGCCCGCGGCGCCGTGGGTGTCGTCACGCTCGAAGACGTTATCGAAGAATTGATTGGAGAGTAAGCAGTACAACCTCTCAAACCCCGAATCGCTACTAACAAAACTAGGGAAATCATTGACGAATCCGACGTCTTCATCGATGTTCACAAGGCAATTCGTCGCATGGCTCCCGCTCCTCGTGCCCGCGTTCCCCGAGGCAAGGTCATCACCGATATCTCTCGCAAGCCGTCAGAAGCGCAAGCTGTAGACACCGAAACAGATTCGGAACAGAACGGCAAGCCGTCTCTACGCAAGACGTCTTTGCCCGAGATGCCTGAAGGTCACCCCAAGCCCTCCTTCCTGATCCGTCGCCGCAGCAGTGGCAGCAAGGGAGGCGCCTCGCCGCTTCGCAGTGATGATCCAAGCGTCATGCAACACCTCAAACATCTCGGTCCTTCGAACGCTGCCACCAGGCCCAAACAGACTCGCATCAACACGGTTAAGATCAAGCCTGGCCAGACAACCCTGACGCCTGATATTCCCAAGACCATACCAGAAGATGCTCAAGCCCCAACCGAAACAACACGAACCGAGGGTGTGATAACCCAGGATTCTCATGCGCCCGAAGGTGGCATTGGCGAAGGCTTGTTAGCCTCAGCGGGTCGCGAGGCCAGTGACGGCGTTCACAGTGTAGCAGTGGGATATGGTACCATGGCTCCAAGTGGCGATCGCATGTCCTGGAGATCAGGTCGCTCTGGTACACGGGAACATGAGGAAGAACCTACGTCTCCGAAGGGTGGTGCTAACGAAGACGACGAGAATACTCATCTACTTGTCGATAATCGCAACAACGAAAACGGCAGTTCAAGAGGACGGTCACACTCCGTTAGTACCATTGCCTCTCTACGCTCTATCCGCTCGCGTTCGAACAGTCCGCTGAAGAAGCGACATACCGCTCGAAGTGGTAGCATCTCTGAGAACGTCGTAGACTTCAACGGTATCAAGAAGGTTGTCTTGGAGACCACAAGTTCTAGTGACTCCGAGGACAAGGCCAACGGTAGCCAAGCTGATGGTAACGACGACCAAAAGCATTCGGAGGCCGAGTCCTCGCATGCAGGAGGCAAAGGTTCGAGCAAAAAGAAGAGGAAGAAGCGAGGCAAGAAGAAGAAGGGTGGTGCTGGAGACAGCAGCGAATCACAGCCTTTGCTCGGTGATAACTAACCTTATCACCCGTCAAGAGCATGTTGTTAACGCGTGCTCTGCAGAGGTCTTGAGCGAAATCGGTGCGAATGCGAGTGCGAAGTTTCTGAGTCATTTCGAGTCTGATAAAACTAATTGACATGCATCGGCGCCTTCTTGTTTGCCTTGAAAGTTCAAATGGGAAACGTATGAAAATGATGGGCATTGTTAGGACAGGAAATATCTTCGCGACTGTATTATAAAAAAGGTGCCTTGTTTTTTGGACGATGGGTAGTCGTCTTGCGGGCTTGGAATGTATTTGTATAAGCTCAAAAACCTGAATTCATTCTCTCATCATTGCGACCTAACTTCTTGTTCTTGTAGTCTCATTAATCTGACCAAGGATCATACCCTGTGTCTGGATGTGGCCATCCAAGATCTTCCGCAACATCGGACCATCTTAACATTTCGTCTTCATGATTAGTATAACAACCAAAACATAAATGTGGTGGATGCTGCCTTCGTGATACAACGTCAACTGTAGTCTTCTGTTTTCCCTTCCTCTTCCTTTGGGAATAGTGCTCGTTCCGCTGCTTCCCTCCCCATCGACTCAGTGCGTCTGGATGGTTCACACACCACAAGACCATTTCTCGTGCCGCGAACGCATCTTCCACGGAGTCATGTCCCAGTTTCTTATCGGTCTGTACCTTGATATTGAGGAGCTGGTCACATAGATCCTTGAGGCCTCGTCTTTTCCTAACTTTAGGTCCAACGGCTTCAGATGTCAATATTGCTGAGTCAACAACTCGTTGATGCTGAATTCCCAACGCGATGAGATCGAAGTGCAATGATTGGCCGATCAAGACAGTCTCAGTGTCAATGTATTCGAATAATGCAGCGCGTGCTTCCGGCCAACCCTGTAATGCCTTTCCAAGGGAGACGGCTGTGCTCATAGCTTCTTTGGTGATTCCACTGAATTTTGTACGCCAGTCTGTGACGGACTGCGTCGGCTGAACTAGAGTATTGATGAGGATCTCGCCTGTGAGATAGTCAATTGCTGAGATGCGCGCTACCTCCGACTCGTTCTTATCGCCTACGCCTACCATTTCGCAATCTAGCGCGATGGCGGTGCGTTTCGAGATCCCCCAGTGGTAAGCAGAAGCCTTCAAAGGGGCGAGAACCGCATCTTTTCCTATCAAGTTGATTCGATCGGTATATAAAGTGTATCCGTTGGCTTTGAGAACTGCAGGCGGGTGACAGCGTAACCGGAGCGCGGTAAGTGCATTGTACTGTTGCTGCTCCGGGATAACCGTCCACTTTTCAGTTGCCTTCGCTTTGCGTGTTGGTGCTCTCGATTTTCCGCCCGCTAGATTCTGTGGCATGAATTCAACGAAAGCCGGCTCTTCAACGAATTTGCCCCGCTTGGATGCTTCTGACGCACTAGGAGATTCCCTGATAACGGACTGTTGAGGTGCGCTTATGTGAAGGGATGACCCAAGCTTCGAAGTAAGAGAGTCCAAAGCCGTTGACGTTTTAGCGACTACGACAGGAGCTGTTAACTTGACGTCCTCTTCTAAAATTGTGCCTGGGGTATTGGATGTGTTCGGATATATCTTGCTTGAGCCATCTGGAGACGGTGGCACGTGCCTGTTTGTACTGATGTTTTGTAACGGTGTGCCCCTCTTGCGAGCATGGGCAGGGGATTCCAAGTGCAATCCAAGTGCGCGACGGTCTGGAAAAGTTTGGGTGCAGCCAGTCTCCGTGCAAGGTACCAATATGTTTCTGATTGTAGTCGATACACTAGTAGTAGTGGCACTGGCAGTAATAGAAGCGTCGTGTTTGGAGCGAGAATGATCCGTCAGAGCAGTGGCTTTGGCGAATGACTGATTGCAAGATGAACATGGGAATGCTTCAAGAGTCCGGTTGCTGCTCTTCTTTTTCGCCATTGTGGCAGGACTAGTTTGTTGTAATCAGAATTTAACGTTTAGTTGCGTAGCTGGACTTTCGTGAAGTGTCAAAGACTATCTGGGATGCGACGGCAGGCCGGTCAGTTAGTAATGGCACCCCACGCCTCCATGCTGTGTAACCATGGAGGACGACGTGCATCCAACTCCACCCACTCAGTGCTCGCCACGTCGAGCTGTAGAGGATGCATGGTATCTTTTGCTCGAGACTTTCTGATATATACATTAGGTAGGCCACATTTCGCATGTGCGGGCGATTCTTGTCAATCTGCAAGCGAATACAGCAGTTCCTGGTGAATAAGTGATGCAGCTCTGCTCATACTGCTGCAATGGCGCTGCATATGGTGGCCATCCGAGTCAGATATACTCAGAAGTTGCTGGCATCTGAAAGGTTCCTAGGCATCGATGTAAATCCAGCTTTGTACATTTACGTCATGCCTAAATAGAAGGGCGCCGCGACGCACTCTAGGATGCCATGCCGGATAAGGAAAGGTTCGGAACGACAGGTCTGCGGACGCCCGCGTTGATCAAACCCTCGATAACTGTTTGAATTCATTCACCATCACCATCGTCTTTGGCCGAAGAAAGTTCTTACCAAGACAACCACGAAGTAACCCCACATTCTAGTTCTCGATGTAGAAGAGATCGTTGTATCCTACCCCGCATGTCTGTCGTCAGCTCGAAGCCCCGCGTAAGGCGGACAAGTGTGCGACAAGGCGCCCTACAGCAGAGCGATCCATACCCAAATCTTGCGATGACAAGACGCCACCGGTGATATCTCAGCAATTGCTAAGTCTTTAGAGAGTGTTCATGTCAACCAGCAGGGATATCGTGGGTGTCCTGAAGTTGAGGTTTTGCTTATCGTATCTATATAGAGAGCGACTTCCCCTTCGAATCTCGTGCTATATTGCAAGCCTATGTTACGCGAGTATGCTCTCCATAACGCCTCTATCTCTATCTGTTTTCATTGCATACGTCGGCTACATTACGATTTACAGAATCTTCTTCCATCCCTTACGCAGCGTCCCCGGTCCGTTCCTGGCACGCTTTAGCAAATTATGGCTTGTCTGGCATGTTCGAAAAGGCAAATCGCACATCCAATTCCCTAAATTGCACGCCCAGTTTGGACCTATAGTACGCATTGCACCCAATCAAGTCCTAGTATGCGAGGAAGATGCTGTCAAAACTGTTTATGGAGCGGGAACATCATTTACGAAGGGAGATTGGTATCAGATGTGTGCCGCACCGGACAAGAACTGGAAGCCCGTTGATGAAGTCCTCGATCTGTTAACGGAAACGAATATGGAGAAGTATCGCAGGCAAAGAAGAGCCATCGGCCCAGCTTACAGTATCACGGGGCTAGAGAAGCATGAAGGGCTGCTTGATGCTTACATCGATAAATTCGTTGCCAAATTAGAAGATCTGAGGGGGAAAGAGATGGGCCTGGCAAATTGGGGACACATCTTCGCCTTGGACTCTATGAGCCAATTTACTCTAGGAAAGAGCCCTGGGTACACAGACAAAGGCAGTGACGATGGAAACGAGGACGCCAGCCATGCGCTTTGGCAATGCTTTACAGTTATTGGTCTCTTTCCCGGGTTCGTGAAGCTGATGCACAGCATACCGAAAGTTGGTATGTTGCTTATCCTACCCATGTCCCTACTCCTAGGCATCAGGATCCCGAAGATATGGCCCGTGTTCAACTTCTGCAGCCCAAGCATCATGCAAAGATTGAGAACACTAGAGAGCATGAAGGATGTGGAGCTACCCGCCAGCCGCCCTGGTTTCCCCCAAGAGTGTGGAAAGGACGTGGGTGTACCGGAACAGAAAGGAGAGAGCATCGAAGAGACGGACATGCTGGCTACTCTGATGCGTCTCCATAACGATAGAGAGGCGCGCTTTCCTCCTTCATGGGTCCTCTCAATTGCTCTTACCAATTTTGGTGCTGGGCACGACACGCTGATGTTCACGCTTTCTTCGGCCATTTACCATACGTATACGTCGCCTTCAATCCTTGCCCGGTTACGCAAAGACATGGAAAGCCAGGGCGTTACACGGAATAGCACATATTCTGACACCGTCACCAGAGTACCATTGCTCCTTGCTGTTCTGAAGGAAAGTATGAGGCTCTGGCCTACGATCGGGTGGTACCTTCCTCGCCTCGTGCCCGCTACAGGAGTTATGCTGTGCGACACTGATCTTCCTCCGGGTACCACTGTGGGAACAAGCCTCTGGACTTCGCACTTCGGCTCCGAAGTCTTCGCAGAGCCCCACAAATTTGATCCGGATAGGTGGCTACTCGATGGCACCGAGGAGAAGAGAAGAAAAATTGGCAGAATGGACAGCGTATGGATGGGCTTCGGAGGCAGAAGCAGAAGCTGTCCGGGACAGCATCTTGCGAGGTTGTTCGTCATCAAAGCGCTAGCTAGACTAGTCATGAGCTGTGATGTTGAGGTGAACGGAGAGCCGGAGATTGGGGGCTGGTTTCAGTGCACGTTGACGGGCGTAGGTATCAGTGTCAAGGAGAGGAAGTTGAAGTGATGGGCTTTGTAAGTAAGCCAGGTCTGGAAGAAGAGAGCACGGAGAATTTGTAACGCTGAAAAGGGGAAAGTGGAGCAGTGGATGTCTCGCCTTTTCGACTTTGTAATGTTTACTCATCCATCATCTCGGTTGAAAGTGCGCAACTCCAATTCATTGCAAAACGACTGCTTCAGTATGTTCCAAGCTTAGTAGTATGAATTATTCAAACAATGATATGGTAAAGAGCCTCTTTGCATCGCATGAAGAGTATCTGCTTCTATTTCTAGATTTGCGGTGTGAGATCGATATGCGATTTCCCCAGATCTCGCTTCACTAGCGGCGGGAGTTCCTTGCGCTAGAATCCACCATGTTGGCTGGATGCAGACGTCATGACTATGAACGCCGCGAATTGGCCGCCGGGACGTCACAGCTGTCATAGCTCCATTTTTCTTTTGAGAGAACTTATGTGAAGAGTGTGATCGAGCCCTTGTCGATTCAAACATATCATTGCCATTGACCTCCACTTCCAACCCCAAAATCTATAACATTCCGGTTTCCCATCAACAACTCTCTACACACAATGGCTAGCCGAACCTTCACACCAATGCTCCGCCAGGCGGTCCGCGTCTCGCAGCGAAATGCCATGGCGGCACCGTGCCGTCGCTTCCTAAACACCGAGACAGCACCGAGCCTCTACACAGCAAAGGCTCACGTTGTTGGTGCGCGTACAGGGTATGCTGAACATTACATTCGAATATGGAACATTCGGCTGACACCTTTCCAGACATGTAGACGGCGAGAACCTCAAGGTCGACCTGACAATGGCCAAAGCCCTTGGCGGCTCCGGAGATGCCGGAAAGACCAACCCTGAGGAGCTTTTCGCGGCTGGCTACGGTGCATGCTGTACGTGCCCGCCCCCTGCTTGTTTTTAACGAATCGACTGACTTGAATCAAGTCCAATCCGCCATGAACGCCGTTGCCCCCTCCGTCGGCGTAAAGATGCCCACCAAGACCGAAGACTCCATCGTTGAATCGACCGTAGAACTTGTCGGTAGCATGAAGGATCTGGACATGGGATTGCGCGTCCAACTCCTCGTCAAGGTACGCGGATTGGCGAAGGAGGACTTGGAGAAGGTTGTATACAAGGCGAGGCAGGTTTGCCCGTACAGCCGGGCGACCAAGGACAATGTGTACACCACTGTTAGGTGCGAGACCATGTAAAGGACTCATGGCTGCATAGCATTGCATCAGTTCAATGTAAAAGAATAGATTAATAATCCTTTTCAGAGACGGTTCTCTTGCGCTGTCTCGACAACAGCAGCTAACATGCCTTCCGCAACATCTTCTCCATCTTCTGCTTCTGTGACCCATGTTACTCGGCCACTTCGTGGACTGCGTACTTCTAACTCCATCTTCATTTGCTGCACTACGCAGATTACGTCTCCTTCTTTCACTACGTCACCCTCGTCAATCAAGACTTCGACGAGCTTTCCAGGGAACGGGATACTGATATGCGATGGATCAGATGGGTTGCCACGTCTATGATGTGACGTGGCTGCTGAAGCGCTGGCAGATGTTGAGGAAAGGGTTATGGTATATGGTGTTGTTTGAGGATTGGCTGAGGAAGCACCAGAAGGAGTTGTAAAGAGCAGTTCCGCGCTTAGTGAGGTTGGGAAATCGTTTCGTAGGACGCGTGTTAACTCAAGGTGATGGGGTGGTGGTTTCTCATTTGCTTTGGTAGCTGGGGAAGATATGGCTATGGACCAGGCATCGCCTTTTCGGAAGAGAGTGTTGGCTGTCGAAACCGATGCAGTTGAAGAAGATGTCGTGATGTCTGGGCCAATAGTGTTAGGATGGGCTTCGGAGATGCGTTGGGTCGATCGAAGCAGTTCCTCCTGTTTACTTTCTAGCCATTGCGTATCGCATTGACCATCCAGAAAATCCGAATGTGCGACGATAGCTTTCAGCATGTCAAGATTTGTCTTGACTCCTGCGATACGAGTATCTTCTAGAGCCCTCTGCGCTTTACGGACCACGTCTTTCCACGATGATGCTGTTACAATGACTTTGGCGACTAGACTATCAAAATCTGCTGACACTACAGCAGGTCGACCACTGATGAGGTGTGTGTCAACCCGAATGCCGTTGCCTGAAGGAAATTGGAAGGATATGATCTTGCCAATCGATAAAGACCAGTCGTTCTGAACATTCTCCGCAGTGATGCGCAGTTGTATAGAGTGTGCAGGGGGCGGGACTTCTGGGCTACTTGGAGCTACTGGTAGGCCACACTGGGTGAGGGAAGCGCCTTGCGCGAGCAGCAATTGTGCTTTGACGATATCGGTCATAGAAATGGACTCGGTGATTGTATGCTCCACCTGCAACCGCGGATTGACTTCCAGAAAGTAGTACTCTTCTGTTGCTGGGTTCACGAGGAACTCAAAAGTACCAAGTGAGACGTAGTGTATCTACGCAGAGATTAGCGAAGTAGGCTTGGAGCGGGCCGTGATACTAACATGTCTGGCCATTCTCAACGCATCTTCAATCACCTTGGCAATCAGCTTGCGATCAGAAACGATACTTGGTGCCAGCTCAATGATCTTTTGGTATCGTCTCTGAATGCTGCACTCGCGTTCCCAAAGGTGTGTTACAGTCCCACTGCCGTCTCCAATGATCTGAACTTCGATGTGCCGAAAATCTTCGACTGCAGCTTTCTCCGCAAATACTTGCTTAGAAGGGCTCTCTTCGACTGCTCTTTTGAATAAAGCAGGTAGCTGGTCTTTGCTGCGAATCAGACGGATGCCTCGCCCACCGCCTCCATCCACTGCTTTGACCATGATTGGGAAACCCACATGTGATGCAAAGCGCTCGACGTCTTCGACATTGTTAGTCGGTTGCTGGAGAGCTGGAGACACAGGGACATTGCCTGTCCTGGGGTTAGTAATCGCCCAATCTGCATATGCTATAGGTCCTACATTGTTCTGCAAGCTGCCTTGCCTTGAGCTTGTCTCCAGTACTACTCAAGATACCCCATCCAGGACCCACCACTACAGCGCCAGCTTCTTTCCAAACTCTTTTCGAGAAGTCTTCCGACTCTGATAGGAATCCATAGCCTGGATGCACAGCATCGATTTCGTAATGTTTGATGATTTCGATAAGACCATCAATATTCATAAAGGTCGAGGCTGATGGTAGCTTGATTGCGTGGTTTGCTCGTACAGCGTGCGAATCATCGCCCGATACGTAGATGGCATGCGTCTCAATCTCGAGTTCGCGAGCAGAAGAGATGATGCGCGTTGCTATTTCTCCTCTTCAAGATATGTATTAGCTTAGCTTTCCATGATTCGGAACTGCTACTGACCTATTCGCGACAAGGAGTCGCTCTATGGGTCTTCGCGGTGGTTGCGTCATTTCCATTGTCCACTCAAATTACGGAATATTCAGATATTATGCAGTGAAGTCGCTCAATGTTACTATTGTCTGTGAGATGACTCGAAAGGGCGAGTCGCGGAATGGCACCAGGCAGAAATAGGCTTTGTATCGTCAACGAGGCCTCCTTGACATGAATGGTCCACCTAGATCCAACTTGATAGCAAAAGATTTATCGGGGATCCGATTCGACATGGATAATGACATGTTTGCGGTACAGGCGGGATGCAATGGGTGAAGGTAAACGCGGGGAGCTTGAAGATGCCTCGGTTTACCAGACCTACCCCAACATTCTACCACGACCATTCCAACTTGGTCCGGATCATCGCGATGTGACGATTCCACTGTCGCTCCATCTCTGGGGCTTAAAGACACGCTTCTTTACACGCGGTATCTATCGCAATGGCCGGTGACGACCAAAAGGCCGCGTCGAAAGACGCGCCGACGTCATCCGAGACGGCCAAAGACCGACTCGCCCAAGTCAGCTCGCACATGGCCCCGAAGACGCCGAAGCGACGAAGACGCAAAGCCGCAGACTCGGATGCACCCGCAGACTACTCAGACATCCTCGGACAGATTGCGACACTCCGAAAGATCGCCGCGACGCCAGACACGAACAACAGGGGCTACCTGAGGCAGAAGCAGGCGGGAAAGCTATGGGTGCGGGAGAGGGTGGAACAGCTGCTTGACCCCGGCAGCTTCCAAGAAGTAGGCAGTGTGAGCGGGACAGTCAAATGGAAGCAACTTGGGCCTGTGAAAGAAGAACCAGAAGAATATGTGCCTTCGAACAACGTGCAAGGTATGGTCATAGAGATGATACTGGGAAATCGTGTTGACGATTGGCAGGCTTCGGGCGACTACGAGGTCGAAAGATTGTATTCACAGCTGATGACTTTTCTATACGCGCCGGACACGCTGATGGCGCTCTCATGGAGAAAACGGTAAGCTGGTTGTAACGCGGCCGAGATATCGTTACTGACCAGTGCAGATATACATGGAGAAGCTCGCTATCGCGCTGAAACTACCCATTGTCAAACTCGTCGATGGCTCATCAGGCGGCGGCTCCGTCACCACCATCCGCTCTACCGGCTTCTCCTACGTCCCCCCGTTACCTTCCTTCGCACAAGTGGTACAACAACTCAACATGGGTATACCAAACCTAGGCGCCGTGGTTGGACCGGCCATTGGCTTAGGAGCGGCTCGCGTGGTTGCCTGTCACTTTTCTGTCATGGCCGCCGACATTGGCTCCTTGTTCAACGCTGGCCCTAGTGTGGTCAAGAACGCGACATTCGAAGAGGGTCTGTCCTTCACAGATCTTGGTGGGCCAGCAATGCATTGTACCAACGGAACTATCGATAACCTGGCACCAGATGAGGCAGGCTGCTTCGAACAGATACGAAAAGTTTTGGGCTACTTACCTGATTGCGGTACGAAGTTACCTCCAGTAATCGACTGCTCTGATCCAGTCGACCGAATGTCGGAAACCCTCCGGTCCATCATTCCGCGTTCTAAGAATCGCATGTATAACCCGCGCGCTATCATAACCGAAGTCGTGGACCAAGATTCATTCTTTGAAATCGGCGCGCTTTGGGGTACCACAGCCATTGTTGGCCTGGCACGGTTTGCAGGCAAGCCAGTAGGCATCGTGTCTCTAAACTGCGAACAGAATGCTGGCGCGCTGGATGCATTGGGGTCGCAGAAGATCACCCGAATGCTGAAATTCCTGGACGTCTTCAACCTTCCACTCATTCAATTCGTCGACGTTCCAGGTTACGCAATAGGAACCGTAGCAGAGCGCACTGCAACCATGCGGCACGGTGTCACTCTTGCTGCAACCTATTACAGCACAACCATGCCCATCTTCAACGTCATCGTACGCCGTGTCTACGGTGTAGCAGGAGGCATCATGCTAGACTGCCGCGACCCTCGCATGCGCGTTGCTTGGCCATCGGGCGTGTGGGGCTCTTTGCCACTCGAGGGTGGCATTGAGGTCGGGCACTCGTTCGAACTCAAGGAAATTGAAAGAAAAGAAGGTAAAGACGCGCGGGACAAGCGTTATACAGAATTGGAGAACGAGTACAAACGATTGATGAATCCAGTCCGCACAGCGAATGCGTTCGGTATCGAGGAGATTATAGACCCGGCATATACGCGACGAGTGTGTTGTGAGTGGACAAGTCATATGTACGAGAGCTTACTGTCAGAGCGGATTCAGGAGCGGATCGCAGGGAAGTTGCAGCCTTCCTTCGCTTAGGCAATCGGATGTCTTCGAATCCAAGTGCTTCTAGAGCAGATCCTTCAATGCATACAGTTCGGTCTTCAATCCATATCATCACCTATTAGACACTGGTTTTTCACACCGAGGTTGTGCAATTATAGGATGGGGGATACGTTTTCTGGTACTTGTTACTCCTACCCCAAGTATGTTGTCAGACCACGGCTTACCTACACCGCACTTCACTCCATTAGACCTATTGAACGTGCGACATTCAGCCCCACCGCGGTCCGTTTTCCAGCGGCGCGGCAACTCCCACTCTATTGGTACCAATGTCACGGTACCGAGACTTTGCTCGGTGAAGTCGCGCCAGGCTGACCATTTAGGGTATCGCTGAACATGGTAAATCAGGCTGCTACTGGTAATATACCCCCCTTGGCATAACATCAAGTCGAAAATACCCAATTAGGCAAGATGGCTACCATGCCGATGTTTAGACGCGTCTCTCGATATCACAAGCATCTGGAAGCTCCTAACGTCCTACTATATTGAGCATACATCACACAGCCGAATGCTTCATCTTACCATTACGCAAACGCGAAGCAGCAAAACACATTTAGACGTGTGTGGCGTACAAACTCTATGGCTGTATCACCATGTTGTGAGCGAGTCTTGATTCGTCACGGGTGGACGTCTTATATTACCACCAACATATGCGGGGCAAAGATCAATGCGGCCATACCCTGTCGCCTTGCCACAGCCCGCTCGTTTGCATCGTCTCACTTGCATCCAATCTGATGATACGAATTATGATGTGCGGCACGAATCTGGGGTATATAGAACTAACGGGCACGCCCGCACGTCCCGGACGCCCATCAGTGCTAGCCGCCACAACTTCGTCGATCTCGAACTAGCGACGACATTACACTGTACCACTGATCTAGGCTGACATTTGAAGACCGAAACCAGGGATGGCGCCTGTCGGCGCTGCTGCCGCTGCTAGGCAGGCAGAACCAGTATTGACGCGCATCGTTGAAGAGGACCAGATACCGTGGTATAAGAAGAGAAACTTGCGGAGGCTGTATGCGCTCTTGTTGCCGACGTGTATCGGGATTGAGATGACGTCTGGCTTTGATTCGCAGATGATCAATGCGGTGCAGATTGCACCGACATGGCAGATATGTGAGTTCTGATCACAACTACGGGCCTGCCATTGCTAACGACCTAGACTTCAACGAACCACGAGGAGTGCTTCTCGGCATAATTTCTTCAGCATACAACCTAGGTGCGCTCTGCGCTCTGCCACTAGTGCCGTACGTGAACGATAGATTTGGGCGACGATGGGCAATCTTCCTAGGCTCCTGGATCATGGTTGTCGGGGCGCTAGTTCAAGCTTTCTCAATCAGCGGTAGGGCAGGGAACGAGAAAGACGCTCGGAGGTCATGCTAACAGTCGTAGCTGGCATGTACATTGGCGCCAGGTTCATCATCGGTTTCGGCATACCATTCTGCATCATCGCTGGCTCGTCTTTGATGGGTGAGCTTGCGTACCCAAAGGAGCGGCCGATCATGACTTCTCTCTTTAATGCACTCTGGTTCATAGGTTCGCTCATAGCAGCAGGGGTATCGTATGGCACACAGAGTCTCAAAGACGACTGGGCCTGGCGCATACCATCGCTTCTTCAGGCCGCTCCGTCATTACTTCAGATCGTCTTCATCTTGTAATGACCCCTTTTCGCTCACCTGTATCTTTCCCACCTCTGCTAACAGCCCCAGCATGATACCCGAATCACCCCGCTTCCTCATCTCTAGAGACCTTCGTGAAGAAGCCTACCGCACGCTGATCATCTACCATGCTGAAGGCGACAGCTTTTCGCATTTTGCTGCTGCTGAAATGGCACAAATCGAACACACCATTCGCATCGAACTTGAGCACTCGAAGCGCTCCTGGCGCGAGATGATCGCTGTTCCTGGTCTACGCAAGCGCGTCATTATCGGCTCTTTCCTGGGTCTCTTCACCCAATGGTCCGGCAATACCTTGCTGAGTTACTATCTGAACCAACTGCTGATCATGATTGGGTACGACGATCCGGGCTTTGTGGGGAGAGTGAACATCGGACTCAACAGCTGGAACTTGTTCACTGCAGTGTCCTTTTCACTGCTGGTCCGACGCTTTCCACGCCGAAAGATGTATCTCATCTGCGCGACCAGCTTGCTTTGTTGCTATGTTGCTTGGACGGTCGCTGTGCATCGTTACACTGCTACGAAGAGCATCGAGCCAGCGAGGTTGACAATAGCGATTATCTTTTTGTATCAGGCATGTTATAATATCGGTTATAATGCACTTACCTACAGTTAGTTTCGACGAGAGAGTGGTGACAAATGGTGATGCTAACTGCGCTGCAGCATTTCTAGTCGAATTGTTCCCTTTTGCGCAACGTACCAAAGGCATCACCATCTTCCAGTTCTTTAGCAGAACAGCAGTCTTCACTACAACCACCCTCAACCCCGTCGGACTGCAACGCATACAAGGGCGCTGGCTTATAATGTACTGCGCTTGCCTAGTATTTGAAATCGTCTTCATTGTATGTATTCCTCTGCTCACCTAGGCTCCATACTTCCTTCCAAGACGTTTCGTTTACTAACACAACAACTATAGTACTTTATGTTCCCCGAAACCTATGGTCGCACATTGGAAGAACTCGCATTCCTCTTCGAAGATCATGCGCGAGCTGATGAGGCGACGACGCATGTCCAGAAGCAGATGGAATGGTCGGAGAGAAGGTGGAGTCGGATAGAGGAGCGGATGAGTTGGGAGATGGATGTCTTGATCCCAACAGTAGCGCAAAATGGCCGCAGAGAAGAGACAAGGAACGACAGTATACTCCATTCACAAGACGTGATACGACGACATGATCTGATAAGATAGACAACGTATCTAGTGAAGCAGTTCAAGACAAACTACACTACAACATTCACGATTGATCATGTTCTTGGAAACCGACCATGTTGACTACTCATCACTCGAGTTCGTAGCTGTGCCTTCGTGCCCGCAGTGCATGTAGCTGTATGTTTGCAACACACCCTCGTCTTACCTACCTTGGATAACCTCCTCCATATCCCCGCAATTCATGACGAGCCCTGCCAGGATTATCGTGAAGCGTACGAGATGTGTGTGGACTTTTGCAACCACCCGAACAATAGCTTTAATAATCTATCACCGGAACTAGAGGACTCTGTTCATGAAGATACTTAAGAGGATCAGGACAAGCAGGCGTTAAACAACATAGACGCGGTGTAGGGTGAGCTCGCCCGCAATCTACCCAACCACACTAGCAACAATGTTAACGTTTTCGACATGCTTAGTCGCCGCCCTAAGGACTAAGTTAACTAGAGTAGCTGTGTGGGCACCTAGCCTGATCTAAAAGACAACTAGTCGAAAGTTTATAAAGCTGACTACCCAGTTGTCTTACGCGATGACGGGCCTATCACACCATAGGAGAAACTTGAAGTCAAGCAACCACAGTGCCCCCTAAAGGCACGATAGAGTTAATGCCTGCACCAAACTATCGCCGTCCAGAGACGGAGAAGCGCGACCTCGTTCCTGGAATCTCAGATATCAGCTTCTACCCAGTTGGTTGCGCTTTGGGCGGAGATGAAAGAAGGTTCAGCCTGACGGTTACGTGTTCGTCGCGGAATGTTCTATAGGGATCGTTGCGCGCATGAAGAAAGACACACAGAGATATTAATCAACAGCTGTAGCCAAAGAGAATCAGGTCTCCAGCAGACCCAAAGGCAAATGCTTCACCCTCAAAGTCAGACAAGAAGGCGAGGCGACAACGAGCGTCAGCGAGTTCGTCGCCTCCGCCAGCCGCGCAGCGGCGCCCCCCAGAGAAGATTAGCATGGCCCCTGCACTAAGGATGACACGCCCAATCAAAGAGAAGCTACCATTTTTTTGCTCTCGATCTGGCGACTGAGACGATGTGATAATCGGGCCTGGGAATTTTAGAGAAAAGTCCTGTTGCATATAAACGGCTGTGAAGCAATGTCAGCTGCAAACGGTTGATATTTTGGTACGTGAGAAAAGGTCGCTAGACCCTTGCGCAGCAAAAAGAGCGCAAAAAGAAGACTTCCACGCGACTCGAACACGAACTCTCGCGCCACAGCACTGTCGAAGGAGTCAGATCGAAAGAGCAAAAAAATGGTAGCTTCTCTTTGATTGAGCGTGTCATCCTTAGTGCAGGGGCCATGCTAATCTTCTCTGTATCGTTTCAAATTGACCAAATGCCCGAAGGCGAAGAATAGCAAAATTTTGCAGTATATGACGACGGCCGTTGTTGACGGCGCTGCGGGTGCTGTTTAAGGCTCGTGCGCTGTGCATAGCACAAAAAACTGGGTCGGTGGCGGGTAAGTAATCCGAACCCCGAAAAATAGGCTAGCCTGGGACTCCTGATCCGAACAGCCTTTGTGCGACAACTGGAGTCCTGGAATGCTGGCTATCACAGGCGGGCACAGCCCGCCATGATAGCCACAGCTGGAGACATGATCCCTAGGAGGTATTCGCCATCTCTTGTTCTATCTGACACTGGATACTCAGACCGATGTATTCAGCAGGCTGATAGGAATAATTTCTCGATAGCAGGTCGGGTACCTACGTAGTTGTCGCTTCGATCAGGTCAACTAAGACTGCTAGACATGCAATTAGCGGTTTGCAACATCGCACAGTATGATCTCAATGTCCAAATCATCTCTTGACGTTCCCCAATAATAATTGATATCTTGCTGTGGCCGCCACGTCCATGTCCTATTGTGCGCGTGCGAAGTCAGTGTATGTCTCACAGACAATCCGTACCGTAAATTTCCTTGTTAAGCGTGAGAAGAGGTCTCGTATTCTGAACCGGGACGAAATTCAATGTAAGAGGAGCAGAGCCTGCAACAGAACGTGGGTATTGTCGGAGAAGATGCGATGGTGCGAAAGGACAAGACTGGTATGAATTTGATGTTTACCCCTCCACCCCACTTGCACTTCGCGAAACTGGCAGGCACGTCACAAGCGCGATTGCCTCGCGCTTGCCGAGACAAAGTTGTGGCCTGTACGCAAGGAATGCGATATCCAAAAGTCTTCCGGACTACATACAACGTAATTCGTATCCTCAAGCACATGCATTTCAACAAGACGCGAGTCATTCATATGAGGAGACAAGAGTATCATTACTACACATCTACTCCTCCAACAAGTCCATCACCAACTGCGGAATGACTTGTACACCTTCGCCCTGTATCGCGCTGATCGGCACAGCCTGTACATTGCGTCGCCATGCATGCTTGCGGTTACTAGGATGAGGTTGCGCGCCCTTGCTCACATCCGCCAAATATACGCGAAGAGCCTCAAAGTTAGCCTGCGTATCCGGCAAGTCGGCCTTTGTCGCGACGACAAACCAAGGCTTCGACGAGATCGGTGTGGTGCTCAGAAAGGGCAGAGGCTTTGGCGACGGGTCCAGATGCGGTGTGTCAATGAGATCAGACGCGTCGCTAGGGGGCGTGCTGGCACCAGCGGGTCTGTATGTCACCGTCCTACGCTCCGTCTCCGCATTCAGTTCCTTGCCGCGTAGAGTCTCGTACTCGGATACTTCTCGCCAGAGCAGCTTGAGAGCAGCCACAGCGTCACCAGCAGACAAGTCGATGACGAAAGCGAGCACTGCGGCACGTTCAATGTGTCGCAAGAAGCCTAGTCCAAGCCCTTTGTCGAGATGCGCATCCTCGATGAGCCCTGGTACGTCTGCAATGGTAAAGTTCTCGCGCAGTTCTCCATTTGGCCTGCGCGATCTGACAAGTGGCCGTCCTTTGTGGTTGTCCAGAACCACAGTACCAACGTTTGGCTGAAGGGTGGTAAAGGCCCAGTTGCCGACTCGCGCACGGCTATTGCTCAAAGCTCGAAGAAGCGTGCTCTTTCCGGCATTGGGCAGCCCTACCAGTCCCAAGTCGGCCAGAATTTTCAGCTCCAACTGCAGTGAAATCTTCAAGCCCTCGTCTCCCCGCGTGGCCATCTTGGGCCTGTTGTTGAAGGGGGTCATAAAGTGTGGATTACCCAAGCCGCCCATCGCTCCTGCTGCTATCAACATAGGCGTCTCCATGTGCTTGTCCAAGTCCAACCACATGGGCGCTTGTGGTTCAAGGGCTGCAAGGTGCGATCGTCGTGGCGGTGGCAGCTTAGGAAACTTGATCCTACTCAGTTCTGAGGCTATAGTCCCAGGATAGACCAGCCATCGGTCTCTTCTATAGCTTGGCTGCCCCTCCTCCAATTCTTCCGCATCTTCGTTTTGCTGCATTTTCCAGTGCTCTTCCTCCATTATCGCGACCGGGTCATGTCTCTGCAACTCGCGCACAATGGTCCCTACTGGCACCGTGATGAGGACGTCGGCCCCGCGCTCGCCACCTTTGACCTTGCCCTGTCCATTGCGTCCTCTGCCAGCCTTGATTTGTCGCCGGCGAGCAAGCTTGTGTAGCGATGTCTCGCCACGGACTGCTTGTATGTAGATGTTTCCTCCACTACCGCCGTCGCCACCATTTGCAGGCCCTTCTTCAATATATTTCTCGCGCAAGAACGAGACGCAACCGTGGCCGCCGCCACCAGCTTCAACAGTCAAAATGCATCGATCGGCAAAAGGCGTAAGGGCATAGTCGTCTGCTGCGGGGTCTAGTCGCGCATTCGGGTGAGCGCCGGGCTGCTCAGCAGACGTAGAGTTGCGTCTGAGCTGGATCGGAAATCGTTTACGAGGCGGACATCTGCGCGCAGCCGAGGCAAGTGGCACCTGGAGAAAGGCGGGATACAGGAACGGCGTCAGCGTACCGCTTAGGCTATGCGGACGAGCGAACGACATGCGTTAATTGCGAACGTGGCGTGGTCGGGAAGAATGTTCAGTATCATGAATTCCACACGCATAGAATCGCGTCGCGGGACTAGCGAATGACGGCCCCAGATCCGATGATCTGCATCACGCTTGTACAGGCTAATCCAACATGCCTCGGTATCAGCATTGTTAAAGTACATAGGACTTCTTGAAACAAACATTCAGTTGTTGGCCCAATTTCCATCGCCTTTTGACCGACCCCACTCTCGTATCTCAATCCCCAATCCGCCCCATTCTCAATAACGTCTCCGCCCCATATCTAGCCCCATCATGATACGCTGTGCCTTACTCACCCTGGCATCGGTCATGCTCAGAGTTGCCAAGCCCGAGTACTTTAGGTTGGGTGGGAAGCTTGGCCTTTCTAGCAGCCAGCTTGTAACCCTCCATTGGTACCTCAAGTGGGCGCTGCCACTATGGGCCGTACTAGACCTCAACTCGGTACTCAATCGTTTTGCCGAAAGACGATGGATTTGGAAGACGGACAAGAGTATTTGGGATTGGAAGCGTGAAGTTGCTGTGGTGACAGGGGGCTCCGCTGGCATTGGGGGTTGCGTGGTCAAGAAGCTCACCTCTCATGGCATCAGGGTCGCGGTTCTGGACGTTAGCCCTCTGTCAGAGATCTTCACCAAAGGTCCGTTGCGGCACACAACTGCCATGTTTATACTAACCAAGGTAGATGAGCTTGCCCTCGTACGATACTACAAATGTGACATCACGTCGCGAGACAACATCCACCAAGCGGCGGAAGCCATACGATCCGATTTGGGTTCACCGACTATCCTTATCAACAACGCCGGCATTGGTAACGCGTGGACCATCAAGGATATCCCAGAACAGAATCTGAACAAGATGTTCGACATCAACCTTCTGAGTCACTGGAGTACAGTCCAGGAGTTTCTGCCAGACATGCTCGCTAAGAAAAAAGGCCACATCATGGGTGTCGCAAGTCTTGCTTCCTTTGTTGCTTTGGCCGGTGCCGTTGACTACAGCTGCACCAAGGCGGCGCTCCTGGCTTTCCACGAAGGACTGACGCAAGAGATCAAGCATCGTTACAAATGCCCATCAATCCAGACCTCCATCGTCCACCCAAATTGGACCAAGTCTGCTATAACGTCGCATGAGGCCATTGCGGCGGGGCTGAAAAACGTTCGCGCAAAAATCCTACAACCAGAAGATGTCGCCGAGGCCATGGTGGACCAAATTATTCAAGTAAAGAGTGGACAGCTGATTCTGGGCCCAGCGCTATCTCCTAAAATCAGGGCACTGCCTCTTTGGATACAGGAGCTCATTCGAGATAGCCAAGCCTACGTCGTCACCGGCGACGGCTCGACAGCGAGTGGCTAGGTGCATGAACTGTTCCTTCGAGTCGATGATGACACTGGAGCGCGGCAGTTACGAACGGTGCGGTACGGAGCGCACCTTTCCAGCCGCTTGGGGCCAGGATCCTCAACGAGAATAGGGCAGGTTCGACTAGAAACACGGTGCCGCAATCTGAACAGCTGCGTTGGAATTTTGCCGCCCAGCCGAACCAGCAAACAGACGCCGTCAAGGTCGCTGAGGTTACAGAGGTCTGCGCCACGTCAATACCGGGGTCGGCAATCAAATCGCGCTTCTTCTGTCACTTTAGCGAAGTCGATAGTTGATATTTTGCGCAGCACATCATGGGTATGCGACAGAAATGCGACATCTTACTATGTTATATTCGATCGGGCGGCAGATCTCCAAAATGCGGACGATTGAGCGCCACAGCCGGGTTCTGAGCTAATCATAGGTGATGCTATGAGTATTCTCGGGGTTGTATGCAGGTATCATCGACTCAGCCCCATGTTCCTACAGGGACCATGCAAGGTACCTCACACCAACCCTAACTCGGCCCGAACAAAGTGTAACCACACGAAGGACATTGGTCTTTGCGCAAGAGGCGCGGGACTCAATAGTTATATGTCACTTCTTTGTTCTCTGTTTCATGTTCCCGGGTAGCTGTTGTGTTGCGTCTGCTTCGCTGTTGTTACTCTGCTTTGCTTTCCTCAAGTCATTCGTTTCAGATCGTGTGAGCATGCAATGGGCTGGTTCGCGGGAGCTGTATTCGCTTATTGCACCGTATATTTGGTAGTTGGAAGTAATGTTGAATTTAATTGGAAGAGTGAGTGAACTGTTGCACGCGTTGTAGTTGTACCTACTGACAGATCGACGCAGATGCAAGACTCTCTAATACACATATCACGAACGAAAGATTTCCTACATTTCCGCGGCGCGATTTATCCTTTAGCAACGGCACAAGTACATTGGAAACAGTTCAGACTACGTCGAGGGTATCATCGTCTCCTCTTTCTTCTACGTCCAAGTCAGAGAGCAGCACGACTTCGACAGTCATCGTTCATGAGATGACTTCCTCTGAACAGCCCAACACCGCGACCCATTCCTCAGTAGCTGAAGCATGCACTTCGGCCAGTGGAAGTCATAATTTGCCCGCGAAAACATCCACTAGAAGCGAGTCGCCAACGGTATTGCCGACCACCACAGTAGTGCGACAGCCAACTGCACTTTCGTCAATCTTTTTGATCGGCTCCAGACAAACATCTATATCCAGTCACACATCTCCAGGTTCATCTGGAACTGCTTCTTCCATACGCACATCGTCTACTGTCAAAGAACTATCGATTGTTTCAGATGCTGGGTCGACCGCGAACAACCCAATATCCTCTACAGCATGGGTCAACACAGATTCGTCGCGGGTCTCAGATGTCCAGCTGCCCACAAGCATGTCTTCTGCCATCCTCTCATTACAGAGCACACCTTCTACAAACCTACAGCTACCAGTCAGCGTCATCAAATCACAACAGAGCACTCTAGACAGCATCTCAAGCCTGACGGTGTCCGCTACAGCAACAAAACAGGGTGCGACTAGGCTTTCCATGCCTGGAACAGCGTTTTTCACCCCTTCGACAACAATACAACAAGACTCATTGTCTGATACATCAACCGAGGTATTCAATGTAGTGCTACCTTTTACGCAGACGTCATGGGCTTTCTCTCGGACCGTCACTGCTGATGCTATTGCAATCACCACGATGGTAGCTGATTTCTCAAACTCGTCACAAGCTACGGCGACAAATATATCGAGCCCAAAGTTCCTTTCACCCATGACCGAAGATAGCGCGTCTCAAACTTCCACCTTGACGCTGCCAACGCCCTCGGGCGCTCCAACAGCAATCGCTGGACTACCACAGCACTCGGTACTTGGTCTTACAAGCTGGCTGAAATCTAGCTACACAGCAACCAACGATGGTAACAGTTTGGCCACCATCACACGCTTGGCTACGCCGACCAGTATGATATCTATCTCTCAGGCGACCAGTCTTTCTAGCCTAGTGTTGTCAGAAAATTTCTTCTGTTCAACGATCTCGGGATCGTCTCTGGGGTCCATTTCAACCAGCAAAGCAAAGAACGACACGAATACAGCAATCGCGATAGAATCTGTTCAGTCAAGCAGCTTGCTGATCGACAGCTCTACTTTCGCTTTTGGTGGCAGTCTCACCATCTCTGCATCAGTCACATTTGAAGATTCTTTGCTGTCTCGAATCTCGATTCCAACGGATAGTATCGTCGCAATCGTAACCAGTAAGACAAGCTCGACGGCGTCAATACAGGCGACTGGACTGGCAGCTCATTCTGCAACAGAAAATCGCACCGTGTCGTCCTCAGTGCCTCTTAGTACTACGTCCCTAGAAACAAGCGTCCTTCCGAGTGCCGGTACAAATGGATCGTCTCACAGTACGGTCGAAACATCTTCATTCAGTTCGCCAATCTCCGTCTCTCTTACTCAAATCATCATATCCTCTACGACGGGCGGGACTCTGAGCACTGCATCGTCCATCCAGTCTGTAGGGATCCCAACTGCACCATTTGAGTCGGATCGTAACATTACTGTAACATCGCCCACCGCTTCAACAGCCAATACGATGATGTCTCTCTCTTGGTCGCACCCTTCCCTATCAGCATCTCTTGTTGGATCGGGTAACATCTCGCTTCCCAGCGCCACTCAAACATACACTTCTACTGGAACTGCTGCTGTCACTGAGTCAATCAGTACTTCTTATGCTAGCAGATCAGGCAGCTCACACATGTCTCCCGCATTTGGGTCAATCTCTCCCCCCACCACCACGTCTGCCAGTTTCTCTATTCCCACGTCAGCAAGCCCTACCTCGGTCAGCTCTATATCTACATCAAAAAGTGCGACCATTTCTCTAATCAGTACCTTTGTGACGAAGACAAGGACTCAGAGTTCCATTCTGAGCTCGCGCAAAAGCTCATCGTCAAACGACGTTCGCAAGGATTCAACACGGACTCCAAGTGCAGTCCATACATCTACTAGCAGTCCTACCGAGACAGTGCTTGCAGCAGCTGCACCTAAACTGACCCCATCGCAAACAGCTGGGGTTGCTTTGGGTAGTACGGCTGGGGTTCTCCTTGCGATCGTCGCTGCGATCTTTGTCGCTCGCCGCTATCATGCGATGCATGCAGCAAAGCACGAAAGCTGGGGATCCTCTGCTGTCTACCCTAAAGTCGCATACTTGTACGACCCTTCGCTGGGTGAGAATGGTGGTAGAGATGGTGAAGACGATGAGGCATTAGCCTTCATGTCCGGTGGTGCCGGCGGATTGCTATCAACTGGAAGCAGAACACCTCCTCGAGCGCCTCAAAACTCTTTCGATTACGACTCTCATAACTGGCAGTACAGCGACCCTGGTAACCCGTTCAAAGATCCCGAGGACCCATTCCTGGACTGGCGAAGTAGTGACGCGATTAACTCGCCAAGTGAAACTGCATCTGCTCTTGCTGCTGCGGTTGCAGAGTATGGAGCAGGGCCGCAAAAGCCTCTTCCGCCTGTACCGCTTTCCTTGACGCCTCTCTTTCACGATCATGTCATTCCATCGCCAACTTTGAGTCCTATGATCAATGGCTGTAGCTTGCGTCGCAGTCACGCACGATCGTCAAGAGGAAGTAGTGTCAGAAGTCAAAGGTCATTGAGAGGTTTCCGCGCTTGTCCTCCAACATCTCCTAGTTCAACAAATCACCCATCAGGCTCACGTGGTCCGCGACGAAGCCTATCATCCATCCAAGAGGGACACGTCGATGATCCCTTCGTAGATGCGATAGAGCATGATCTTCTTCTACCAGTGGACGTTCGAACGGAAACACCAGATTCAGTGATGGTTTATGCGCCGGTGCCGAGGACACCAATGCGATCAGCCTTGTCAACAATACTCTCGGACGACCAGACATCCACAGCTTCATTACCGAGTATAGCTGCTGCGAAGTCTCTATCAGGTGCTCAACCTCGATCAACTGGTAGCATACTCTTCCCTACATCTAAAAACGACCAATATTCGTATGCTTCGCTTGTTTACGACACCTTACCACTATCACATCCTGACCGGCCGGACAGCGATCAAACAACCGCTCAGAAGAGATGCTCTTTCTTCTCTTCGTCTCGATCCCCACAGCCGACTTCAGTGCCCCGAAACAAAGGCTGGGAAGAGATCAAACGCACTTCCAATGGCACATCCAGTCTTCACTCACCTTTGCCAACACCTCCTCTTCATAGTTTTGCTCCGCCGCGGCCGAACCTCTCTCCTCCACCTCCCCTCAAGAAACGTTCCTTGATCCAACTCCGCCGCAAGACGCCATTGACTGGTACAGGCCAGCTTTTGGTATCGACACGAAATCCTTATCCAGCTTCTTGTACACCGTCGGCAGTGAATACAAACTTCATATTCAACTCGAACAAGAGTTTTGAAGGCCCGCGAATGAGTCTGCTTGCCAAGGTGAACAGCATGGGCGACATAAAAGACGAGGCAGCAAGTCCAAAGAAGAGAAAAGGAAAGGGGCTTGGGTACCGCGATTCTGTCTCCCGGAAGGTGGAGATGAGATCCCGATGGAGTCCTTCGGAAGTAGGGAGGTCATTCTGATCAACTCGGCTCAGGCCGCAGTATCGCATGTAATGTCTTTCCTTCAATTCTCAATCGTTGCTATCGAAGACATGACAGCTTCCGTGTATCTCTGAGTCTTCGATACCATGATCTATCTTTACGACCCCAACTAACCTGCTCCTACGCATCTTCTTAGCCTCTTTTCCTGAATATCGCTGCATTTATTCATAGCATTAGTAGCACTGAAATCTCCTTATCCTGTGCTACTACATAATACCGTTTACTGCAGAACCATTCTCCTGTACATAGGACTGATGCCGCTAGCTTCTCATCATACATAATACAATAATAGTACCTTGTCAACTTGACAATGCCGCTGAGCCGAATTCTTCATACAGTCTCTCCAACATGGCCAAGATACGAGGCACATGGTTAACACCCGAAGACTGTCCGAATCATCTTCGCGAGACCGCATACTACCGTGAAGATCTTGCTCCACTTGGTGAATGAAGCGTGCATCCCTTTCTTGCGGTGAGGACCCATATGCAGCCATCTTTCATACCAAATGCTCCACACATACATGCTTCCTTCCCAATACCCCACATCTATTACCGTGTTGCAAGAAATAAACACGCGCAAGCCCTCTTTTGCACTAAAGCTACAAGCAATGCACTCTTCACATGCGCCCAATCTACAAGCATGCCAGTAACCCACCTCATCGTACGACCCGTAGCCGAAAGCCCACCCCTCTTCCGTCATCGCTCAGTGCAGCCTTTGGGCATCTGCAAGCTCTGCCGTCATGCTAGCCTTAAACCTTATCCCTATATCACGACTCCTACCACCTACCGCTACTGGCTCCCGCTCCCCGGGGCAAAATTCCGGTCGGATACAGCGATCTAATAGGGGGGCGCCAAAGTCAGGGTAATTGTGCTTGTTCCGAGGCTGATGGACTCTAACTAAACCTTGGTGGGTATATGCCGCACACCTGCGTCTTCCCTGTCATCTGCGTCTGTGAGCTGCTGCATGTACGATGGTGTTGCATAGTGTGGAAACGAGATCATGAAAAATATGGTCCAGGGATCGCGTGCCGCAAGGAGAGGAATATGCAGGTAGCTTTTGTTTTTGAATCTCAGCTCGTGTGCGCCTACACACTAGCATCTTGCAGTGTAAGCGCGCTGCAGTGGCGGTAGTGGTAGCGGTGAACCGCGAAATGTTCCAACACCCTCGCAATCGAGCCGCAAAAACCAGGCTGGCATGCGGACGGAGTAAACTCCGGAGTCCTGCGATGCACATGCAGCCTCACCCTGCTTTTCCCAGACTACTTGCCCTATCCCGAGAGCTGCCGTTGAGAAAGGGTGTTCAGCCGAGTTCGACCGACAACTTTGACTTCTAGAAAGGGACAAACAACCTGCATATCTGATGAAACGAAAAAGCAAAAATGGAAACGTCATTCAGCGTTCGCCTCGGCGATTAACAGCAAAGAGGAGATTTGCAATCTTGTATGCAGGCTGATCTCTCGTGTGATGCTCATGGTTCGCATTGGGGTACAATCTAATAGTGTTTGTACATCATAATATCGGGACCGTAAAAGATCCGGGCCCCAAGAAATTCCCCAGCAAACCATCTTCGGATAGCGCGGTATCTGTGCTTCTGGGCACAATGCGGCTTTCTCCGCGTGTTCCCTTGAAGAAGATCCAGAACGTGGAAGCCATGCTGGTATCACAAAGATCGTTCCAGATCATGAGAGAGCCATCGACAATCAAGAGCCCAGAGCGAGATTCGCCACTCCAGCACATGCATCGTCAGTATCCCCATTGCTCTTCTGGCCATCAGCTTCGAGCTAAAAACAAAGGCGCTGACAGCCACCACTACCACTGACCTTCACCATCGTCGTTTGATGAATCACCAATATGCTGGTAGGCAAGCATCAGGCCATATCTACGCCACTGCGCTTATTCTTCTTGCGTGTCCACACATCGTCAAGCCACTCGTGGGGTCCCTCCATCTCAATGGGACCGGGGCACAGTGGAAGCCTCTGTCGGTGTTTCTTCTCATATTCGCGGATCGCGATGTGACACTCGACTTCTTGCGCCATGCGCTTAAGCAGCTTCTTTGCTTGTTCATGATACTCAGGGAGGGTACCAAGAGTCTTTTCTGCCATGATTTTAGCCTCATTTGCCGACCCTTGGACGAGGCTGAAGAAAATTTGACGCCTGTAGAACTCCATGGATGTATCCTGGGGAGGTGTTAGACCACCAAGCTCGCGTGTGAGAATTAGTGGACTCTCTGTGTAGATCCAGGATCGTGCACCGTGAAGTGAAGTGTGGTGTAGTACCTGTACGTCTAGGATGTGTACCTTAGTCGCACCCACGCGGACGGCATTTAGTAGCTCCTGTCTTAGTCCATTGGCGTCTAAACTCGAATTGAGAATAGGATCGTCGGAGTCAAGCTTGACACTCTGGGTCTCAGCCTTTTTGATGCGAAGACGAGTGAAGAGTGTGTGAACTTGTCCTGGGAACAGATGAGGGATTGCCTTGCGTCCGTACACATCCAGGACCTCACAGCCTGACTTGGGCCGAATTTCAACGCTCAAGTCAGTCAGCTCGCCGACGGGCTTCTCAGACCGAGCATTCTTCAAAATGCGCTTGATGCGACCAGAGGTGGATTGGTACTTGCACCAGTTACTGGCGAGCACATTCTTGCAGCAATCTTCAAGGCAGACGGTGTCTTGAAAGTCTGGCTCGCGACGATAGGGAAGAAGCGCAGGACTGATGCGATGGATGTAAAGGCCTGGAGATGTCTTCGACACGTCATGTAGAACATGGGCTGCAGGAGAGAGCACGATGATATGAGTAAGACCAGCCTTCAGGTGTTTGCCTTGCATAGATCTGGCTATGCCAAGGATGACGTCGGTCATCGAGGGGTTGGGACGAGGCGGGTCCCATAGCTGCGAACCCGACTGTGCGATCCCCGACGTCAACTCTTGGAATATCTCTTCGACATCCGCACACACGGATTGAAGCGGGTACAGTACCTCTGGCCTGTTTCCAGTGACATCACGGTGGGTGCAATGAGTGGTGTATAGAGCCAGGCGATCTTCATGGCCAAGATGATGCTATAAAAAGTAAGCAGGTGGCTCCTGGGAACTGCAAAATAGTGGCTCACCAAGGCTCCATTGACAGCGTCCAATGACCTCTCCAGACAAGCTGTGGTGACATAGTACCTGTGATCAACGTCAACTACCATCATCTGCTGCATCGCATGAGCACCGACCCGTTGTCTACCACGAAGATCACATCGATCCCGGTATCAGGCAGAGGGGTTCGGTTGTACAGGACACCCTCGATATCAATAGCGACGCCGAGCTCTTGGTACTCCTCGGTAACAAGCTTTTCCTCTGGGAACAGTCTAATCGCTGCCCGAAGAGTAGTCGGCAATAGTGAGGTTGAGCCTGACACTTGTGCATCGGATGTCTCGTGATCAAAGTCCGTAGGGGAAGGAAGACGCTTGGCAATGCGGCCCATAATGGAGCTGAACTTCTCTCCACTGGATGAATTTAGTAGCTGATGCACAAAACCGTTGGGATCAACGCACTTGCGGGCATTACGTAGCAAGTAAGCCTCGACAGCTTCGTCGCCCGGATACTCTACCGATGAACCTTCCTCGATCCCAACATGAAATGCAAGCGATGTAGTGCCCGTTGGCGAGCTTGAATCTGGCGTATCGCCAACACCAACGCTCGTATCTCCGGTATTCTGGCGACGCAAGAGGGGCAGACCATTTGTGAAAAGCCGCAATTTGGACATACGCCGCTTTGGAGGCTCAGCACGGTGTTCAGGTTTGCTATTCACTTTCTCAAGAGCCTGTTGTGCGCTCATGTGTTCAGCGCCAGCAGCAAAATCAGGAGGCTTGGATGCATGCATAGCCTTGCTCGACAGCATGTCGGTCGAGGGCCAGGGGGGAAATTCAGTGGTGTACACGGAACGTACCGGGCCGCCGCTCTCGGGCTCGTCATAGCTGTTGTTGCGCGGAGACGCCATCGAATGTCCTAGGCTTGAGCCTGAGGCTGACGAGCGGCTGTTTCTATTCTTTCGTATTGTCAGAGGATGGTCGCTGGGAGTGCGACTGACGGGAAGAGGTGTTACACTCCACGGTGCTTTGAGTGGGCGTGCCCAGTCAAACACGGACGACTCGAAGCTATAGTCGGGTGGTAACCCCCAAATATCGCTTTTGATCTCGTCGATGATATCGTCTAGCGGCCCGAATACGTACTGGTCGTCGCTGGAGGTAGGGGTCGACTTACGAAATATCCGCCGTCGAAAAGTTGCTTTGCGCGACTTTTTCTGGATGGTGAGTGGGGGTGGGCATAGAGGTGTGCGGTCCGAGAAGACACCACCAGCTGTTATCGTTGTGATCATCGTGGATTCGCTCGAAACAGCAACAAACGGAAGCTCAGTCACCGCGGTGCGCTCACTCTCACCACGAGTTGTCTCCAAAGCGCGTGGTCTCTCAACGCGCAATGACGTCAATGTCAAACGGAATGGGGATGGATAAGAAGAGTAGCCAATGCGTAAACTGAGATATGCGTTTGGGATGTGGCCATGGTAATAAGAGTCGGCGGAGGGAAGTATTCCAGAAGGAGAAGTGTTGAAATGAGTTGGAAGGTGCGAATGGGTACGTCAACAAACCTGTAACGTTCCTGCCCTGGAGAGCACGCTGTTGAACTTCACTTCAAACTGCGTTTCCGTAGAGAGTTCTTTGCTCATGCATTCATACGTGAATCGATGCCCTATAGGTCTTACGCCATAAATTGATAACTACGCCTCACCAATTTGTGCGGCAGCGACTTCCATTTGCTTCTTCATCTGCTCATGCATCTCGTCGTCCGCTTCGCGAAAGCGAATCTGTCGCAGAAGTAAGCACTGGCTTAGTCAGATATTACTGCAACTTACTATGTCTTCCCCAGCGCCAGTGCCGAATAGGACTGGCTCAGATATACTAGCCTTGACTGCTTTTCTTACGCGATCTTCCCATACTCCTTCCCAGTTCCACTCTCCTGGACGTCGGTTGCGTCCAAGTGCAGATGCACCTTCTGGATTCTCCGCTGTGGGAGGCTCAAGGCTTGGAGATGTTGGATTTGACTGTTGAGATTGCAATACTGGAGCCCGATGCGCCCGCCACGCGTGGTAGGCACCTGGGTTCGCAGCTGCCTCTAACGGGAGTGAGTCCAATATTGATTCTTCACTAAATGTCGAGCGGATGTACTCTAGCATGCGTACGATGGAGTATTCGGCCGTTGGCTGGGAACCGCCGAGGACACCAGGGGTAACATTGGAGTCGGAACGCATAGGAAGTACATTTGAAGATGCACTGACATCACGAGAATTTGGTACAGACCGTCGAGCTCTGCCGAACCAGTGTGGAAAGCCGTGTCGTAAACTGAACCCTCCAGGTGGTAGCCGTTCCTCGTCTGTTGCACTTACGGTATCCGTGTCGGCGGATCCAGTCGTGTAAGTATACGTGGTAAGTGGCGTGAGCAGCGGGTGAAAGACATCGGTAGAGAAGGTCACGAGGGGTGGTATGGCAGGATAGCTGGGTGGAAAAGATATTTGGAAGCGTAAGACTGCGGGCGCATATGGTCCTGTCAAACGTGAATAATGCCGGTCTGCAATGACAGGGAACGCAAGACGATCGCCTAGTCCTATGGTACAGCCTACCTTTTCGCACGAATATTACACCAAACCACAGCGACGGGTCGCCAGGTGTGATACTCAAGAAGATGCCATCAAGCTGTGCATAGCGCAGACGGGAGCTGTGCAGAGTTAGGGAACGTCGCCGCCAAGTCATGTGCCTCGACTCACAACTCGACGAGAAGATGCTGCTTCCGAAAAGACGGGAGAGCCGACGCTGAGACGGACAACGGCATCTCGTGAGCAACGATGATGGTTGTTGGTCGTTCGGCTTCTTACAAGCACGGCGCCTGCGATGATGAGAGCCGAAGCGCGTTTGACGCTAGTGCTAACCGATCTGCGCCCTCACCTGCTTCGGCCTAACGCGCTGTCCCACCTTACCATTCGCTGGGCGTGCAATACCACCAACATGGCCCTGTATCTCACCAGGTCGCGTATGGAGATGCGCGCAAGGTAGGATCATAACGACTATATGCTGCTCGTCCAAGTAGCAGTCCGCAAGTCGTGGCTGTCAGGTCGGACTGATTACTCGTCGGATGCGACACCCGCAAGGAGCAGATTCCAAGCATCACCAGTGGATATGTTCGCAGTAACACTGCGCGCATCCTTCGCAACTGCCAGGTGCCGGACTGCCGCTCAACCCTCGTCGCCCATCTATGTCAGGCCCTGCTCGGGACGTTGTCTGCGGCACTGGGACAAGGCTCTGACTGTGTTGTTGAGACCGATCAGGTGTGCCGGCAGGCTCGCAACGGTCCGGCTGAACGCACACCACCGGACTCACGTCAGAACGCAATAGAGGACGCATGACCGCGTGCGCCGTTGGCACCGACGAGTCAGAGCGGAACTGGCTCACACACACCTACAACGTTGCAAAACGTCGGAGTTCGGGACGTGATATTAGTGATCCCGTCCTGCGACTGCCGAGACATCCTATCCTCAAGCATCAGGATAATGAGCCTTTGCCGTCCTATGCTTATTCTGAGACGCCGTGCCGCGCCTGTGATGATTGATGACCACGTCGTACAGCCCTTGAGTGAAAATGCGCTGGCTCCAGTCAGCTCATCAAGGGAAGCCTTACGCAACGGCGTTACCTGTCGTCGCGACCGAAGGCATACGAAGCCTTGTACGTAGGTAGAGTTGACGCCGGATCGAGCAACAGGCTGCTGCAGAATGATCGGGCAGCGTCAATTCCGATCGACCCACGCTACCGGTTTCGAGGCTGGCTTTTCGTTTTTGTACACTCGTGCCGACAAGCGCGTGAACACCCTAATCCTCCGAAATCTCTCCAACCCACGCCCTCGTCTGGCATCTGCTGTCATCTTCGTCACGGCGCTACGAGTTATGCTATTGCCTAAGAGCAAAGAAGCATGGTGTCTTTTTCGGAGGATTCCATCAGAGCAATAAGAGGGCCAGGGGGCGTAATCCTAAAGACGCTAAAAAAGGCGGTGGCTGTCTCAGACGCTTCCATCTTTTTGCGAACCCTGTCCTCGCGTGGAAATCTGCAGGCCAGCCTTACATATCCACACCGCCATGACCGCTTAGGCCAGGTTGCGTCGAAACAGCCGTTGTGCCTTGACACCTCTCCATCAGCCAGCAGAGATCGCTGGAAAACCGCGACAGCTCACTTACAACACACGACGGACGCATGTCCGGGCCCACCGGAAATCAAATTGCTGGCAATGCCTAGCCGAGCGGTCTGAACTGGGCAGCAGTACAGATGCTACGTCGCCGCAGATGGGCGCAGAGCATGGTCAGCTGATGGAATTCCTAGGGTTATGATGCCTTGATGACTGATGAGAATGCAATCACGATGTGTGACCAGCAATGACAGATGCAAGCACCAAGCCACGTCCTGCGACCCGGTTGGGCCCAATGCGCAGTTGTGGGAAGCTTCGAAACCACGCTGACCGGACAGGGGTGCAAAGAGATGATACCTGGGGCAGCAAATGAAATCGCCGCACGCCTTAGTGTGCCAGGTTGCGATCTGAGGGACACGAAACGCGCTGTGTCGTCCTGCTCGGCCACTCAAGCGATACGACTCGTGCCTTGTGGCGCTGACGACAACCCGGATCGTCATGTATTGCAACAAAGCGACTCCGTCTAATGCAGACTGCCGCGTGACCGGTTGTTGTGCAGTCACCCAATGGCACACGATTCACCGCTATTTTTTGGGAGTTTGTCGGAGCAATCAAGGTATGATGCCATGACAGATGCTGCTCATCATCAATGACAGCGAGGGCCATAGCGAGGGCCCCAGCATCGTGGTCCGAGCTGCTTCTCGAAATTCTGCGGCGAATCTTCTGACTCGCCTCATGTCAAAAGTCTGACCGCGGCGGCGTTCTGGTGCCCCTGAACTGGGCGCTGCGAAAATTAGCATCGCCTTGTGTTCTACACCATAGCCGGCACGGCGTCCTATTTGTCGACGGGGCACCGGCCACTGGGCCGCTCTGTCCTTTTAGGAATGAGGACACGGCCAGCTACGGCCGGCATGTCGTTCACAAAGCGACAGGGTCTCCCCTGCTGTTGCTCGAATCAGGGCGCTAGTGCCTGTGAATGTCGGTAGACGCATGCGGGCTCCTAGCGCCGAGGATTTGGGTCCCGGGGAGTCGGGTTGCTCTGTTGATCCTGTTCCTCTTACGAGCCACGTCCAACGCTCTTGCAACTCTCCCTGGTCCGCCTTACTCGGTTCCTTCTAGCTCGTCCAATGTCATGGATTCCGCCCAACCCGGACCGGTTTGTTCGATGAGCAGAAAGCTTCCCCAGCCCAGCCCTGGCCCACTCTCAGGGGTTTGCATTCGCTTTCGCATGCTCACACAGAGCCCGTCCGGTGACATGGAGTCACAAAAAACAGAGCTAGGTACAGCTCGGCTGCCAGCACTGCACATTCCGGTCGCTTATCGACAGACGGTGGGCTGTTTCGTAGCAACGATGGCATCACGGATCCGCTACTCATTTTACATTTGCTGGTCCCTCCGCTGTCCCTATCCGCCCACACTACGTATCCATACCCACTGGCATCACCGCTTGTTCTCCGTTTCTTCCCCGCCGCCACAATCCTTGCTCATCCCAGCGGTCTATCCGTTTTGAGGACGCCACTTAAATCTTGCTGCTCCTTATATACCTTGTGACGCTCGCGTCCTCTGCAAACTGACTCTGACCTCTGAGCCCTGGAGGTACTAATCTGTCGCAAACTCGCACATGTCTTATTTGTCTCAATCGACTCACACTCTACTTGACATCTACCACACTCAGTCATAGTGCTTGACATTCCTCTTCGACTACCTGCACACCTACACACTCGACCTTCACATTCGACTTCCACACTACCACCATGGCTCGGTATGGCGTGGCAACTGCCGCGGGCAGTGACAGAACACCATTCCCAACTCGACAAATGGCTGTACTTGGTGAGCATCACACAGTTGATGGCTCGTAGCCGTTACTAACGACAGCAGCGTTATGCCGGATATGCGAACCAATCGCGTTCATGTCGATATTTCCGTACGCTTACTTCATGGTCGAATCATTCATGATCGGACAAAGCACCGCCCAGATTTCCATGTACACCGGCATGGTCACCTCCTCTTTCGCATTCATGGAGTGCATCAGTGGCATTTTTTGGGGCCGACTTAGTGATCGGGTAGGACGGAAGAAGGTGCTCTTAGGAGGTCTTTTTGGTACGGGACTGAGCATGTTGCTGTTCGGCTTCTCTCAGAGCCTACCAATGGCATTGATCGCGCGGGCTCTCGGGGGTTTGCTCAACGGGTGAGGTCATAGTGTGATCTAGCGTACGAGCCTCGCTAACCTTATATGCAGGAACATCGGCGTTCTCCAGACCACCGTCGCTGAGCTTGTAACGGATGAGCGACATCAGCGTGAGTTTTGCCATAACTCTAATCATACGCCGCGCGAGACTGACTTTTGATAGCGCGCGCTTATTCCATCATGCCTTTTGTTTGGTGCCTTGGGTAAGAAATTACCGAACACGTTCCGAATTGTCCATGCTGACCGCTTTTTGTAGCACCATCATCGGCGGAGCGCTTGGCGGCTTGCTCGCTCGTCCCGCCAACGTAATGCCGTTTTTCCAGGACACCATCTTTGAGACGTACCCGTTTCTTCTTCCAAACCTGGTCTGCACTGGATTCGTGGTTCTTGGCCTTACCGTCGGCATCCTCTTCTTGGAAGAGACGCACGAGGACCGCAAATACGACCAGGATAGGGGACGCGAAGCGGGGCAATGGCTCCTGCGCAAACTTTGGAAGCGAGAGGCAGAGGCAACATTCGACGACAAGGATGCTTCGCTTGACGAGATGCGATCGATGCTCAGCGACCATGACCACAACGTGCAGGCCTACCGAAGCACTGACAGCTCGCCTACCCTGTGCAGCACGCGAACTTCCATTTCAGAGGTGCCTGAATTCGAATTGGACAAGCAGCTTGCACCAGCGCCAACTTTCCGACAAGCATTCACCAAGCAAGTGATTCTCAATGTGGTGTGCTACGGCATTCTCGCTTTCCACACCATTTCTCTCGAGCAACTCCTCCCGATTCTCATGTCCAAGGATGTACCAGCCAAGGGTTCCCAGCACCTTCCATTCCGCTTCGAGGGCGGCTTCGGGTGGTCAACCCAAACCACTGGAGCATTCCTCGCTGCGCAAGGTTTCCTCCAGATGTTCGCTCAGGTCATCCTGTTCCCGTGGGTCAGCAAGAAGCTCGGCAGTCTTCGCACTTTCTGGATTACCCTAGCCTGCTACCCAGTTCTTTACCTCCTTGCTCCTTACCTGGCTGTCCTTCCTGAAAGCTTGCGCATTCCTGGACTCGCAGTTCTGCTTATCGCCAAGGTTACCTTCCAGTCGCTCTCCTACCCATCCCTGGCCATCATCCTCGCCAACTCATCTCCATCCAAGAAGGTCCTCGGCACGCTGAACGGAGTTGCAATGTCTTCTGCCAGCATCTCCCGCGGCTTTGGTCCTACCGTATCAGGTGCCGTGGATAGCTTGGGCACCTCACTCCACATGTCTGGCCTTGCATGGTGGACTATCGCCGCTGTTGCTCTTCTTGGCTGGCTGCCTGGATTTGCTCTCCAAGAGAGCAAGCGATCGGCTTTCACTGCACAAGAAGACGAAGAGGCCCTCATCGACTCCGACTCTGACGCAGAGTCTGTCATCACTCTCACCCCGGACGAAATCGAAATCGTCCTCTCAAAATAGATACACGCAATCACGACCAAAAACAGTAACGACGCATCTCGACTTGCAGGATTCGGCACAGACCACCTGCCTGGCGTCGACGCGCTGGCAGCGACCTTTTTTCTTTCACAACATAATTTCGGATTATAGAGACACTTTTTGCGGGATGAGATGAGTTCATCACCCGCCGGCGCATCATTATGGGTGCGATTTAGCGACATTGTTTACAGGGCGGCATTTTGGGACAAGACTTTGGTCATTATTTATTAGAAGGGAAAGCTCGATTGTATCGGAGACCAGCAATGGTCGTCCACGAGCCGGCGTTTGTTCAAGAACAGAATACCCCAGTAGTTATTAGTTTCCTCGCTACATTGTATGTTAGATTAGGGTGCCCGAGCACAAATTCATGACTTGGATGATTTCTCAAACACATGATCCCACAAAAGAAGTTTGTTTTGCCATGTGCGTTGTGAGGAGTGCATTAGCTGGTATTGAGTCAGAGCGAGACTGCAGCGGTGAGTTTGATGCTTGTCGGGACCCAGGATAGAGACCGCATTACCCGGATGCCGCAAAACAGGTGTAATGGTATGCATTGCCGATGTGGTCCCTTGTATGTTACGGATGCTTCCTTTTTGCTTCTACACGTGCTTGGATCGGTGTGCCTCATGCACGTGGTGGAGCAACGGGCATCGCGAGTCAGTGACGGGCCAAGGCGTGGATTCAGGACGCCTTGCATTCCGGCTTTTGCCATGAAACGATACATCACGAGGTCATGTTCGGCATATGGATCACTGCGTGGTGACGAATGTCCCATGTACCGCTTGTGGTTGTTGGTATCGAAGGATGGCGACGGATGCTTGCCGAAGCCGAGGCAGTCTAGTCATGTTGCAGCTGGTGTGTAATCAGCACGACAGCCGTTTGCGCAGGCGTTGTCGTGATTGCAGGGCCAAAACGCGAGTGCGAGGAAGAAGTGAGCAGGACATGTTGTTCATATTGACTGTGAATGCGCCCCATACTACATACTCAGCAGAGTAAAAGTCCGCCTACATGGCGAGCATGACGTGCAGCAGCAGCACCACCCACACTCCGCCCACGCCTATCTTACGCTGTAGAGATAAGGCCCGTAGCCGACCTGCTAGCCATCCACGAGCGGGCGAGCAGCGACTTTCGGCTGCGTTGGGGATCATGGAAGACATGCTCCTCGTGCAATCGCATCCCACAGCCCTATCTACGTCGCCTGTTGCGGTTGCTGACGCCTTGATTCAGAGTGCGGGGGGGAGTAAGAAGATTGTCGGCCACCCGTCCTGAGCTCTTCAGAGCTGCTTCGGAGAATAGACGCCTTACGTGCGCGAGCTTCACTAGCCCGAACCCTGCCCGACTTTCTTGCCATGCGCCCTGATGAGCGGCCTCAAGCGCTCTTTGGACGAGTCGTCTCATGACGGGGACAAAGCCTCGCCTTCGGACTCGTCCGTGTCGACCGCGAAGCCTACATCGCCCGCCGCGCCCTCGTCGTCGAGCTCCTTCCGCAACGTGAGCGCCTGCAACCGCTGCCGGCTGCGCAAGAACCGATGCGACCAGCGCCTGCCCTCGTGCGCCTCCTGCGATAAGGCCGGCGTCAAGTGCGTGGGCTATGATCCCATCACCAAGCGTGAGATTCCGCGAAGGTATGAAGTTTGGAGGGGAGCTATCGCGAGTCGCCTCGGCACAGGACTGACCAGTGCAACAGCTATGTCTTCTACTGCGAGACCCGAATCGCATACCTCGAAAATCTCCTGCGGGAGAACTCCATCCCCTTCCAGGACGCCGAGGACTTCAATCCAGCCTTTGTGTCCAATGGCCGCTCCGTCACACCACGACCCATATCCGCCGCACCGCCGCCTCGCAATGGCAACACCAACCCCACCGCCGCCCAGGCCAAGGAGGAGAGCGACAAGTACGATCGCGAGAAGCTTACCAAGCTCGTGTCAAACATTGGCATGGTCTCGGTGCAAGGCGCCAGTGACCCGAGATATCTGGGCTCAACATCTGGCATTTCCTTTGCACGCGTAGTGTTTGCTGCCGTCAAGAGCTCTGTATCCGGCTCTTCTTCTGAGCGCGGGAGCAATCGGGGGACCAAAGCGGCGACCAATGTTGTGGACAGCGGCACCTCGATGCGCGACTCCTTCTTCGGACTCCAGACCAAACCCACCATACGGCAGGCGCCCTTCCCCGACCGGGAGCTTGGTTCGCGCCTCGTTGAGCTGTACTTTGAGCACGCAAACCCACAAATCCCAATCTTGCATCGGGGCGAGTTCATGGTAATGTTTGAGCGTGTGTACGCTTCGGGTGAACGGCATCGTACTTCACGAGAGTCGTACATGCTCAACATTGTGTTTGCCATAGGCGCTGGCATCATCTTGGGCAGCTCCGACTCTGAGGGCTCGCCGACGTCGGATCATGGCCGCTCACCGACAAAGTCACGGTCATCACCACCAAGCAGCAAGAAGCGGCGACTTGCAGGCCACCAGCATCAGCCCGAGGAGTACCACGCGTCCGCAATCGTGCATCTGGAGAACTTCCTGGGCTCCTCACCCGCTGCGGACCGTCCCGACGGCTTCGGCGGCGGCCTTGAAGAACTACAAGCTGTGCTACTGCTCGCAGGGTTTGCTCTGCTGAGACCCGTCGCCCCTGGCTTGTGGTACATTGTCGGTGTTGCAGTCCGTCTTGGAGTGGACCTAGGGTTGCATTACGAGGACGGTGTGGGTATCGACGGGGCGGGTGCGGAAGACCAAACCGCCGGAACCGCGTTCTTCAAATCCGAGGGCAACGGGAATACGACAGCTGCCAGCGGCGGGAACCCTTCGAAAATAGACGCCAAGGAAAGAGGTCGCAGACAGTGGGTCAGGGACCTGCGGAGACGCCTGTGGTGGTGCGTCTACTCGCTGGACCGGCTAGTGAGCACGTGTGTTGGCAGACCTTTCGTAAGTACAGTCTCCATTCTCGGATGGTGCTACCGATCATGTTGGTCACGATCCCGCATGTATGCTACGGCAATTTTGCCAAGAGCTCAATCGTGATGTAGAAATGTTTGGAAAGGCTAACAGGCAAATAGGGTATCACAGACCAGATTGTGACTACCGAGTTTCCTTCGCTTCTCGATGATCGCTATATCACCAAAGAAGGATTCCTGGAACCGCCAGTGCACCAGGAAAAGCCCACGTACAAGATTGTAGCCCATCACTACTTCCGGCTGAGACTACTGCAGTCTGAAATTCTGCAAGTCCTACAGCACCGGCAGGCACAGCAGGCAAGAGCAAGTGGTGCAAACCGAAGCAATGAGTTTATGCACACAAAACTGCCTTCGCCATTCCTGATCAATTTTGAGTCTTTCCGCGCATGGCGCGTGGACATCGACAGGCGATTACTGGAATGGAAAGACTCGGCGCCAACACAGATGGACGCTGGTGTGCAGTTTTCACCGCTGTTCCTAGAGCTCAATTATTGGCAAGCGTTGATCATGCTGTACCGGCAGAGCCTGGTCGTCCCCTCTGGTCTGCAAGAAGAACTGGGCAACACTGGCTCCGACATGGGAAGCCCCTCAATGAGTAATCTTGAGGAACGTGAAGACGAAGACCTGGTTTTCCTCAAGGTAGCCGAAGCTGGCCAGAAGGTTCTGAAGCTGTACCGACAACTGCATCGCGTGCACCTTGTCAATTACACCTTCCTCGCAACTCATCACCTTTTCATGGCTGGTAAGTTTAGTCTTCACCGGAATCCAACAGTGCTAACATATGCAGGCATCTCATTCCTCTATGCAGTGTGGCATAGCGTCCACGTACGCAGTTTATTGGTATGTATATCCAACCCTGTTGTGTAACCGTGGCTACACGTAGCTGGTGTAATATGTAAATCTAACTAATGCAGTCCCTTGACGACGTCGACTTTACCGTCCTTGCCGCAACATCCGTACTGGGTGACCTCGTCGACAAGTGTCCGCCAGCAGAAGCATGCCGCGACGCATTTGATCGGATGAGTAAAGCCACCATTCAGATGTGCATGTCCACGACAGGCTTTGGACCTCAGGCTCTGCGGTCACTCCCGCAAGCACAACAGTACCCAACACAGACTTCGCCAACCACTGCATATAGATCTGCAGCCGATACAGATGCCAGGTCAGATACTGAAATGCAAGGTTATGGAGCAAGGAATACGGGTGGCTTCTTTAGCCACCAACAGCAACAGCAGCAACAGCGTCGACCAGTGCCACGCTTCGACATGAACCTCAAGGATCTTTTCTCAGATGACGAGACAGACAAGCGGTCTTTCAGCCGCGTGAGCAACCAGGTCAATGCCATGCGGCCCCCTCCTGCACCAATGAAAACCGAACAACAAATGCAGCCCTTCACAGCCGACTTGAAAATTTCCCCACAACTCCGCAGTACCCACCAACAACAGAACAGCTTCTTTGCTGCAAGTCCAAATATGACTAGCCCGAACCAACAAAACGCCTTCTCCACCACACCACCTGCCAACCCACCCATGCCCTCGCCATACCAGATTAGCAACCAGGTGCCTTACAACAGCTTTGCGCAGAATGTCACGTCCAGTTATCCCGATCTAGGTTTCTCAGATTTGGATTTCTTGGATAGCTTCCCCGTGCAGGGTGCAAGCAGCGGGACAGACGCAGGCAGTGGCGGAGTACAAGACATAGGGATTGGGTTCGGAATGGGCTTTGGTGATGGGACACATGATTGGAGTGATGTAAGTTGCTTCCTCAGCCTATGAGACAATATGCTAACACAACTCTCTAGGGTAATGGACTGGACCTTTTCGATGGATTCTTCTTCGGACCTGGAGGTACTGGCGGTACGGGTATGTGAAAGCAGGTCTCACAGCCATAGACACCGTTCTTGGTATGTGCTTGCGACGATTGATGAACATGGAGGAAAAGTACCGCCAGCATGTGTACAATGTATCTGACTTGATGGCATCGAGTAAAAGGATACCAGGTAGCTGCCTTTGCCACTCTGCGGCGCAGCCGG